GGGGGGGGGGGGGGGGCGAGTCGGCAGGTGCGGGGAAAGTGGGTGGACGTGTGTGTATTTGTGAACAGGTTTATGTACAGGCGAGCCTTTCTGTGAACGCGGGATGATTGATGACTGGGGTGAAGCAGTCATTCATGCGCACACAAGTTGGTCCCTGGCTGCGCACAAATGCACAAATACAACAAAATTGCACCAGGCCGCCTAGGGTGTTCCCTGAAACCGCTGCTGCTGTGCTTTAAGGCGTTCTCCTATTCTGCCGTTCAATGCCACACGCGGCCGCTGAGGAGCACCGATACACACCCACACAGATACACTGACGCCCCACCACCGCCTTTGCATGCCAGATACGTCAGAAGACGAGGTATGCAGCCTTCTCTCCCGAAACAGCACGGGGTATCCATGTGCTGCCTTTGTACCTGCATTGCAGGCCGCAAGACACCATGGGGTGCGTATCCTCTTCTGCCTCGTCGAGCCACGATGACATCACCAAGTTCGTGCAGGTGAACGTCAACAACACCAAGGCGGATGGGCGAGTGCATCGCATCGTTTGCAAGCCCAGCACAACAACGCGGGAGTTCGCCAGCCTTGTCAACGAGGCGACAGGAGCCAAGACTCGTGAGGAGGGCCTGCTTCGGAGTGACGGCAGATGGGTCAAGGCTCACGGAGGCGGCGCACCAGTGGGCGAGTCGCTGAGGGGCATGGGCGACACTCAAGACAAACCCATCGTTATCGGGATCAAAAGTGAGGGAGGAATGACACAGGACAGGAGAGGATGATCTCATTTCCATGCTGTTGCTGACGGCTTCTGCTTTCAGTGTCGTCCAGCGCATACGCGGACCGTCGCCCGCCAACTCCATACAAGCCACAGCGTGCTCAACGGTCTGCCTCCCGTGACACGTCCCGCGACACGATCCGGCTCTCCGACACAAGGCGCACATCGACATGCAGCACCCGAGCCAGCGACGACGAATACCAGACTACGACGGGTGCATGGTACGTAGGCTCGGCAATGGGGGACTGTCCCGTGGGATGAGTGGTTAATAGTATGTCAGGAAGGCAGCAGACAGAAGGGCAATTCTCGCAAGAGAGATAGACAGATGCGATGGGCATATAATCCATGTGCCGCTCGCTTCTTTTTAAGCCACTGACTGAGTGGGAGGACGGGAGAATGTGAGAGCAACATCTCTCTGTGACCATCAATCAGCAGCCAGCCTTTGACCACGACTTTTTTGTGATTTCCATTTGTCCTGTGGTGCTCTACTCGCTCTGTGGGAGCCTACAGATAGAAGGCAGGAAGAGAGGGAAGAGGCTGTAGGCTATCATTCATTCTGATGCATATGGATGGGCGGACCATCGACTGACTGACTGACTGACTGACCTTCTCTCTTTTTGCACCAGGCGCTCAACGAGCATGGGCGCAGCATATGTAGTGAGGCAGGGTGGGTGGGAGAGGGGAGAGATAACATTTTCCGCGTGCCACATTCGCCACCGCCGTGACTCCCAATACGTGTACACTTACACACTACACTTACTCTCTTTCTCTGCTTTTCCAAGTGCGGTTTAATTTGGCCACCATTTTGGCTGGAACACAATGGCCGCCCTTTTTACGCCTCAGTTTTGCATACATACACCAAAGGACTTGTCAACCAACGTGTCAACCATTCACGGGTTCATAAGTCTTCGTGCTCTCAGCAGAATGCAAATCAGGTAACGGTCAACGGCTGTCACGCGCACCGCCGTCTCACCAGTTGTGAGCTTCCCGGCGAGATTTGTCGACGGCGAGATTTCTCGACGAGACGTCCTCTATCCACGATTCTTTTTGTCCACAAAGCAGTTCTGGTTCTGCTTTCCCTTCCTCGTGTGTATGTCCTCCCTGTCCGCACGTTCTCGGCCTGAGTTGATGCCCTGTCATCGGCCGAGCCTCAGGCGTCTGCCTGCAGGCTCACCAACAGAGAGCCACCAAGTCTTTGTGTGTGACCAAGACCAGCCGTTGAGCAGGGTGTGGAGACGTCGCCCGAGTGTGCTGTAGTGCCTCCTCCCACAGAGCAGCACACAGGACACTAGGTCCGTCATAAGCTTCGCCAGCTCGGCCTCAACCAACACGCAACCCGCCGAAGTGTGGCCAGGGGCGATGCGCGCCTTGAAGAGGTTAGGGCCTGTCGAAGAGCACGCCGACCAGGAGATTCTCGCACTTCGCCGCGCCATGGCCATCGTTTCGCCGAATATCGCGAGAGTCAAGAGCGTCAGCAAATGCTACATCCTTGAGTTGATGGGGCTCATGGGTCTGTGCTATATATGCATTGCTGCAGACGTATCGCGTCCGCCAGAGCGATTCCCCGTCGGCCACCGGGGGTGTCTTCTTGGAGATGGACGTCTACCAAGAGAACTTGCGCCAGGAGGACACCCTCGGGAGGTCTCTCATCGACGAGCAGGAGGCCAGGGACCTCCTTTTCCCGCTCGTCGTCTGTTTGAGAGACCTCCTCAACAAAGCCGGCGTCCTCCACGGGTGAAGAGAGACGACAGAGAGAAAGCTGACAGTCAGTGCTCCTCTCATTCCATGCCTTCTTGTCTCGTGACGCATGTTTTACTCACAGCGACATCAAGTCGGGCAATACAATGGTCGACGGTGAGAAGGGGGGCGCTGTTCTGAAGCTGATTGACTTCGGCAACTCTGCTATTGCCGACGTAAGCGGCTATTCATTTTGTTCGATGCTCTTAAGTCCACTCCATGTTTGTGTCTCATTTGTGTTGTTCCATTTAAGACGCAAGAGCAGCTAAAGGGCATCGGCGCACGACGGGCAATACAAGACGACATCTGTGGACTGGGGTGAGCACAAAGTCAAAAGCTGCTCACCGCAGGCTGAGAGACTGTCTGTTTATATTCTTCGATGTCTCTCACAGGCATCTGATAGGGGAGCTGTTGTACGGTCCGCCAAAGCGGCGAGGCTGCTTCACACATTTCAATGTAAGCACAAACAAGCGTCTGTGTCTTTCATGGGTCACGGCTGCCTCATCTGGCCTCTCTGTGCCATTTTATTATCTGCTCAGCGCCCCCTTGCTAGAGCGCGACATACACCGCATGATCGTGCTGAGTGACGACCAGTGGAGGCAGCCATTTGCGATACACATCATTATCGACACTTCGCGCCTTGGTGCCACAGCCTACCTCTATACCACGGAGCAGCCTGTGGAATGGGAGAAGGGTGCGGCCAGATTCCCTTTTACGGTGGTCTCGGCGCGTGCGGTGATGGGGGCTGATGCAAGCCCCGCGGCGTACGATCTGTATGATCGTATGACCCGCCGGCCGCACACACTGACGTACGACGAGATTCTGCAGTACCCGTGGTACGCTACGGGTTGAATTCCGGCTCATTCATCGATCCAATCAGCGGCTCCTGTTCCCTTTGTCTCCCTGATTTCATCTGTCAGGTTTGCAAGGGGGTGGGAGGGGTTCTGGAAGCCATGCCGCCAGCCAGCCGCCGACACCGCCCCGCCCTGTCCCCCGGGCAGCCTCGATGACGACATCGGCCAGCCTGCAGCTTGCCCCCTTGTGGCATGGCTGCGGGCTATGTGGCGGCGTCTGGTGGCATTTCTCACCTTCAGAAAGCGCCAACCCCCATGAGAAGAGTCAACCTCACCGCCCCCACCAAGATGAACGTCATCAGCCTCGCACAACACAGACTGCACACAGGAGGTGAGCTCATACAGAGCGCCAGCACACGAATGCACGCCTTGAATGAATGGATAGATGGATGTCCTCTGCTCAATGAACTGCATGGATGGATGGATGGATGGGATGGCTGCTGCCCTTTGTGTGTGTGTGTCCGCACAAGGCGTGACTCGTTTGGCGTGGACCCCCGACAAGCGGCTCACCTTCTGCTTGGACGAGCTGGCGGCCCGGCGCATCCAGCATCCACCTCACGCCCCCAAGCAAGGCGAATGTCATCAGCCTTGCACGCAACGGCCTGCACGTACGTGGGCGGGGGCTGGGGTGTGGTGGTGGGAATGGGGCACACACAAAGACCACCGTATGTATGCTTCGAATGGATGGATGGACGTCTGCCTGACATGTGTGTGTTGGTCAGTACGCCGACGACCTGACGGAGAACCTTCGCCAGGTGGAGAGGGCGGTCCTTGAGGTGCTCAGCAGCAAAGCCAAGAAAGAGATACTTGTTGCACGTAAGCAGGGTGGGGGAAGATGGAACGCAGCAGTGAGCCGACAAAGGCACCCACACATACGTACAGACGTCTTGTGTTGTGTTTGTGTGTGACTGAGTGCAGGCCGGCCAGCGGTTTTCGTCTTCGCCTTGGTGGTGATCAAGGTCGCACACGAGTCGCCCAACAGCCTGCACGAGATGGCCGATGGCGCATTCGTCTTCGTGTGCGGTAGGCCGAGGGCCTCAGGCGAGGGGCGAGTCGACATGTGTCTTGGGCTGTGATGGTTCGGCCATCGTGGGGGAGCCACTCATTGCTGCTTACATTTTATATCGTGAGTCTCTTACCTAAGCACCGCAGCCTCAACAGCAGCCAGACAGGCCGCGTTGGCGCCATCGTTGTCTACATTTTATATCGTAAGTCCTGTTCTCAACTTCTGTCGTCCCCCCCGTCCAGCAAAGACGCATTCGATTAGTATCCATTTTTCTTCCCTTGTCAACATCGGCAGCTTCACCAGTGGGGTGGGAGACATGGCTGTGGGTGTGGTCACATGTGGAGAGACGGGCGAGGGAGAGTCGGGGTGCTGTGGTATGTGTGTACGGGCTGCCAGCCAGCCAGCCGGGGCCCCTTATTTTGCTGCAGTGCATTGGCTTCATTTTCCCTTTCAATTCATGTAAGGTGGCTGGACATTGGTGCGAAGAAGCGGACATGAACCGCCTTCTCGATACTCAACCGTGCTCTTGGTGTTCACAAAAGACACTTCGCCAACAAATGACACACATCGTGCATGACCTTCTGCCCTATCATCACACAAACCGTGCCCGCACAAAGTGACACCAACAAAAGGGTCGAGTACAGAACGCATCCAAAGCACTTAGATAGCCATCGCAAACTCCAGAGGGACAAATACGAACACAAAGTGAACAAATAGCAACACACATACGGCCGGCTCCGTCACCATAATCACCTCGGCACAAATCGTGCCACCAGTCCATCGCCCCGCAGCAGCCGCACATTCGTCAGCCCTTTGCCCTTGCTCCACTCCTCCTCTCGCCTGTACAGCTCTTCCCCCTTCCCCTCTGCCCACTTGGTCCCAACAATCACCGCACGGTACACCCGCCCCTGCTCCAGGAAGGACGTGTCGATGCTCTCGACTGTCTGCTCTTCATTGAGTCCACTCAGCGCCGCCAGCCACCATGTGCCACCATTCCTACGCGCCAGGACGGCGAGCTGTCCGATTCTGCTCTGCCTGAGTGCGTGCGTCTGGTCCCATGTGGTGGGAATGGCCTTGATGAGGTCGACGGCACGGGCATGGGGCCGTTTGTCGTCGAGGATCACCTCTGGGTGCTCAGCCACCGTCATGATGGGCGAATCCAACAAGACCATCGTGCCAATCTGATGCACCTGCAGGCACAGATGATATCAAGAGAGATGGCGGGCACGGCACGAGTGTGGGCATGGTTGTGTGGAAGTGGCTAGCGCAGCGCACCGCACCGCTGTGGTTTGCCCCCTGGCATCTGGCCGCAGGACGAGGGGGGTGTAGTCGCCCGGGCCGACCACAAAGCGGGTGAATGGCAGGGCGGCATTGTGGCTGGCCGGGATGTGGTCCACATCGGCCCCGTTGTGCTTGACGAACTTCTCGATCTCGTTGCCCCACACGGCCTCCCGGCCTACCTCGTGGGGGAAGCGGCGGGCCTCACCGTGTGGCTTGTGCACGCCGTGGAAGCTGATCATGAGATGGTGCTTGGCGGCCAGAATGAAAGTCGCCGTCTCGAACTCCACCCTGTCGAGTGTCTCGCGGCTGACGAAGTCGATCTTGACGCCCGACGCGCCATGCTGTGTGACCTTGTCGAAGAAGTTGTCCATCCTCGAGTAGCTGCCGTCTTTGCCCGGGATGGCCAGCTCGTCCGCCATCTTCCACACGATGACCTTCACACCCTTGTCGTTGGCGTACTCGCAGAAGTCACGAAGAAGGGGCCAGCGGGCCTTGGTTCGCCGCTCGAAGTCGAACTTGTGCTGGGCTGTGGGCCGACTGTCTTCTCTGTTGCCGGTTGCCTCAGGTAGGGGCAGCAGCACTGGCGCGAGGGCCTCCCTGGGGTCTTTGTGGGGATAGGCCTTGCTGGGCTTCTTGGGCTTAGGGAACATGGCGTCGTCGGCGTACCACCGCTCCCAGCCCACATCGAGTGTCGTGTACTCGTACCCCAGCTTGACCGCATAGTCGACGAACTCCCGCTCCTGCTTGGGCGTACCAGTCTCCTTGGTCCACCTGCAGGCAAGCAGACAAGGAGGAGGGAGATGTAAAACGGAGAGAATCCCAGCGATCGCAGGTAGCACTCACCATGACCAGACAGAGCGGCCAGGTTTGATCCAGGAGGGATAGTAGACGGCCCGCCTCTTCCGCCCATCCGCCGCCCCGGCCTGCACGTCGCCGTATCGGAATGCGAAGAGCCTGGGGTCAGGCGGCGGGTTGAGGTGCGTCATGATATCCGTGTTGACGAGCTCGTCCAGATTCCTCGCCATGGCCACGACTCGCCAGGGCGTTTTAAAGGATGCTGGGACGTCGAGGTGCTTCTCGGTCAGATCGGCGCGGAACACACCGTCGGGCTCCGGCTCCAGGCGCATGCCCGTGAACTTGTAGAGCGCTGCCTCGGTGATGAGGAGGTACTTGTAGTGCTCATCCGAACCCCACTTACCGTCGGCCGTGTCGATGAGGATTGGAGGGCCGTACACAGGCATGGACTTGCCGGCCTTGCTGACGGGGTGGGACTGCCAGGGGCCCGAGTAGTTGAAGTTCTTCTTTTTCTTGGCTTCACGGCTGTAGTTGAGGTCGCGATAGAAGTGCCTGACCAAACGTCCCTCACACAGACAAGATGCCCGTGAGTTGGTCGGCATGGCATATGCGGCACTTTGCTCACCAAACGATGCCATCCCTCGGCACAGCGAATGAGGAGCTGTCGCCGTTAATCTGCACCGATTTGTTGTGCTTGCGTTGGCCGTCCGCGAGGCTGTATCGGAATGCCATCCCCTCATCGTACAGACGAAAGGTGACCAGAAAGTCTGTTGACGCCTGCTTGTTCTTGACAGTCACTGTGTACTCGTTGCCTGCAGACAGACAGACAGGCAGGCAGAGAGGCAGGCAGGAATGTACATCACGCAGGTGCCTCTCTCTCCCTTTGTCGGCTCACCGTGGTTGTAAGCCTCGTTGTGTTTGCCTCGTGTGCGATAGCGATACTCAATCGGCTGCCGAGCCACTGAAGTGATGTGCACATCCTGCCCCAGGTCAACCCCATCCACAGTGATCCCCAATGCCGCCTCCCGCAGCAGCTGATTCCCTCGCCGCCCGTCGCCATCCGTCTCGTGCACCGAATACGTCAGCTCCCCAGCAGCCGACACGGTGATCTGCACCTCATAGGTGGCCTTGTCCCCCTGGTGCACAAGGGGAGGCCGCAGAGGCGGCACCTTGTTGTCCGTCACTTCTGTGACGGTCTGCTGTCCCTTTCGTCCGGGGTCGTGGGTTGTGTCGAGGGTGACGCAGTCTGTGCAGGTGGCCGGCTCGTTTGCCGCCTTCTCGATGCCGCTCAGGTAGGAATGAAGAGAGAACTCCCCGAGACCGGCAGGAGTGTAGGGGCCACCGAACAGCAGGGAAGGCGTGTCGGCAGCCTCATTCGTGTCGTCAGCGGGGGGAGGAGTGGAGACCTCACCTCTGCTCGCCTGTGTGAGCACCCCGGCAGCGACACAAAGGAACACAACACAGCGCCTCATTTCAATGTACCGTTATTTCGTCCACGGAAGGAGAGCTCTCTAACCCGTACCCGCAGGGAGTCCCGCGGCCTCAGTGTTTGTTTGAGGTCATGACGTCCATCAAGACGGACTTCCTTGAGGCTCAGCGGCCATACACGCGCAGTCACACGGAAGGCCTCTCCAATTCACGTAGGCCACGGGCGCGGAGGGAGAGAAGGGCGAGGGAAGATGGCAAGAGCAGGGCACATACAGAGGCAGAATGGTGGTGGTCTCGGCAAGAGAACACCAAGGAGTCGTTTCGATGGATCAGACATGAGAAATTGTCCATCTGTTGCTGTGTGTGGTGCAGGGCACCCCTTCCCTCGTCCGTTGCCCGAGAGGGCCTTCTCGCTGGACCCCACCCTGCATCCCCGCCCCTCCTCCCGCCCCCTTGACCGCCTACCGTCGAACTTCGGGCCCTTCAAGAGATCTCACACCGACACGTTGCCACGCGAGGACATCGCACATTACGAGGCCGATGAGCGGCGAAGGTCGCAGGAGGTGGGAGACGATGTTGAGGGGCTGGAGTATGCTGATATGGATGAGGGGGACGAGATCATAGATGACGACGAAAGGGATGTGGAGAGGGACGTGCGGGAGTACGCTAGAGGCGCATCCAGCGAAGGTAGGCGACTGAGACCACAGAAGATCAGCTGACATAATGATTCGCCTTCATTGCTGACCGTGTGTGTGTGTTGTGCAGCCGCGGAGCAGGAGCATGTGGGCGTAGCTGTGGAGGAGGATCACCCTGAGGAGACCTATAATGGGGACACCAGAAGGCGGGTCTCACGGGAGAGGGAGAGGGTTGCAGTGAGGGACGAGAGGGACGTGGACCTCATTCTAGACATGATTGACAGAGTGCCAGCGCCGCCACCCGGCCATCGCAGTGATCAGAGGCCACCTCGACCAAGTGAGACACATACACACGGAGAGGCCCAGTTTCAATCGCTGTCTGGCCCCATCTTTGTTATGTTGACCAATCAACCAGAGCCATCTCTGGGCAGCGGCAAGTCAGCATCCGAGACGGCTCTCCGGCCGAAGTCGCCTTACCCCTCCATCGGCCCCCCTCCCAGGTACCAGGACCCCCTCCCTGCGCGCCTGCCGCCCACCGGCCGTCGCGAGCGTGACCTCTACCCGCCACCCTCGTACTTCCAACCGCACGAGCAGCCACGACGGCTCTCGCCGGGCAGGGGGCGGGGGAGGGACCCCCACCACACCATCTCTGACCCTGTAGTCGACTACAACGAGCCCATCTATGAGTACCGGCGGAGCCCGAGAGAGGAGGAGTACCGCTACGGCTCGTCGTATGACTACTACGGTTCCTCGCCGGAGATGGAGGACGAGTACGCCTATGACCTTTATGCATCCTATGAGGAGGAGGAGATGCCGTACAGCTACGGCGGCCGCATGCCCTCTCATCCCCCCTCACCTCCCCTCCACCCCGCAGGCCGACGGCTGCCGCCCTCACCGTCCCCAGGAGAGCCCAGCCGTCGGTCGCCCCGTGCGCCGCCTTTGCGCACACGTGAGGGTCGGGGATCGGCTGGGGCGCGTGAGGCGTGGGGCGAGAGGGGGAGTGCGGGTGTTGGTGTTGGTGGGCCTCGGAGGGAGGATCGGTCGCCCCCTGATGTGGGCAGTAGCGTGGGTGTCAGTGGGAGTGGCGGCTTGGGTGGGGTAGGAGGTGGGTCCAAGAGTGAGGAGGAGCTTGAGAGTTGGCTGGAGGAGAAGGAGAAAGAGCACGAGGCCCGGCTGAGGGAGTTCTACACCCAGCAGTTAGAGCAACGCATACAGCAGGTGTGTGTGCGGGTTATGTTTCAAAAGACAACACACTTCTCTCTGTGTGAATGGACGTGCGTGTCTCTGTGCTTCTGTGCATGTGCAGCTTCGTCGGCAGGCCCAGGCGGAGATCGACAACGTCAAGGCCGAGTGCGACCGGAAGATGCGCATACTCGAGAAGGAAGCCGCCAAAGAGACCACGTAAACACGACGATACGCAAAGGAAACTTCCACACCTCTCTCCCCTCCCTCCCTGCGGATGCAGTGAGTCCAAGTCGTCTTCCCGTGAGCTGGACAGCAAGGTGTCGTCCCTGCAGGCCAACCTGGAGGCGGCAAACAGACAAGTCACCGAATTCAGCGCCAAGAACGAGGTCAGAGAGCCAGCGAAAACAAGACATGAAGAGTGCGCCAGTCCTTGATTCGTTTGCTCCTTTGTGTCCCTCTCTCCCTCTCTATAGATGGTGATGTTGCGCAAGAACCAGTTGGAGAAGCGGCTGGACGAGACGCTGCAGCAGAAGGAGGAGCTCATGCGCACTGTCCAGACGCTGCAAGAGACATATGAGGAGGCCACGCGACTGCTCGCCGCACACAAGGACACCGTGCGACGACTCGAGAAGGAGAACGAGGACGTCCAGGCCAACTGCGCCGCACTCGCACACACAAAGGTGGGGGGAGAGTGGGGCATCCAATGAGCGAGCCGTGTGCGTGCACCCACCTGGCCTGGTACGTGTGTGCAGAAGGTGCTTCAGGGGCAGGTGGAGTCGCTAGAGGAGACCAAGGTGAACGAGGGAGGGAGGGAGGGAGGGAGGGACGACACACAGACAGACAGATAGCCATCTCTCCTACAAGCAACACTGTGCTCGAGCATGCCATTGTCTGTCAGACTACGCAGGAGCGTGAGATTCAGCATCTGCAGGCCGACTTCAAGGAGCTCCAGACCAAACACCAAACCGCCACACAGAGCCTCAACAAGGTGCTTGTCTATATCACATCAAACCACACCCCTCTCGCACTCTCTCGGGACCCAAATGGTGTCTCTCCGCGTGTGTGTGTGGGCGTGTGTTGGTGTTAGCTTGAGGGTGAGTACGAGAGTTTGAGCAAGGAGGCCAAGAAGCTCAAGACTGACCTGGAGAAAGCTGAGGAGGAAGCCAAGAGATGGTATCTAAGCGAGCAAATGACGCAAGCCGCCCATCTCACTCACTCACACACGCACTTATCTATCATCGAAGATGGGTGTCTGTCTCTTTGTGTGGCTGCCGTTGGTTGACTGACTCGACTGACAGTGAGGAGTTGCAGTCGAAGAACGAGACGCTGATAGACCAGATGAAGGACCGAGACAAAACCAGGAAACACGAACTCGCACAAATGGCACAGGTAGGTCCAGTGATCTGATCCACTCACCCACCACCTCACATACAAACCTACAGACAGACAGACAGACAGACAGACGTGGGTTGCAAAGGCCATGCCGCTGCTGTCTGTTTCTCTTGTCTTTTCAGACGATGCAGGAGAGCGAGTCGATGCGCAAAGAGTCGCAGAAGGCCAAGGGAGAACTAGAAAACGAAAAGTGAGTCAAGAGGGTGGGGTGGGCTCGTTTGCTTCGTTGATTGAAAGTCTACGGTATTCTCCGTTTGTCTCCCTATCTGTCCCAGGCGCAAGTCGGCTTCGTTGGCGGCCCAGAATGAGACTGCAATGCGCGACGCACAGAGATACAGGTGGGTCCGCGGGTGGGTGGGGTGGGTGCAAGTGGGTGCAGGAGTGAGCACGGGACTCCATTGGTGTATGTGTGTGCATATATGTAGGGATCAGCACGAGAAGGCCCAGCGTCAGTTGCAGGAGCAGTCCAACGAGCTGCTCGACCTCAGGCAGCAGCTGCACGCACTCAAGAAGGCACAGCCACCACAGAGCCCGCCTGTGGGCGGACCAGCCATGGCCCAGAGCCCATACGTCACACAGCTGTCCGGACAAGGTACCATGGAATACAAATGCACACACAACCTCATTGCAAGCATTCCGTGTTGCAGAGGGCCGTCTGTCAGCTGAGCCGGCATACCCATCTCTGTATCGTGATGTGGGTCGCTCCCCGCCCCTCCCACCGCCATCCCAGCCCTCCCCCTTCCAGCCCTCCAAACCACCACCCCTGGCTCATCAGCAGCCATCCCCACCATACGGCAACCCATACCCCTCACAGCCGCCCACACCAGACTACGGCGGCGTGATGGGCCACCAGGTCAACACCAGTACCGTCACGCCACCACCCATCGCCAGTGTGTACCAGCAGCCCCCACAGCAGCAGCCCGGTGGTGGTGGTGGTGTGAGGCCATCGACGGCTGGTGGGTGGTCTGGGGAGTTGAGCGGCAGCAGTCCCCATGCGGGTGCCAATCTGGGTGGGAGGGCGACGGGCGTTGGTGCGGCTCTGAACCAGGGGATGGGGCTGGGGGAGGTCAAGGAGCAGGGCGAGAGGCTGCAGAGCCTCGAGCAACAGCTGCTGGTCAGTCAGTCAGCATGAAAGGGGGTGACACTGCTATACACGCGGCAGGTGACTGACGCATTCGTTCTTGTTCGTCGGTTGGTTGTCTCACACAGACTTTGAACATGGAGAATGCCATGATCGACTCTGAGCTCAGCAAGTTCCCATCGGGCAGCGCAGGTCGGAGTGGAGTGTGTGGCGGCAGAATGGCCACCTGGCTTGTTGTATGCTTCTTGTGGCCTGTGCGTGTGTGTGTGTGCAGGTAAGACGGTAGCTCAGCGAAAGCGTCGGATGGAGCTCGAGAGACGCCAGATGGAACTCGACGCCACCATCGCCAGGGTCAGTGGCTGCGATTCGCGCAGCACATTGATCCATCCATCCAGCCACCGATCCATCTGTGTGTCTGTGTGTCAGGTGCGGTCGAGTCTGCGGGAGCTGCGGCAGCTCAAAAGATGAACATATAGCTAGATAGATAGACAAGACAGGTACAAGCACGAGGGAGGGAAGGAGGGAAGAGTGCGTGGGTGCCCCGCCGCCTATTTTGTCCTCTGTGTGACTGCGGGAGGGGCGCTGTGTGTGCCGATTAGATTGTGTGCATAGGATGTCAGTCCGTACCGTGTCTGTCCGCGTGGGTGAATCGATGGTGGATGGGTGGCCGCCATGCCATGGCTGACATCAGTCAGCCAGCCAATGCTGCACAAGATGGGTGCGGTGCATATATAACATATATATAGGTCCGTGTGTCTCTCGCCACCACTGCCAACATGATCCAATCCACCTCAAAAAGTTGGCTCGTGCTGTGTGTGTTTGTACAGAAAGACATACAGCCCACGCACAAAAAAGTACGCAGCGCAGTCGATGAACCATGCCAAAATGAGATGTGCAGCCAGCCATCTAGCCACCTCTGTGTGCGTGTATGTGTGTGCGTGCGTGTGTGTGTGTGTGTCTGTGTGTGAGCAACCCGCCAGAGCCCCACCTCGGCGTGTGCATCTGCATCAGCAGAGCAGAGACGCCCCTCCCGTCCCCTCCCGTCCCGTCCACCCAGCCTCTCTCACTCACTCTCCCGTGTCAGTTGTGTTATCCAGCCATCCAGCAGCAGCAATGGGAGGAGAAAAAGACGCTCACGCACTCATGTAGGCTATGTAGGCTAAGTGTCAAGCGATCGCCAAGCCCGCTTGTGTGCGCTGTCTCCTCCTGCAGTCGGTGCAGAAGAGACTCTGACAGGCACACACGGGGCCAGACAGGCAGGCAGGCCGTAAGGCAGCAGTTGCAAGGCTATGGTACATTTCAACTCAACTACGAGGCACATCTTTCTCTGTGGGTGTGTGGTGTTGTGTGTTGTGTTAGTCAGAAGAGGTCTTCGTAGGCCCTGATGCGGTTGAAGAGGAAGGGGCGGGTGTGGTCGTCACCCACAGGCAGCTCCGTGGGCTCGCGATCGGTTCCCAACACGGACACTGTGAACCCTGCGGGCAGCCAACACGCACATACATACATGATGCGAGAGGGCGGTGTGTATGTGTGAGGGTGTGTCATGCACACCTGTCCACTTGAGCCGCGAGTTCCATCGGCCGCGGGGGGCGTTGGTGATCTCCAAACGCATCTGACGGACCAATAACATCGGCATGCATGGTCCTCCCCTGCAGTGCTGGCGTCGGTCGGTCGCTCGGTCAGCGCACCTGGTTTGAGTATTTGGGGTTGTGCTTCGGGTCGACATAGCGGATGCTCAGCGCCGACCCATTCAGCTCATACACTCCTACCTGCACACACACGCGAAGGTTAGCATCACGGGAGGCATTGTACAGGTGTCCGTCCACGTTGTTCTCCCGTCCCTCCCGCCTCACACACATACATGGATCTCCTGAATGATCCGCGGCACGTTGGTGGCCCCCTCCTCCCCTCCCACGTCAAGGCTTCTAGCGCCCCTGTCCACGCCCCTGTCCTTCAGGCCCACCACACCCCCTCCGGCAGCACTGCTCGACGACGACGCACCGCTGGCAGTGCTCGACGATGAGGATGAGCTGCTGCTGCTGCTGCTACTACTGCTGGTGTTGGTGGCGGCTGTCCCCTCGCCGGTGTGTTGTGGGTGGCGGAAATCGAATTGCTTGAGTGCGCGGACGGCGGCATTCTGGTCGACCTCTGACCTGAGCACCAGCACCTTCCTGGTGCCCCAGATGAACCTGAGGTATCTGAAGTAGGTGACGGCCAGGACCGGGTTGCGGTGGTGGCCCTTGGAGGGGTCTGGCAGATGAACATTGCCCATGTCACGCACACCTGACACATAAACAAAAAGGGCAATGACATGACCAGTCTGTTTGTCTGTCGAATCGTTCGTGTTGGTGTGCGCGGCGCGGGCGTGCTGATGGCTTCCTTGTTCTTACGTCTGAAGTAGATGCACTTGGCTATGTACACGCCATCGCAGCGGGGCCGGCGGCTCTCCAAATACAACCTGCACACACACACACACACGACGGACAGCGCAGCGAACCATCAGAGCTCTCTCTGGCCTCTTGACTCCCTCCCTCCGTCTTGATACCTTCTCCAGTCATATCCGTGTCTTCTGAGGTCCTGAATGATGCTGTTGTAGACCGACGGCATGCTCTGCTGGTACCTGGCTGGCACCGACAGCCAGTGGTGGTAGTCGTCATTGTCACGGTCGTTGCGCATCATGCCCCGCAGGTACCGCGGCGGCGGGGCCGCGTGCAGCACCGACTCAAACAGAGGCTGCACCCACGGATGCGTCAGGTCAGCACAAGGACAAATCCATCTGTGTGTCTGTCCGTTACTTGCCTGTAGTTCATTCTCGGCCTCGCCGTCGGCGTCTTCGTCAGCCGTGGCGCGGCGGCTCATCTTGTCTGCGGCGGGTGTGGGGCTCTTGCTGGAGGGGCCGGGCGGCGTGGCCATGCTGAGTGAGAGGTGCGGGAAGTACTTGGGGAGCGTCTTGAAGAACAGGCGCTGCCATACGCGGCTTTGCCGGCAGACAGCCCTCATCGTGTGACAGCTACCCGACAACCTGCACACACACACACACACACACAAACACACACACGCGCACACACAGCAGAGAGTGGTGTGTGTTCGGCATGTTTTGTGAGTGTGTTTCGGCAGCTGACGAACGCACGTATGCAGTTACCTGTCTAGGTCATATGGTCCCATAAAGAGGGGCAGTCTGCCCACCATTTCTATCGGCAGCGACAGAATCAGCGACCATGACCCGTCGGCCGGCGCGGGGGGCTCCCTGTCGGCCCTCACGTCTATGCTGTCGAGGAAGGGGTCATCCTCCCTCTCCGTCTGGAGGGCCTCGTCGTCGTCGACAACGATGGTCCGCTCGTCCAAGTCGGGGTCTATCTTGAGCGCTGAACGATAACCTGCACACAAGACGCACACACACACACACACACGCACGCACCGAATGAGGACGTGCTTCGCAATGTGTTGTGTTGCTGTGTGGCTTTGTGTGTCCTCACATCCGATGGCATCCGTCAGGCGGCCTCTGTTTTCGAGGATAAGCCCTCTCCTGTACATTTCTGTCGCTCTGTGTCGCTTCGACGAATGGTGCGGCGGCTCCGCCGAAGACGAGGGCACAGAAGAGGGTTGCGGCTGTGACATTGTCGGCAAGGGAAGCGCTTCGCGCAGGCCGAATGCCCTTGCAGCCGGAAACAGCGCAAACCACACCCCAAAAAGGTGCGAGCTGGGGAAAGCCTGCCAGCTCAGCTAAGGAGTTGTTGTTGGAGATCTGCATCAGCAGCATGTCGTGGTCAGGAGGGGAGATGATTGACAGACGCACACATGATTCATTTATGGATGTGTGTGTGAGTGTGTGTGTTTGTGCGTGTTGTGTGTGGCGCAGGTTTGGCGGCGGCAAGAAGGAGGAGAAGAAGGAGGCGAGTGAATTCGATGCGTTCGTGCCACCGCCGCCCGCAGGAAACCCTCTCGCACCGCCGCCAGGTAACTAACGAAGGAAGACACCTGAGCACGTGGTCTGCGATAGATGCATGGGCGTCATTGCACGTCTGTCTGTCTGCCCCAGAGCCTCCTCGTTCATGGAAGGGTCTGTCCGGCGACTTGGCGCCCCCTGTGGGGGAGTTCAAAGGCTTCAGCCCACCGCCCATCGCGTCGACAGACACCAAGAAATCAGCCGCCGCAGCAGAGGCTCCTGCTGCTGGGGGGCTGGCGACTTCGCTGAAGCCGCCAACAAGGTAGCTACGGGGAGAGGAGGGAGGTCTTGTCCATGCATTACTGTGCATGCTGTGGTTGTTCCGTGCGTGCGTGTGTGTGTGTGTGTTCAGTTTCATCCCGATGTTTGGCCGCAAGAGCAGCCCCACGGGGGAGGACGAGTACGCCAAAGAAGACTTCTCCAGATACCTGTACGAACCGCATCGCATCGCACAGGCCAAGACCAAACAAATCAACACACACACGAGCGTTCCATTGTGTGTCACTGGTACGGTGTGCATCAATCAGTTCCCCAGTGGTGGAGTCTGATGGTCTGCGTGACGACGCCATCCTGGAGCGGGAGAGGCGGGCGGCCATGCACGGCGGGAGGGAACCATGGATCACCAACCCCAGGCAACCACCGCACCGCCGAACCAACAGAATGGATCACACGAGGAAATGGCCGTGTCTTGCCTGGCGCCTGTCCTGTGACTGCAGGGTGCTGGCGTGCCTCGAGAGCATCAAGATGGGCATCAACATGGTCAGTGAGGGAGCGAGGGAGGGAGGGAGGGAGCCCTCTGCCTGCCTGTGGTATGCCGCGATTCAATCTGTCTTTTGGCCGTGTTGTTGTTTGTTTAGGGTGCGATGGTGGGCGGCATCTTCGGTGCTCTGACGGGCGTGTATGCGTCAATCGTGCAGCGAAACATCCTCCTCTTCCCCCTCTCTGTGGTACGCATGCGAACAGGAACCGGCATGCACTCATTCGTCGCCCCATTGCCTTTTCCCGGTGCAGATTGGCGGTGCCGTGAGTTTCGGCTTCTTCCTGGGCTGCGGCATGGTCGTCAGATGCGAAGACAGGCACCAAGGCGACGACTGTGACGGTGGTGCGGGCTACATGCGACAGTATGTTGTTATTCGCCCTATCCCATCACACACACGGGCCTTTGGAGGCCGCAGGCAGCATCACTGGGCTGGGTGGAGAGGGAAGGGGGGCGACTGAGGAGGTTAGGCCAGATGTGATGGATGGACGAGCGTGTCAGTCAGTGCGTCGTGTTTCTTGTTTGGTTCATGCCTTGCGTGGGTCAGCCATTCGTCAAGTGAGAGCTTCTACACGCGTAGATGTCAGACACACGTAGAGAAGCCCTCATGAGGGAGGGAGTCAGATCTCTTGCACATTGTCCTCAAACTCCCCTCTTTTGGATCTCGTCGTGTAAGATGGCCCAGCAACACGGCTGCAACGTGTTGTTGGGCGCCCTTGCACTACAACATCCAAAGGAGGAGAGTTTGAGGGAAGGCCGATTGATTCATGGGCAGGCGACGTGTGCGATTTATTTGTCTGTCTCGGGCACAGGCGCACAGATTCACCACCATGTGACGGACAGGGAGTGGCCTGAATGCCCCCACACATACAAACACATGGACATCCAACGAACCCAACGGACGGACGGACTGGAAAAGACGGCGTGATTGAATCGATTGAGCTAGGTAGGTAGGTACCCAAAAACTTATGAGCACAGATTCGCTCACTCAGAGAGACTCTCACACCAACAAACCACACACACGACACAGCGGTCAACTTCCCCCTCTACACAGATAAACGGCTCTCTCTATGCATAGTGTGTGCTGAACACACCTCCGTCCATTCATCCATCACACAGGCTCATGCGCCAGCCTCACGAGCTGCCGCGACACCTTCTTGACGTCATTGCACCTACACACACACCCAGACGTAGCGTAGCGTGCCAGCTCTGCCTCCGGTCCCGCGTGTGTGTCTCGTGTCTCTCTTGCAAGCTGGCTGCCCCCGCTCCCACTGACCCTGCGAGTTTCATGGCGAGTGTGAGTTCCTCCCTGATCATGGACAGGACGTCCACTACCCCCTGCTGCCCCCCACACGCCAGGCCCCACAGCACGGGCCGCCCGACGGCCACCATGTCAGCACCCAAAGCAAGCGCCTTCAAGATGTCCGAACCCCTTCACACACACACACACAGCGAGAGAGATCCAGGATGTCTGCTCATGTAGGCGTGTGTGTGCGGCCACACCGTACGTACCTTCTGACTCCCCCGTCAACCCAGATGGCCATGCGTGTGGGCATCCTGAAGTGGGACTCCATGACGGGCTTCTCAGCCAGGGCCTGCTTGATGGACGGCAGCACCGTGATGGGGGCGTCCACGCCGTCGAGCTGCCGGCCACCGTGGTTGGACACCCAGATGGCAGACACGCCGTGCTCGCGCGCCAAAAGGGCGTCTTCGGGCGTCATGATGCCCTTGACAATGACGGGCAGGGCCGTTATCGACTTGAGCCAGTCGATCCTATCGGCAGCCAGCCAGGCAGGCAGGCAGGCAGGCATGAAACATCATGCATAGTGTCCATTGCTGTGCATTGTCCGTGGCTGGAGTGCGTGTGCGTGCGTACGTCTTCCAGGTGAGGGAGCCGTCGTACATGGAGTTGACATAGGCGCTGAGGGCCGACTTGGTGTCGGCTAAGCCAAAGTCGCCCCCACTGCCGTCCCTGGCGGCCTCTCTGGCCCCGCACAACCTCGTGGCGCCATGGGTCTCCTCGTCGAAGTTGGCGAGTGTGAGGTGGGGGGGCAGGGTGAAGTGGTTCCGCAGGTCCGCCTCCCGCCGACCCATTGCAGGTACGTCCACGGTGAGGACGATGGCCGAGTACCCTGCGGCCTCGGCACGCTTGATCAGCTGCACTGTCAACTCACGCTGCCTGAACACACACAGACACACTCGCGCGCGCATAGGTCCATCACTTTCATTCACTCGGTCCATTTGTCTGTCTGTTGCCTTACTGGAAGACGTATAGCTGGAAGAATCTGAGTCCCTTGCCCGAACTCTCTGCGACCTCCTCGAGAGGTGTGGTGGACATGGTTGAGAGGGTCATGGGGACACCGACCTCCCTGGCCGCCCGGGCAGTGGCCGTCTCGCCCTCGGGGTGCGCCAGCTTCTGCATACCTGTCGGCGCCACCAGGACGGGCATCGTGCTCGTGTGACCCAGACTGCACACACAGACACACAGCCACACAGCAACCAGATGCCGATCCGCAGTGGCTGAGTGTGCGTGTGTGTTGTTGCACACATGGATGTGTTGAGGTTGACTTTGCTGACGTCATTGAGGACTCGTGGCCGGAGCCGAATGCGGTTAAACGCCTCGCGGTTCTCGCGAAGCGTCCACTGGTCATTTGCACCAGACGAGAAGTAGCCATGACTGCAGCGTACGCACAGACACAGACACATCCACATGCACACAAATGGCGCAGGCAGATCTTTGTTCGCTTTCTGTCCCCTCACGCTTGTGTGGTCAGCCTCTCCTTAGCCGTCGCCTCATAGTCATCCAAGTTGATGGGATGGAACCCACCATTTGCACTCACTGCCATGCTACGAACGACACTCGCAACTCGCTCCCGCAAACAGCACTACCGATTCATGCAGCCAATCCAGGTGCAATGTAAAGGGCGTGGGAAAGGCTCACCCCGAACCGCTTTTGGCGACTGCGAGCTTGAAAGAGGTGCAGATCTCTTCCCTTCTGGCCCTTTCCATGAATTCCATCACATTCGCCTTGTCCTTGAGCCTCCTGCTTCCCGGCAGCATCGCATTCTCGCCTCCGCCGAGGCATCTTCCTTTCACACATGGCCCTGGATCAGACAAGGCAGCCTTCGCCACGATGGGCGGACCCAGCTCTGTGATAAGGCGGCCAGTGACCAACAAGCACCAGGCGGGTAGATTGCAAGAGCGGCTGCAGTTGCGTGCGTCGGCTGTGATGGACGAGGCTGTCAAGGGCAAAGTGGAAGACAAAGGTGCGCATGTGGGCGGTGGGAGGGTGGCCACAGACAAAGAGGGGAGGAGGGCAGTCCGGAAGCCGCACTCCACTCCACACCTGCAAACACATGACATGCATGTGGTCTGTTGTTGCTGTGCTCGTGTGTCTGTCGTTCAGCTGATGCGTGGCAGCGGATCGCAGGCGGCCTTTGGTGGGGCCGCCCGGCCATCTTCGACAGAGAAGTCCGCATGCACCCACAGCACACACACACCACAGAACCATATATATGACACCCCCACACCCCCACTGTCTCCCCTACCTCGGTCTGGTCTGTCAGGGCACGTTTCAGGGTTTGGTCAAGGCGGTTCGCAAGAGCGAGGCCGACGGCATAGAGTTCTTCCACCGTTACATGGTGCCCAACCGCGGCAAGGCGCTGGAGTTCGGCGGCATCGAGCTGCGCACCGCCAACAAGGGCGACTGCCGCGTCTACCTCGGCAAAGACCTCTATGGCTATGGGGTGCCCTACGGCAACCTACTGCTGGGCAACGTCTATAACCACGTGAGCCGAGTCGGGCGACAAGGGGCTACACACGTGTGTGTGTGGATGGATGGATGGATGGATGGATGGATGGATGGGGGTGTGTGTGTGTGTGTGTAGGCGTGGAAGCAGAACCTGCATGTGTGGGTTCAGATCATGCCCGACAACATCACGCAGGCCTACACCAACGTGCTCTTCGTCGGCCCCAACATGGAGGCCGGCACCTGCGGCATCTACCAGCGGGACGACAGCTACTACACCGACACCACCAACGCCACTCAGCAGCGCATCGAGGAGTTCCTCCAGTTCCAGGAGGTCGAGAGCCAGGAGCCCTACGTCATCCCCCCCTACCCCACACACTACAAAGGCCGCGTGCAGGTGTGGTCGGCCGACCAGCAGCTGCACGGCGAGACGGACCTGAGCATCGAGTGGGAGCCGACGTACGATTTTTACCATTTTGTGGAGAAGGTGAAGCTGGGTGGGCTGGAGGGGTTTGAGGGTGGGATGGCCAGGTTCCTGGAGACGGATGGCGACGTGAGGTACGGCGTGGAGCTGGACAACAACTATGAGCGGCACGCACTCTACCACAGCTGGTGAGAAGAGAGGGGGACGGAGGGGGGAACCGGCAGTCGGATGGCCATGTGTGTGTTGTGTTGTGTTGTGTTGTGTGCAGGCACCATCGTTTCCAGGGGCCGCCGACGAGTGCGTGGGGCAACGGCCGCACTTTCGGACGATGCATGTACTTCACACAAAATGGTACCTACCTACACAGGACGGCACGGCTCCCCTTGCACTGCACTCATCGTCGGTCGCTATGCCTCTCTCTGCTTGGCTTGGTGTGTCATGTCAGTCCACCACACGCCGGTCTTCATCCAGGGCCGCAACTACATCGTTTACAAAGACAGCATCGCAGTCGCATGGGTCGGTGGCTGGCTGGGGCACACCACACCCATACACACACACTCACACTCATGTCCAAGCAACATCCATCGAGCCGTCACGAGTGACTGTTGGGTTGGCATGTGGTGCCTGCAGGAGTTTCACACCCGGGGCGAGCGCAAGTGGGTGGTCCACGGCCTCCTCGACAACGTCACAAACAAATAGATAGAGACATACAACACACAACACACGCGCATAGTCGACGCACCGCATTCACTCGTGTGAGGACGGGGGCGAGGGCGCAGTGATCTCTCGTGTGTGTACCGGTGGGAGGGAGAGAGGGGAGAGAGGGGCCGATAGATAGAGTGTGTATGATATGAAATGTATATATATAGTTGTGCATGATCGATGTGATCGATTGTCTCGGTCTCTCTTAGCTAGCTTGACCAACCAATCGTCTCAGCGAGTGAATCGAATCAGGCCAGGCACTTGCTTTATCCCTGTCTGTCTGTCTGTCTGTCTGTCTGTGTGGACGGGTGTACTCGAATTGGTTGCACCGCGACTCCCTGCCTTGAACAGCGTCGACCCACATGCTGTCTGTCTGTCTGTCTGGAGGCTTTCGTTTGACCCGCTCAGAACCATTCACCCGTGGCCTGGAAAGGCTCAAATGGAAGCCTTACAGACAGACAGACAGATCGGCCTAACCTTCCCGCCCTTTGATTCGATTCCGTCGCCGTACTTCCAGTCAGTCGACCCACGTGACTGTGGATTGGCTGGTGGGCCCTTTATACGTGGTTGAGCGTCCCACTGTTTAATCGAGGGGCAGGGAGCTGACTGAGTGCAGTGCATACGAGAGAGAGAGTATGGCCTCTTCGTGGCTGGGTGTGTGTGTGTGTGTGTGTGATGCAGGCACTTGTCTGTCTGAGTGCCTATCTATTTATTTGTGTATGTGTATGTGTCGGTGTTGGTGTCAGTGTTGGTGTTGTGTACCATACATACAGACAGACATACATAGTCTGCATGTGCAAGTGACAAAGCCCGCGAGAGATATGTCAATGTGTCAATGGTGATGCAGACGGCGGGCGGGTCGATGATGGGTACAGTACCGCTTATGGCGCCATTCAGGCTTAAACTGCACGTCCACACCGGCGTAGACAGACAGACAGACAGACAGACAGGCACGCACCCACACATGCAGATTCGAACGAAGGAACGCAGCCAGCCAGCCAGAACGCGGCCCGCCCAAAGCGGGAAACGGCCTACGGAAGACAGACAGACAGGCACGCACTCATTCATCAGCCAGTCAGCCTTTCTGCGATTGAAAAAGCCCCGCGCCCATCCACACCACGCCCCCATCACATTTCGTCCATCCACCCCACGACGGCCCGGCCCGTCCCGTCCGTCCGTCCGAACATGTGTAGCCCCAGCACTTGGCACACACGCGAGCCATCGACGCCATACTCAACCACATAGTACTGAGACATCATCAGCACACACTCCGGCCGCACCTCTATCGCATCAGAGAGGGACACACCCATGGCATTGCCCCTGCTGCCTTCCTGCAGGTGCTGTTCCTCTCTCTGCATCAGTGCCTCCACCGTCACGGGGCCGCCATCTCTCGTGTCGTGATGCACCTGCCGTGCCTTGCTCGTCGTCACCATGAGTGGTAGCATTTTCGCCAGGTTGGCCTCGATGCCCACCTCCTTCTGCCCACCAGCGGACAGCTGACCCTCCATCTCCGAAAACAGGAAGACCTCATCCTCGCCCTCATAAGCATCGCTCGGTGTTGCCTCGAAGGCAATGGCCGGCAGCCATCGGTTGTGTCTCGCCCCGTCCTGGCTGTGAGAGAGGGACGGCCGCGTCACGGGGAAGATGCGGAAATGTGCCGAATGGTCGGCGAAGGGCGACTGCAGGGTGAGTGTCTCGGTGGCCATGTTCCAGCGGTGCATGGTGCTTCTCAACTCAGAGAGGTCAAAGGGGCCCAGGATGACGGTCTTGAGAGGGGTGGAAGGGGTCAGGGGCACTCTGGGGGCGCCGGTGGGGGTGAGGCGGACACAGAAGAGGGGCACCGACCGGATGTGAGCCTGTGTGAGGGCCTTGAGGTCGTCCTTGCTGATGAACGGCACTGCAGCGACCACCTCTCCCTCTCCCTCTCCGTCTCCTTCACCCTCCTGGCCTTCGCCCGCCGTCTGGTCCAGTCGTGTCTCCTCATGCTGCTGACACCAGCCGGGGCAGTGCGGCAGCGGCTTGTTGAGAGCTGCGTCCATGAGGGCCTCGATCGACCCTCCCGCTGCCCCACCCCTCGTTTCCTGCGCATCCTCCATGAACCGCAGGAAGGCCTGCGACCCCGTCCAGACGGACACCACCTGAGAACTGATGTGGTAGCTTCCCTCGACGTCTGTCCCCACACCAAACGTCGCCGGCGGCCTCGGCGCATAGGCTGGTGGCGACTGCAGGTGGGACATCATCATCATGTGGCTGATGGGGTCCAGCTGCCATTGCTGGATCAGCATGTCGTCCTCGTGGTGCAGAGTGACCGAATCAGGCACACATCTCAGGCCGTCTGGCAGTCGGGGCACGCCACTCCACACAAACGTGGCGCCATCAGCCCTCTCAAAAGAAGACGGCTGCCGATGAGATCGCCCGTTCTGCGCCCGCGCTGCCATAAGTCGACAGCCGGAGGAATCGGTGGGGGCGGCATCCATTGTCCGCGCTGTCTTCCTTTCTGTCCAGGATGGGTTGCGGCAATGGAGGGAGAAGAGCCGGCTGTTGGACGGGCCTTGTGATGGCTGCACGCCGTGGTCAAAGCAGAGGGCAGTGCGGTCTTGGTCGTCTGTGAGGAGTGCGCCTCCGATCCCTCGCCATGCCAGCAGCCGCACAGATGTGGATGGGTCGCTGTCTGAGGGGCCGTTCCTGTTGGGTGAGTTGATGCAGTGTAGCCTGAGGCTGCCCTGGACGAGAGGAATCTGCAGCACACACAAGGTACGCATGTCATGAGGTGATGCTTTCTTGCTTGTGCGCGAAAGAGAAATGCAGACGGGAAGGGGCGAAGTGATTGACCTCTGTATGGGTGATGATTGGGGAGTACTGCAAGTCGACGGCCATCTCGCAGTACCGATAAGGCGGCAGCAGCAGCTCCCACTCGCCCATGACCATTCCCGACTTGCCGCCCTCCCGCTCCGACACAAGGGGCCTGAAGCAGCACCCCGGACCCCTGATGAAGTGCACGTCAAATGACACGCTGTGCTGGCCTCCCATGTCGCTATAGGCACTGGACCGCCTCCTGCCTTCACGTGCCGGCGGCAAAGTCGGCGCCACGACGGGGTACTCGACGAGACACGTCATGTGGATGAGAAGAGGACACTCGCCCTTGTTGGCCAGAAACAGTGTTCGTGCTGTGGGGATGAAGGGTGCGGCCTCGCCCCACACGAGCCGCTTGGCGCTTGTCCAGAGAGGCATGGAGGGCGGTGGGGGTGCGAGGACGAGGGGCAGTGTGAAGGCATGGCTGACGGCATTCGCGTCAACGGCGGCATCGGGGGGATTGGGGAGGGCAAGACGCAACTCCAGGGCGTAGGAACAAGTGGTAGTGGGCTTGCCGCCAGAGACATGATGCACAACAGGCAGTGACGGCAGCGGCCCGTCGAACAGGGCGTCGGTGGCCTTGTCGGCGATGATGTGGATCGCTCCGGCCTGCCCCTTGGCCAGCTCCAGCTGCATGGGCTCCACGCGAATGTCCCATCCAACCAAAGGGTTCAGCAGCGCCTCCAGTGGAGACACAAGACCGGCTGATTTGTGCACTGCTGGATGCAGCAGGGCTCCTTTCAGCACAACTCGTGGGAAAGTGCCGTCATAGCGCACTTTAACCCAGGCATGCAGCCGGACAAAGCCATTATACTCGTCACCTTGACCATTGCGGGTGGTCCTGCTGTCGGCCACGCGCGTTAAGGAGGCCCCATCCGGTCGAACGGGGGCAAGCGCCCCGTCGCTCTTGCTCTTGCAGTCAGCCCTGCCGCACATCAGGGCTTGTAGGGACTCTTTTGGCTGCAGGACGATGCCCTCCGCCTGCAGTGGGTGTGGCACCTGCAGCGCCACGACGTCCACAAAAGATTGCAGCACGCCAACCACCACGGGCAAACCAGAACCCTCGATGACATCATTCCTGCCCACACCAGCACCTCCGGCACTCTCAGATGGGAGATTCAGCAGCGCAAGGGCGTCATAGAGCGGTGTATCTTTCTCCAGTGCCCCGAGGCAGTCGGTGAGGAATGGGGTTGTCTCCGTGATTGTTGGTGATGGCACCAGGTGGAATGCCGTGGAGCACTCGGGGCGCTGTGGGGGCAGGGGGGCTGCGGCGGGGCTGTCGAGGATGTCGGCCAGTGATGGACCCGCGTGTGCAGGGCGGGGGGCGGTGGGAGGGAGACGGTACCTACCACCAGAACACACGACACGCACACCATGGATCTATCGTGAGACATCTATCTTCTTCCATGTCTCACTTGATCCAGATCGTCTTGCTGGTTGATGGCGGCAGCACCAGAGCCCGCCCCTCGCGTCGATCGGCCACGGGGGTCAAGACCACCATGCGGCCCTCCTTATTGCTCAGGGGGCCGTCCTTGTCGATGAGGATGCTCCACGTGGGGTGGCCTCTGTTGGCGTCTGTGCAGGGGTTGTAGACGTCAGCACCGCCATAGGACACCTTCGGGCTGATGGCTACGCCAAACACACTTACAACAGCGACACAGGCAGCGCACCATCAGCCATGCGCGAGTGAACTGGGTGATGTGCGACCTTCGGTTGGTGACTGTCACTGCTCGGCACCTCTCGCCGAAGGGAAACACCGCCCCCAGACAGAGAGAGGAAGGCGTGATCTGATCCAAACAAGGATACAATCGACACACAAGTGCCCAAGTCGTATGGCCTGGCTTGCCTCGATATTGGGCACGGCGGCATGCGCCTCCAGCCCCACCACACACACACTGGTGGCCGTGATCAGCTTCAGCTGTGCAACGTACTCCCCCACCCAATTCAGCGGCACGCCGTCGTCGCTCCTCTCTCCCTCTGCACCCCTCTCCCCTCGGGCGGGCGGCTGCACACGGTCGCACTTGTTGAGCGTGGGTGTGAAGGCTATGGGCAGGTGGGCCGTGCCGTATGGCGGCAGGGTGACGGGGCTGCTGGGGACGCGGAATGGGGAGCAAGGCGCGAGGGTGGGGGGCTCGGTGGGGTCTGGGGGATCGTCAAGTGCTGACACCGTCCACACCTCCGGATATACCAACACGGGCTGGGAGCTGCACGTAGAGGTAAGAGAAGACATTTTTCATGTTGGTGCGTCGATGTGTATCGATCTGCGTCTTTCTCTTGGCCTGCCTGTTGTTTTGCACGGTGAGAGTCCGCGTGTGGGTCAGCCCGACGGCACACACATCCCACTTGATTAGCCGCTGTGTGGCTGTGATCGGGTAGCCGAGCCCCAGGCACCCGTCGTCCTGCTCCGCAGCGGCCGTCTCTTCCTGATCGGGCTTACCCTCAGCCTCACGTTCCTCCCCTTCCTCCCTCTCCTCCTGCACAGGCTGCCCTTCGCCGCCTTCTAACTTTGGCACGCCACCCGCCGCTTCCTTGTCGTCTGGCTTGATCTCAGGAGAGGCACCATCGGGCGACTCCGTGTTGACACCGCTGACAGTGGCGGGCTCCTTCAAGCCGCCCCCGAAAGTGTAGTCGAATGGCGGCCGGGAGGTCTTGAGAGGCCCGCCACCTCCGTAGTACTCACGGAGGGGCCGGTCTTCGGGCAGCGACGGGAAGGGCATCGACGACAGGTAGGAGGATCGGGGGCAGTAGGGGAGGCATCTGTCCCTGTATCTGGGGAGCTCATATCCGGGATCGTCTCTCATGGCCGATGAAAAGTCGAATGGCTGGCGGGGTGGCAGCCGTGGCGGGGGAAGGACGGGCGTGTAGGTCGACCCTCCAAGCAGAGGCTCGGTCTGGAAGGGCCGGCGAGTGGGACGGTCCAGTGGGGACGAGCGCGGAGTCGACAGCGGATAGAAATCGCTTATGGGGGGAATGTCGATCGGCTTCTCGTCTCTCAGTCGCTCCGACAGAAAGCACGGTGGAGGCGGCGGCATTGAGGAGGGCGACAGCGACCGGAAGCGAGTGCCCGTCTCCCTCTCTCTGTCATAGTAAGCCCCCGACGTATAGGACGGGGCAGGTGGTGGTGAGAGGAAGTCGGCCGAGGGCCGCACAGCGCCGTATCTTGTCGTCGGCTGTGATGTCCACGCCTCTGCGGCTGCCGCATCGACACGAGCTTGGAATGAGGGCCGCGTGGTGTAGGGGCTCTTTGGGGGCGGTCGGCTGACAGACGTGCCGAAGGTGTAAGGGCTGGGGGTGGCGTGAAGCCGCCAGCTCTCAAATGTCTCCGGCTCCACTGTCGGCTCGTAAGCGCCCACCTCCCTCCTCTCTGTCTCTGTCTTTGTCTTGTCTTCTTCCATCTTCCCCTCCTCAGGAGGCGACAGCATGCTGCTCTCCACCTCCTCTGGCCCGTTGTACAGCACGCTGCCCATGACATCACCGCCATCCGTCTTGGCCTCGCGGAGACGCACCTGTGACGGCGATGTGAACCCAATCGTCGGGGTCGACCGCCAGCGGGCTGGACTGGGCCGTGTCTTCTGCCCGACCTGCTGCCCCGGCGGAGGCGGAAGCGGCATTGTCTTGGCTAAAGCGGTGTCTGTGACTGTTGGTGTGGTGAGGTCGCGCTTTGGCCCGATGGCGATTGACGTCTTTGGGGCGACGATGCCACGGTCAGGTGAGATGCTCACAAGGGTCGACGGGTGTGCATCGGCGGCAGGGGGTCCGACCGGCATGGTGAGGCTCTTCTTGGGCGGCGTCAGTTCGTGCAGCGTGTAGGGGCTCTCGGTCAGCCGTGGTGGCATAGTGTAGCCCCGCCTGTACTTCTCAGGGCCGTACTTGATGTCTTCAAAGGCTCGCTCTTCCTCCTCCTCTCTCGTCATGGGGTGGGTCGCCCGCCGCTTGTAGGCCACCTCCATTCCAGAATGGGCAGGCCGGGAGGCCTCGACGTCTGCCGGCATGGTATGGGACTTGTGTGTTGCTGGCGGCCGCCGGGCAAGTGTTGTTCTCGCGTCAGGTGTGGGTGTGGGGGTTGGGAGGGAGGGAGACGTGGGGCATGACAGCACCGGAGCACCAGGGGGCGGCTGCAGTCTGGCCTCCATCCGGTGTTTCACGGTCCCTTGGTCTTCCTCGGCCTTGACGCGGCGCTCCTTCTCCAAGTCCTGGTGCGCCTGGTCTAATAAGCCCTCCAGGCGACGGATCTCCCCAAGGTGCTTGTCCTCTGTCTCACGCATACGAACAGCCAGGTTCTGGACCTCTATCGACAGCTTGGTGCACGCCTCACGACCCTGTCAGTCACAGACAAGGAGACATACATAGAGACATAGGGAGGGACAGCAAGAGAGAGAGAGAGAGAGAGATGTAAGCACGTGAAGTACACCACACCCAGCCAGGTCCCTCCCTGCCTCCTGCTCCACCCAGGCACCAACCTTTTGTATCTCCTGTGCCTGTTTGTCGTGTGTTTCCTGCATCCTTTGCATGTCATGCTCGTGGGGCGGCTGGTGCTGCGGTCCCGTCTCGGTCGCACGCTGGATCACCATACCTCCCCGACTGGCTGGGCTCGCCTCCATAGTGTGCGCTCGTGCAGGTGCTGAGTGTGGTCCGGTGGTGTCGCGCTCCTCTCTCGGCTGCCATCCCTCAGCGTGCGTGTGTGCCCTCTGCGTTGTGCCCGATGTCCTCCTGCCGATGGAGTCGAGCACCGTGTCGATGAGACGACGACGCTCCGTCGGATCCGTGGGGAGCTCTGACATAACAGACATTTGCACAGTGAGTGTGTGCTGAGTCTATCTTCCCTGACGGTGCAGCCCACCTGATGGGGGTTCCATGGGCGTGATGAGGTGGTGTTAGCGACCGACAAGGGCTGAATCCCAGGCAATGGAGAGGGGAAGGGGTTGTGGCGGTATGTCAGAGCAGATTTGAGCACCGAATGCCTGTCGGTCTCGGATCTGAGACTCGCCTGTCATGGCATCCACACACAGGGAAAACAGGACATTCTGCAATGTGGAAGCTGCCCGTAGACTGTCTGTCGTCCCCCCAATGAGTGTGCATCGCCTCTTGTCCATCCATCTGCTGTCTTACCTGCGAAGATCAGCAACCGAAGAAGATCACACGAAGCGACGTACCGAATCCACCTCGTCCAGCGGCTTGTGCATCTGCCAGGACATGAGAGAACCGGAGGTCTGCGGAGAAGAAACACTACCCAGTGTGGGATGGGGGGGCAACTGAGACGGACATGCAGCCCCCAGCCCAGGGTCCGCTCCCCCTCAAACTTTCCCTAAGAGCTCGACCTCGAAAACTGAAGCCTTTTTTTGATGGCGGATTAGGACAGGTGTCACATCCCACGTACGGTGGCATCCACCGCCTGGCCCGCCGTCCACTCCGCTCTATTTCTGAATCCTTCCCAGCGGCTTTCGCCTACCTTGCGTCAGTTCTTTGGCGTTCTGCAGCCACAAGTATCCGCCATGTCTATAGAGGAGATAAACCGACAGAAATACCGATTCCAAGAGGTCACAAACGACAGATCATCATCACCTCTGCTGCATACCGTTCGTTCGTTGTGTGTGTTGTGTGCAGATTCGAGTGTTGAATCTGCCTCAGAAGGAGGAGGCGCGGCGGATGCTCGAGAGAGCCGCTGCACAGGTGCAGGTACGTCGCTGCGATACAATGCGGCACGAAAGGCTGCTGGTGTTCTAGTGAGTGACCATGTGTGCTCCGTTCCTGGTGTGGTGTGCAGCCATTGATGTACAAGTACAAGTGGCGAGTTCCGTTGCTCTACGAAGGCATACCCAGAAACCCAAATGTGGGCGGCTTCAACGTCAACCAAGGGCACAAAATATGTGTAAGCGGTGAGGAGGGAAGGCACCGCAATACCTCACTGAATGCCTGCGTGTTGCGTGTGTGGGTGGTGGGTGGCCATCAGTTGCGGCTGCGTCAGACGAGGAACAGTGGGATCACCTACTCGTATCGCTTAGTGCTGTATTGCTTGACGCACGAGTTGGCGCACAACGACATCCCACGACACGACGCGGCCTTCTACAAACTCTGGGCACAGCTGCAGAAGGTGGGCGGGGGTGCAGGGAATGTGTGTGCATCATGTTCATGTGACTCTATCTTCCTTCTGCATGGATGGATGGGTGCAGGAGTGCAGCGATTTGATTCGGCGCGGCATTAGTGGTGCGATGGACACCAGCCTCTTCCTCGGCACGGGTATGCCGGACCACACACCTACACATCTGGTGGTGGAGCACTCGTGTATGTCATGTCGGTGTGCATCATCCATCGGTGTGTTGTGTATCGCATCATGTCAGGCAAGCGGCTGGGTGGTGCTATGCACAATCCCGTGTCCCGTGACGACCAGCGCAAGAAGGCCAAGATGGTACGCTCGCCAACACTCCGACTGGCATGTGCCATGAGGCTGTACATACATTCCATTCCACGTGTGTGTTGGTGTTGGGTCGTCAGGCTGCCGAGCGGCGCAACCACCTCAAGAAGCTCATGCCCAAGGGCGGCAACCGGCTGGGAGGCGATGCGGACCTCATGAAAGGTAGGATAGCGGGCACACGCACACATCACCATATTGGCGACACACACATTGCTTCTCCCATTTCATCTTTGCCCATCAGCGTTGAAGCCAGGCGAGTTGGCCGCTGCTGCTGCTGCAGAGAGGGAGCGGGCGGCCAAAGACGTAAGCAAGCAGCCATACGACATCGCACACACCCAAACAGAAAGACAGACAGACAGACCGACCCACCCACCCCTCCCTGATTGATGGATGTATCCACCAATCATCAGGACGGCCGGTGCATCGCAGCCGTGGGCGATGAGGAAGATGTCGACTTCATCATCGACCTCACCACCGACGAAGGTCAGGACGACGCCCAGCCAGCCTTGGCCCCCCAGGACAACGCCTGGCAGGAGGAGGAGGCAGAGCAGGCCTTCCCCGACCTCTTCGCCCGTCTCGCCATCAAAGACGAACACGAACCTCACGACGGCCGTGACAGGGGCGAACCTGCAGCTGCAGCAGCAGCGGCTGCTGCAGCGGCTGGCGTGGCCGTCAAGGAGGAGGGTCCGAGTGAGGGTGGCGGCGAGGCAGCAGCGTCTGCCATCAGTGACGACGTGATTGTGTTGGACGACAGCGATAGCGATGAGTTGGGGGACGGGCAGGGGGAGGGACAGGGGGAGGGGAATGGTGGCGGTGTGAAGCGGCGCCGGGTGCACGACGGTGCTGCTGCCCTCGCCGCCGTGTGGAGGTGTGACCGCTGCACGTTCGCGTACAACCCCCCCATGGCGGCCAGGTGTGACGTGTGTGGTGGGCCCAAGCCGGTATGAATAGACACACACACACAGATGGACAGTTGGTTGAAGCCGACGGATCCATGTGCGTGCGTGCGTGCGTGGTTGAGTAAGAAGCACAGCAGGGGAGGGGCATGTGTAGATAACGCATGGTGCATGGGTTGGCTTCCTGCAGTGGCTGCAGTGCTGTCCCTTTTCGTTTCATGTGTGCATGGATGATAATGTGATGTGGATCTTTCCAAACCATTCCATTGCAATTCCATTGCAATTCTTTCCGCTCCATTGCACCGAGGAACCCGCCGAAAAGGCTTAGAGCGGCTCCCCTCCGCGTGTTTCCGATTGGGTTTTGTTTCTCGGACGGAATGGGGAATAGGCAGGCTGCTGCCGCTGCTGCTGACACCAGCCAGGTACACAGATGCCTCGCAGCCAGTCGTCCTCCCGTCCCTTCTTGTTGTACGTTGCCGGGCTGTCAGCCAGTCGTCCTCCCGTCCCTTCTTGTTGTACGTTGCCGGGCTGTCTGTCTGTCTGTCTGTCTGTCTGCCGGGGTGTGCTGACGTGGGTGTGTGTGGTTTGTGTGGTGCGTGGTGCACGTGTGAGCTGCTCTCAGGCCGCACAGCCGGTGACCGAAGTAAGATCACGAGCCGCATGGGAGGGCATGGGACAGGCGATTCCCTTGCCGCTTTGTTTCTGTGTCTGTGCAGCCCGAGTCGACGTCGCCTCAGGCGATCCCCACTGGCCTGTCACCGGTCGGCCTGCACAGAAGCGATGACACGAATGGGCTGCATGGTCTGGTGTGCTGATGATGGTGGCGTGCGTGTGTGTGCAGGAGGAGCAGCAGGACGTCATCACAGCACAGATTCGTCAGGTAGGGCGGTGGGTGAGTGGGTGAGTGTGCAATGGTTGGGTGTCGTGTGTCCCTCCCCCTCTGTCTGTTTGTGCTGTGCAGAAGAGCCACGCTCAGTATCAGGACACCTACTTGTGAGTGGGCGCGCCTCGTGTCTGTCTGTGTTTCTGCCTCATTGATCTATTGCACATGAATTGCATGGCATGCAGGTTGTCTGCCCAGCGGACCCCTATGCACATTGTCGAACTCAAAGGTGGCCGCTGGTGCTTCTGTATCTCCACACCGTACTTGAATGTGGTCAGACCCGAAGCAAGCGACCATCGAATGCATGCATGTGTGTGTGGAAGTGGGTGTGCGTGTGTGTGGAGTCAGGTGGACTCGGTCTTCCCTCCAGACAAAGCCGTCAAGCCCTACACATACATCAATCTCAGCAGCAGCAACATACACGTATGTAGGGCGTGCGAGGCGAGCAGGAAGGCGCTTACTTCTATGCTTGTCTGGGGTGTGGTGTCCCACAGGTTGTGGGCGACATGGTGCTGCTGCCCAGCCCTCCCGACGCCCCACTCGCACAACTTACACCTGCTGTCGAGACGGTGCTGCAGCAGATCGCACATGGCGATGGACAGCGCTACATTGTGTTCGGAAGTACCCACATAGACACAGACAGACAGACAGACAGACCATTCATGACACACACGACCTGTCTGTGTCGGTATGCAGCCGAGGAGGCCGTGTTGGTGTTTGCCGTGGTGCTGACGATGGCCACAGTCCCCCCGGGGAGCGACACGACATACCTGGAGATGGCCAGAGGCGTATGCACAACTCTGCTGCTTTGCGGCTGATGTCTGAACAATTCACCCGATCACTGTTTGATTGTTCGCAGGTAGCCGAAGACGGCTTCGGTAGGGTTCTCTCCCCCCGTCTGGAGCTGTACATGAAGGCGATCGACGGCACCTACGCCCCGCCCAAGATCAACACATGATCGATCTGGATGGAGGGCTGAGTGACTGACTTTGTTTTTCCGTCCCGTCTCTATGGACAGACAGACAGACAGCCATGCATGGCGTCATTCTGAGCATGTGCCGCCCGTGTATTCGCATTCGTACACGACCCACTCACTCACTCACTCCTCTGTAGCTATGTAGGTATGTATACACGTAGGTATGTATGTGTGTGTGTGGTTGTCGTGCTGACTGATTAGGTCATCCAGTCTCGGCCGTATATGTGCATACTCACTCGTATTGGTATTTTCTATGGGTGTAGGCAGGTTGGCGTGATGCGTGCGTGTGGGTTGGCCGCAGGTGGGCAAGTGGGTGTGGGCGTGGTGGTGGTGTACTTGTAGGTGGGCAGACGATGGCTCATTTCGTACGTCAACACCTTCTTCACCAACAAGTACCTACTCCCTCTTGCAAAAGCGGTGGCGGGAGGGAGGGAGGGGGAGGCAGAGACTTTGTTGCCCCGAACTGACTTGAACATGTTACCGAAAATGTTGCCACATACATATGCACATATGCACCCGTCAGCAAAGTGAAACGCACACACACACACACGAACGCGCAAGTGGCTTAAGCAACGTCCCTTCGTGTCACACGTCCACAGAGCCGAAAGACGAACGAACAAAGACGGCTTAATGCTTACACCGTGGTGCGGCCCACAGAGCCATACAAGAGCAAAGACATTGCTGCCTAACGACTATCATCGGATGTCATCATACAGGCAACAGCCCCTGGATGGTTCCGCCCAGCTCTGCGGCCGACTGTGCGATGACCTCCAGGCCGAGTGCTGGGGGGCCGTTGTCGACCTGCTGCCAATCGGGCTGGCTGTAGAAGAGCCTGCTGGTGGAGAACAGGGGGGTGCTCCAGCTCTCCATGAACTGCACACCCTCGTTGTACACTTTGTCCGCCTGCACACCATCGCCCACCAGCCACACGAGACATGGTGAGACGTGTCTCTGTCTAGGCATTGCCGGGCCGGCCAGTCGGGCGACTGACCCGTTCTTTGATGAATCTCTGCACGGCTATGGTGCCGATGTAGCCCTCGGACTCGCCTTGCACGAAGCTTGCCACGCGGCCGGCCTCGATGAGTGTGCGGCTGTAAAGCCAGTCGTTGAAGGTCTGCACTCTCATGGGGTCGTCCGCATACTGGGCAGCATACTGCAGGGCAGACAGACAGACGGGCAGACATTTGTGCAGCGATTGAGAGACAGGCAGACACACGTCTCGCGCTATGGATGGATGTCTCGCGAATGCCATGCCACGCCATGCCTACCTCGGCCTTCTTTGTGGCAACCGTGGCCACGAATGCGTCGACCATCTGCCCCAGCTCCTGCTTCCTGCCCGACCAGTTGAAATCATCCAGTTTGCTTGGAACCGGTCCGGCCCACCCCAACGGCGGCTGGGGCGCGCCTGATGATGGCTGCAGGTAGAATTGCACGATGAAGGCTGTCTCGATCGGTGTCAGCGCGTCGGTCGGAGGCCCCATCACCAGTCCCCCTGGGGCGGGCGGCACGGCCATGGGGGTCGCACCAGCGGGGGACATGGCTGAAAGGGGATCTGGGGGTGGACCTGGGCCGACAGGTGGGGTGGGTGGGGGCGGGGGAGCAGGGACGCCGGTCTGCTGCGGACCCAACAGCCCCGGCAAGGGACTGGCCTGAGGTGGTGCGAACATCGGAGGAGGGCCCTCATCGAGGCCGGGGATCAGCATGTCGGGTTGGGGCTGCCCTTGCTGCGTGGAGAAGATATCGGCCTCTTGGAGGAGTTTGAGAGCGGCCGCGGCTCCCGCTTCGGGGGATGAAAGAGGTGGCGAAGCCGGGATGCCACCCGGAACAAAAGCAGGCATAGGGACTGCCAGGGCCTGAAGCGCCCGTTCCGTTCGACGCACCAGATAGTGGTCCTGAGCACACAGAACACACACACACGGGCGGGCCAATGAGCCGGTATTGATCGCTCTCTGTGAATGATCGCCATCCAGCTCACCACGACAGCGAGTGGGTCCCTTCCAGCCTGCAGTCTCCGCCGTTTTGGGTCAGCCCCAAGCCTGCTGCGCTCCTTGGCAATGGCGTCGAAGAATGCCGTGGCTCTGTCTCTGAAGACGTCGGGCCCCATCTCACTGTCACCTGGCATCACGATGGGCCCGGGCATCGCCCTGATCACCTTGTCCGCGTCTTCAGACTTGATGTCCTCCTTGATGATGGTGTCTTTCACCAGCTTCTCAAAGTCGGTGTACTGCGGGTTCTTGAACTCCTCTAGCTGATATAGACTGACGCCCAGCAGCTCGGGGCGGATCCACATGACGTTAGTGTGGGGCTCCTCGGCTGAGAAAATCACGCAGACACAGACACACATGAACGAAAGCATGGGCGATGTGCAACCTGTGTGCTGCAGTTTGTACTTGTGCGGTAGAGGATGTTGTCAATGTAGTCCTCGATGCCCCTCCTTGCCTCGTCGCTGCCCAGGTCACTGTACTCCCTCGTGTGGCCGATCAGCTGCTCACATACCATAAGTGCACATCACATCGCCGGGGTGAGTGGGCGAATCTGGTACATGTCTCTGTCTCTCTGCACCTACCTTTCTGAGGTCTCCGTAAGCATACATCGCGACCAGATCGACGTACGCGCTGTACTGCTCACCGTCGAAGGAAGGCCTCTTGGCGTACACCTGACGATATAAGAGGAATGGCATCAATCGAGAGTATCGAAAGCGCCACAGAGATCTGATATCGTCTGCCTAAGTACCTTGACGGCGACAGCCTTGAGGAAGGAGTTGGCGTAGACTGTCACCTCTCTGGTTAGTGTCTTAAACTCATCAAATTTCCGTAGCCACGCGTCGGTGAGGTCGACCTCCCTCTCCCTCGTATAGAGGATGGCCCGATACTCCCTGACAAACACCATGTTGACCGCCTCACTCGACCCGCCATACACCGGCACCCCAACGCTGGGCGGCGTCATCTGCCGTAGAGTGGGGAATACCACCATCGACTCCCCCTCTGTGACCAAAGATGCCGCGCCATATGGCTTGTATGAGGGAACGAATGGCAAGGCCGCTGGGGCCTTGGGGATGGCGGGCTGCAGGTAGCCCCAGGGCAGCAGGGGCGGCAGCAGGGGCAGCTTGACGAAAGCGTCACCGTACTGCTTGGCCGCCTCGACAGCCTCCTTGCTCATCTTGACAATGAGTTGCTCGGATTCCGTGAGCAGGGCGGCTGGGGGGGTGACCACTTCGGGGGGCTGTACTTGAGTAATATACAGGTCCGCCCCCTCCGCAGTGGTTTTCTGCAGAACACACGACACTCACCCACTTAGGTGCACCTGTTTCTCTCTCACCTGCATTGCACTCAGGTGCTCGGGGGTGGCTTGAAGCATCAGGCGCCGGCGGATGGGTGTTTCCCCGAGATCAGGCGAAGTGTGCTGCCGCGCGACGTTGATCAGCAGGTAGTAGCCATCGACCTGATGGGAAAGACCAGGTGAGATCAGGGGATGGATGATGCAGGGGCAGGCAGCGCTGCCACCAATCTTACCTTACCGCCAGTGTCGGAAGGTAGTCCCTGAACACCTTCTTCTTCTCCTCACTCGCGTCCTTGTAATACTTGTCTCCGCTTAGCCGCAGGGTCTCAAAAAAGGGAACAGCAAATTTGTCCAGGAAGTGGGTCCAGTCGTCTGGGGCTGTGGTCGCCCAGGCCGGCTTGACGTCTTGGAAACTGACTGTGGGCAATTGGGATACACTCGTGCAGAGTGGATCGTCGAGGGGACAGTCTGCCGGCACGGACACCGATGCCGTGATGACGGAGCCTGTCTTGAAGGCCTCCTGGAACAGAGTGTAGAGCTTCTTGTCGAAGTCCTTGTCGTAGCGATCGATGGACGGCAGCCGGTGCTCGCCGTCTTTGACGATAGAAGCCGCCACCTCCTTAAGATACTTGCTGCGGACCGCCTCGTCGACAAGAGTTGCCGTGTCGAAGTAGCGACGGAACTCGCGGGTCACTGAATGACAACCAGCAGACTTCACTTGCTTCTGCCTCTTCTGTGTTGGTGTCTCGACGTCCGCCTTACTTTTGGCAGCCTCGTATGCGACGAAGTTGTCGAATGCCTTGCCGTAGTCGGTGCCCTTGAGCTTCTCGTGCACCGGCTCGAATGCAGCCCTGACCTCCTTGTAGAAGCTCGGCAGGATTTGCAGGGTTTTGGGAAGGGCCGTCTTGAAGAAGGCCTGCAGCTCAGATGCGACGACATCGACCTTGCTGACCAGCTTATCCTGCACATCATTACAGAGACGCCAGAGAATGTCCTTCGTGCGCACACCAGGTTTCACAGGCATTGTCGAGCCGCTCACGAGGAGATATTTGGCAAGGTCATCCAATTGCTTGAGGGCCGTGAGTGCGTTGAGGTCGGGGACCTGTGGGGGTCGCTTGGGCAAATAGGGCCTCTTGGGGAAGTCTTCCGCGTAGGCCTTGGCCTCAGTGTAGAGCTGCCGAGCCAAGCGATCCTGGTACAGAACCAGTTCGGGGGTCACCTCTACAGACACAAGACACAAGATGAAAGAGACATAACAAAGAGACATGAGAAGGCGCATGTCTTTCTCATTTATGTCTGAGCGCCTGCCTACTCTTTTCGTATGCAGCAGCTGGCTGCAAGAGGTAGAACCCCTCGACGGCCTTGGCGCTCATGAGCTTCTCAAACAGGTATTTCTCGTCTTTGCACTCCGCCAGGAGACACACGTGCTCTCCGCCAGCCAGAATGCTGTTGTAGGTGTCGGCGAGCCTCTGCATGGCCGCCATGAAGGGCACCACCTCTGTCCGGAGGAATGTCTGCAGCTCTGCGTCAGTGTACTCAATCTTCTTGGGCACGGGATCCCTCTGGTACATGTCCGCAAGAGGCTTCAGGTCGTCGAACAGAATGGGCTTCGCCTTTATCGCCGCAGCTGTGGGCTCTGCCTGCAGCTGGGTGATGGACATGAACCCCGGAGCCGTCGAGGGGCTGGGGTTGTTGGGGTCATACAGCAGGCGCCGTCTGCTGTTGTGTTTTGGGAAGGTCTGCTGGTAGAAGAGCTCGCACAGGGTCTTGTCGAAGGAGCCGTCCTTATATCGGTCACATGTGGGGATGCGGGCCTTGGCGTCTTCAAACAGCGACTTTGAGATGCTGTCGAAGTACGTTGTCAGGTCGCTGCTGAGGAGTCGGTCTTTGAGCTCCTCGCTATACTTGAGATACAGTTCCGACTCTGACAGACCCAAAAGAAACGGTCAACAATGGTGTCCTCCCATGCTCAATCCGCCTATGTGTACCTTTGGCCGCCGTTCTTGCGACGAACTCATCAAACGCATCGCCATAGCCTTTGTATTCACTGGTGATCTTGGTCATCCATTCAGTCTTGGCGTCGTCGTACTTGGCCCCCACCTGGTTGTTGATGAACATCTGCAGGGGCTCCAACTTGGTGTCGACGACCGCCGGATAGATCACTTTCAGGTCCTCCTTCTTGATGGGCTGCCTGGTCTTGAGAGACCCCTGAAATGTACAAAGAGAGGGGATAAATGCGTAGATGCACACACCGCTCTCTATTGGTATATTGTCCTCTGCGCATGACCTTGACGAGTTTGGTGAGGTCGTCTTCTGTCCTCTTCTCGCCAGGCACGAAGGAGACAGCTGACGGCGCATAGAGCAGCCAGCCTTTGGGACCTAGCCCGAGAAGATCAACTTCCAGAAGATCCTTCATCTCCACGCTGGCTCCAGGGAAGGAGGATGGGACGCTCTTCACTTTAGCCAATCCGTCCTGCGTAGGCACAAAATAAAGAGGGAATCCGAACACGCCCTTGGAACAGACAGAGTGTGAGAGTGTGTGTCATACCTTGATGATCATGTCGCTGTCGAACTTGAGTTGTTCCTCAATGCTTCCCGACTTCAAAAAGTAAGGCGGGAGGTTCCGGGCTTTCTCAGCCGCACGGACTGTCACATAGTCCAGGAAGGACCACACCTTGTCGGGAGGGTAACTCCCGTCACGAATCGCCGCACGTGATTTAGCCACCACTGAGGAATCGGACAGACACAAAACACACAGAGCCGTCCTGCCTTGTGTCGCATGCATGCATGCACGGCCCCACCGACTGACCGAGCTGCAGATATTCCTCTACTTTTGGAAGGACAGCTGGGTCATATCCTTGGAAGTCCTCCAGCTGCATGAGATACTCGAGCTTGAGGGGCGTGCCCAGCACGATGGCCCGGCGCAGCTGGCCCTCGAAGTCCTGGTCAACCTCGACGCCCTCCCTCTCCCCCTCCCCTCCTGATTGCGCTGCATTCAAGAAAGAATCAAAAGCCCAGGGGGGGGGCCTCATGGCCTCACGCCAGTCCGCTGATGGCGAGCGAATGCGCACACACAAACACAAAGACGTCACAACCAAAACATCAATGTGTGTTTGTGGTTGTTTGTGGTTGCATACATACATACCTCCCGTTTCGCTGACACGGATGGCTCCCACTGAAGGCCACTGGCCCATTTTCTGGACCTCCTCCTCCGTGGTTTGCAACAGACCGCTTCCCCAGGGAACACTGGCTGCCGCATCTTCCCCTTCTGTCCTGTCGATGAGTGAGGGAGCTCGGGGTGGGAAGAAGGATGGGACACGGGGTTCGAGGCCGACGAGGCGCTCCCTCGCGCCAGGGATATCCCCCGCCTGACCCAACACAAGCCTCAGGTCGAGGGAGAAAGTGGCGATGCAGAACATGAATGGCTTCATGATGGTCTATTCCCAGGGGAGATAAAGACGGGGAAGGGGTTGAATGCCGAGATCGGAAGTGGGGCCAGGGCCCCCATTTTGAGCTCGCTGAAAAACGCTGAAGAGGTCCGCAAGAGCTTTATTCGGCTTCGAGTTTGCACTGCAAGCGCTCTTTTCAACTGTTACAGTCGCATCGTTGCGACATCGTCTCATCTCGTCTCTGTCGCCGTCACCAAGGACAACTATCCTCCCGTCATCATGCCGCAGAGTTTCCACGCCTGGCCCCAGGCATTTTTCTTCCTCATGCGGTTCGCCTACGTGATGGGGGCTCAAAATCCCGATATGATGCCCCTGCCGCAGCCCATGACAGAGGAGTACGTCAAGACCAAGAAAGAGCCCACATGCCGGCGACGTCCCGCTCGAGGTCAGGGGAACCGCGCCATGGACCAAGAGCAGGGTGCTGCAGCAGCCCCACAGCAGGAGCCTAGCAGTGCAAGCGGCAGCGATGCACATGTGGGCTGGTCCGTCCGGGACGAGACGAGTGTGCGTCGCATGTGGACCGCCAGTGGTGGGCAGGTGGCCCCGGACGACAGCAATGGGAACCAGGACAAAAAGAACGACACCACGGGCAGCAAGGTGAGGATCCGGAAGCGAGCGATACCCAAGCCAATGGACACAAATGTGACGTCTCTTTTCTTTGTGCATGCAGGTTGGTCTGCCTCACGACGCCTCTAAGAGTGCTTCATCGTCGGCTGCTGCAGCCAGTGCGTCGGCGAGCGTGAGCCGCAACAAGACCTCCCGACTGCAGCGTGTGACGTTGCGTGAGCACGAGTTGCCCATGGCAAGGGCTCCGGTGGCTGAAAAGATGGCATCGGTGCTGGTACTCATATGTGCACCTCCTGCACGCATCTATCCATCCATCCACCTATCACTCTCCTGTGTCGTGTGGATGCAGGCGGAGAAAATCAAAAACAGCGGCCCCAGCGTGGTGTGCAACAACAAACACGCCAACGCCAAATACAACAACGGAATCTGATGGGGAGACAATGGGGAACTCAACAGGGGAACTCAAGACGGAAAGAGATAAAGGGAGGGAGGGGAATGGGGTGTCGGTGTCTGCCTGCTCGCTCTTCGTCTTTTCCCTTATCTTCCTCGCCCTTTCTCCTGCCTGCCTGGCTGGATTGCCTCTAGGTAGCGTCGTTTGTGTTGTGATGTGCACCGTCCGCTGAGAACACCGCCGGCCTGCCCACCCCTAGCTGGCCATTCCCTCTAGCCTGTCACCCACTCACTAGCACAGACTCCCTCGCCTGACACACACTTAGGATGGTAGCGGTTTTCCCGCGAGCTAATCGGCGAAGTTGCATCGACGAAGCTGTTAGTCGCTGCGTGGATGGTGTCTGTGCAGGCTGCGGGGCGACGCCGGATCGGCAGATCCCCACACGCGCACACACCACCAAAGCACCATCAGCACAACGTAATGAGACACGAGATAGGTCCATCCATCAGAGGACAGTCACTGAACAGCTAAGTGGAGGGCAGGAATGTACATACATGAGTGTGAAGCGACTATTCACACCACACCATACGTACACAGCCAGCAGCGCAGCAGACATGCATCTGTCGGCCCTTTGAGCTCTCTCTTGCGAGGTGTGTGTATCCATGCCTTTGCTTGTGCGTGAGGACTGCGTGCGTGCGGCCCTCTCGAGGCCTGCCTTCACGCATCCATCCGTGTCTCGTGGTTTTATGTGCATCCGTGGACTGGATGGTGCATAAAATGACTGACTGATTGATGGAGGTTGATGGATCATCTCTATTCTCCCACATTGATACACAGAGAGACTAAAAGCGTTTGAACTCTCACCGACACCCTCACCATGCATCGCCCGAGTCCACCGCCAATCCACAAATGCACCGGGACACACTTACACAAGCACGCCATTGTTGGTCGCTGAACTCCCACCCCCTGCCAACTCATTGTTAGCCACCACCATTCTAAAACCCCAACCAGCATGCACCCAGTCCCTCTCTCGTCCTTCTTCATTCATCAAAAAACTGACGGTACTCACAGCAAAAGAAGCCAAATGGCTCTTCCTCCCCGGGAAAAAATGGCTCGGTCGCGGCATTTGAAGCATGAGCATTAAGACCGACATTCCTAGCGAGTTGGATGGATACTTACAAAATAGCACCAGGACAGATGCACAGACACTGTAAGAAAACTCCCGTCTTATTAGGAATTGATTATCCAGTAAGAAAAAAGACAGCCGCCGCAGCTTGAAACCGCCATTCGTCAAGCTGTGTGAAGGAAGAACAGCCAGCCAGCGGCGTCGTGTATGTAGAGCGAAGAGTGCAGTATGTGATGTGTGGGCGGAGGGACAGACAGTACAGAAAATTGAGCAAATACTGTTGTACAATGTGCTCTAGAGACCTGACCAACCGACAGTGGGTACGTACGTACGGACGGACCTCGCCTTATGGTTGCATGGCATGCATCCTCGCTGCCTCGATGCATGCCACTCCACTAAAGCACACCTCATGTGAGCTGGTCACCACCAAGAGGCCTCCACATGACAACAAGCCCATCACCCCCCAGCAGCCGCACATTCTTCAATGCTCTCTGCTGGCCGGGGTCCCACCTGCCCTCTTCCCTCTTCACTTGCCCCCCCTCCCCTCCCTCTGTCTCAGTTGTGTAGATCATGACCATCTCATACGCCCTCTCACTGTCCAGGAAATGAACCGGAATCTCATCAATTGTCTGTGTCTCGCTCTTGCCGTTGATGGCCGCCAGGAACCACATGTCTCCCCTGTGGGCTTTGCGTGCCATGACGGCCAGCTCGCCTATCTTGCTCGGCGGCAGGACTCGTGTATGTTGCCATATGGTGGGGATGGCCTTGATGACGTCCAGGGCGGCCGCGTGCGGCTGCGTGGGGTCGAGAATGAAGGATGGATCTTCTGCAATGGTCGTGAGGGGCGAGTCGAACAACACCAGCAAGGCAATCTGATGTACCTGAAGACAGCAGCACACATCGTGTCTCCTCTCAGTCGTCCGTGTCTCGTTGGTATGGGCGCTCTCACCACAGTGGTCGGCCCTCGCCACTCCTTGGCCAGTGCGAGTGGCGTGTAGTCGGCCGCACCCAACACAAACCTCGTGAATGGCAGTGCGGCGTTGTGGGAGGACTCGATCGGTGGATAGTCATCTGACATCTTGTTGATCTCCATGCCCCACACCGCCTCTCTTGTCAACTCATTGGGGAACCTCCGTGTCTCACCAGTCGGTTTCTGATGGATACAGACAAGCCAGAGGCATGGAGTGCTTATCGCTCGGAATGTCGTCTCGTGGCTCCACTACTTGAATGCCATGGAAGTTGATAAACAGGTCTCTCTTGGCCGACTCAACAAGCATCTTCGTTTGCAAGCGAACTCGGGAGACTGTCTCACTGCAAGACAAAAAAGGTGTTTCTGGGTGAGGAGGCCACGACTATGTGCAATTTGCCTTACTTGTTGAAAAAGTCGAACTTGACACCGACGGCTCCTGTCGCCTTGACATTGTCGAGAAACAGTCTGAGGTCGGCGTAGTCATCCGCTGTATCCTCGACCTTGGCACAGTCCTCCCACAGCATGACCCCGACCCCCTTCTCGCGTCCATAGTCGCAGACCGCCTTCATCGTGGCCCACTTGTCGGGCCAGTCCGCCCAGCCGTCGTCGATCGTCGTGTATTCGAATCCCAGGCCAGCCGCACCGTCAATGTACTGTTTCTCCTCCTCTGGCGTGCCCGTGTCATAGCGCCACCATCGCCACACGGAGCGGCCTGGCTTGGCGTAGGACAGGTAAGAAGGGAAGAGGTCAGGGTCGGGTGCGGGGTTCAGCGACGTGATGACGTCACTGTTGATCAGCTCGTCGAGTGTGCGGGCGAGGAGGATGACGCGCCATGGGGTGGGGAGTGGGAGGGAAAGAGCGACAGTCTCGTCGGCCAGATCGGCACGAAATGTGTTGTTGTCGGGGAGGGCTATGTAGCGCATCCCCGGGTACTCATACAGGGCAGCTTCGGTCAGCAGCCGATAGGGGAAAGGGCCGGCACCCGCCGAGACATCATGGAAGATGAGTGGTGCGCCGTACAAAGGCCCTCTACTCCTCGGGCGAGACGAGAGAGAGCTGGCCGGAGCCGTCCGAAACACGCCGGCGTACGAGAGCAACTCATAATGGCTGAGTTTGTCGCGTTCGAAAAACCACGCCGCATCGTCGGCCGTGAAGGGGAAGGAAAATTGTGAAGTCTCCTGAATCACATGGCGGGGCTCGTATGTCGCGTTGATTGCGGGCAAAGAGTAGCGGAATGAGAGGCCATCAGGGAAGAGGCGGAAGTGGAGGTGCCACACACGCGTGGTTGGGCGATGGCGGAGGGTGAATGAGACATGGCTGTAGTGGGCCTCAGCCACGTCGTGCTTGCCGCGAGTCGCATAGGTCTTCCTCACTTGCTGCTCCTCCTTGCTGACCAGCTCCACATCAATCCCCAGATCAGTGCCGTCCACCGAGATGCCGAGAGCAGAGGGCAACATAAGGGAAAGAGAAGGCCGAAGCACATCCGCAGCATAACATAGTCGCCCCGATTGATCCACTGACAGTGTGACAGTATAGGACGGCCATCCTGGGGCTGGAGGGGAGTGCATGACCGACAAGGCGGTGGGCGTTTGGGGGGAGGCATCGGACGATGATGCCATGAGAAGGCTGGCAACAGGAAGGAAGATGACAAGGAGCTGAATGGGGGAGGATGATCTCATTGGAGGATCACTACTCAAGCAACTGCGGAGTGCTCAGGCTGCCAAACAAAAGACGCACGGACTGGGGGCCGCCCCCAGTGAACCGCCGAGACGGGAATACTTTCCTTCTCCCGCCAATTCGCAGGGAAAGCCTCACGTCCTCAGTGCATTGAGCACGGAGGTAATCACTCCTCATTTGCAATCATCAGGGGGCTGCCTGCGCGTTTCCTTTTGCTGCAGCAGTGACCCGTGACGGTCCTCTTCTTCTCTGGTGTGTCAGGTACATCATGTCGACTGTCACACACACAGCTACAAATGGACCGGTGCCGAGGAGAAGGACAGGCACCGGCCTCGTCTGAGGGCCTCTTTCCGCATCGGAGGTTGCGTACGTCCAACATCTTTGGCTTCTGGGCGTGTGGGTTCGTCAAGGGAAGGTGCTGTCCAGTTCTTCACGGCACTGCCAGTTCTGTACCTGCTGCCGGCGACGGGATGACTGCGGGGCCTGCTCATTACGATCAGCGAGAGGCGGACCTCCCGGACCGGATGTAGCCGCGCAAGAGTCCATTCGGCCAACCCCACATGCAGTCGCTTGCACCGAGAGGTCGCTGAAAGACGGCAGCTCTGCTTGGTATGGGTGTCGCTGTAGATGCATTCCTGCTTTGTTTCCGGTAATGGTATGTGATTGTCTCCCATACGTCCGCGGAGCAAACCGAGACGCAGGTAGGAGGAGCATGGGGGAGGACCCAAGGAGAACACACTAATGAGACGGCCACCGAGAGCCTGAAACACGCCCGAGGGTGCTGGACAAATGGTTCGAGACATGCAGGGCAATTTGTCTGTCTTCTCTCCTTGTTTCTGACATCATCAGGGAATATGAGTGCTTCTGAGCTGCCGTAGAAATGGTGATGATGATACTCTGGCTATTCAGCAAGGGAACAGGAGATGTACTTACTGAATACGATCCTTGTGTGTCTCTATGGTTGCCTACGCTTTTATTTCCTTGGCCGGTTTCACCTGTTGATTGAATTTCGTGAGCTTCTGTTCTGACCCATTAGTGTCTCGCTCTTTTCTTCTCTTTCCTTTTCTTTGCTGTCACTCAATTATGTATAATGTGCGACACGAAACGACCGGCATGGCATGCATTCATGGTTTGGTCTCTGGTGCCCTCAGCCTGTCACCCTCTCTGTCTCGTATCTCTCTCTCTCTCCGACATTCGTCTCCTGTACTCGTCTATCTCAAAAGATAAACGCCGGACCGTCAGCCGCCAGCACTCACCATGCACGAAGGGTGCCACTCACTCACTACAAAACACGCCAGTCAGTCACTCCCTGCGTATCACATCCCATATACAGACACAAGATAGGCACGCATAGAATTGTCTGCCGGTTGTGCTGACCTGTTGTACTCATCATCGCGTCTATTCCTCTTTCTTCGTCTTCGGCTCCTCTTCCGGCTGGTTGTCTACCTGCTGACGCGCGGTCCTGTCCCCTTGCGAAGCCCTGCAGAGACAAATGAGAAAGGCTGTGACGCTCGAGCTCATGCCATGCAGAATTTCTTTCGCGCCGCGACCTCTCAGTGTTGGTGTCGGGAGTCCGCTGCACTGCGGCCACGGGATCCGCAGCGACCACAGCAGGCGGCACGCGCACAGCACCCTCGTCAGCACGGATGTTCGACACAATGCGGCCGCTTCCCATGCGAATGGATGCCCGGAGACGGCGAGAGAACCCTTCCTCGGGCCTCGACGCCATGCTCATTACACAGCAGACAGAGTCGGGTGGAGTTGTGGAGCAAGGAAGGTGCTGTTGAGTGTTGCAACAATGGCCAAAATGCACGGAGGAGCCGCTTTGCTTCTCACCGGGGGCGATCGATCGCTTTGCATGCATGCACAAAACTTGAGCAGCAGAGCCCTGTCATTTTGACACACCCCTTACCTCCCGCCATCCGGTCTCTCCATGAGCGCTAGGATGTGTGTGTCAATGCACACACACGCACACACACATGTAAGGCTGTAAAACATCCATGCCGCGGAATGGCAAAAAGTGACAACCCGATGCTCACACGTACATGACTGTCCATTTGCCGCTGGCAAGGACAAACCTTGCTCTTCTACGCCATGCAGCACATCCAACAGACATGCCATGCAAGAGTGTGTCGCCCCCCGTAGAGCTACATCCATTGCAAGTGTATGTGGAGCGAAGGACGTGCGAAAAAAAAGCCTATCCGATCTATCTGTATGATCTCTTCTCGATATGATCGAACATAGTGTGATGATCGGAATACCTTAGATCCCTTTCGTGCACCCCCTCCTGTCGCGGCACGTACCGCCTCCACCACCCGCCCTCACCGACCTCCCCGCCCCGTTCCCCCGTGTCGCCGTCCATCAGCAGACCCTCAGGCTGCTCATAGAATGGGAACCACCCATCCGGGTCATGGTATGCAAGCAACTGGCAGTCGGCCGACTGGCGGATGGGCATGCCGATGAAGGGCGAGAGGGGGTCAGGTGAGATGAGGTCGATGGGGTGATCCGACAGGAGGTCGGTGTGTGAGAGGGAGGGGGACGGGGAGGGCGGCAGGTGGAGACGCAGCCGCCACGAGTGGAGCATCAGCCGTGGGCAGCCAGGGGGATTGCTGTACCTACCTTCGATACGCCTGTCCTTCAGATACAGACGATCGCCAACTGAACACCGGACCACACACAAGTGGGAAGAGCAACCAGCGGACATGCTGCTGTGGGTGTTTCGTCTCACCGATTGGGTGTCCGATGACCATCGTGTGGAGCCGCAGCTGATGCCGACGGTCTGACAGAGAGGATAACACAAACAACACGCACTCATCCACAGAGAAGTTTCCTTCTTTTGTTCGTTTGGGTACCAGTGATTGGCCTCAGCTCCGCGAGAGTGACGGGGCTGCCCAGATACTCGCCGTGGATCAAGGGAAGGATCAGGCTCGACGCCAACTGCACGCACAGTGAATAAGGAAGGCATCACAGACGTACACGTTCACACACACAGCGAGGCCATTGTCACTCACCTTTCCCTCAATCTGCGTGTTGGCGACCCTCCCCTCCTCGCATCCCTCTGTGGGCTTGCAGATGGGCGTGCGGCAATGCACAAACGTCAGAGGCGCATGTCCATGTAGCAGAGCCAGATAGATCTGAATCAACCGGGCACATGTGTTACACTTGCACGGACCATGGATGCACAAGACACGAGACGCCCAGCTCACCCGACTGATTCTACGGGTTGCCCAGAAGTACTCGACCTCCATCTGTGACCTGACGAGCGCAAACAGCCACAGACAGCACCATATTGGCATCACGCAAATCGCCCAATCGCCCACCCATCGCCTCTTTCTCACCTCCTCCCCTTGGCTATAACGTAAATGCCCGACACCCCGCTCTCCAGCGGCTCGCCCACATTCAGCAGCCGGTCCCCACCCTTGACTTCGCCATCGAGCCCCAGCTTGCCGTGCCATCGGCACAGCAGCTGCCCCACGCAGGGCAGCATCGATGAGGGGACCTTGGCTCTCGAGCGGCGGAGCGGCGAGGCCCTTCTGCTCTCCTCCCGCGTGGATGTGTCCGAGCTGGCGTGCTCTGTGGGGCTGCTGGGGTCGGCGGTGGAGGGCAGGGGCGAGGGGGATGAGTCGCTGGTGTCGGGGGAGCGCCGACTGGAGGGGGCCAAATTGAGGGACGGGTGAACGCCACACGGCTGCATACATAAGCACAGACAAGCAAACTCTGAATGGATATGTGTCGGTCGGTGTGCCTGCCTCCCTCTCTCCCTGCCTCCCTCCCTCCTGCTTGTCTTCTCTCACCTTGGAGACGACCAGCACACTCTCGCTGTCGTAGATCACATGCACAGAGTCGGCCTCTGGGAACTCGGCTCTCGCACTGTCCCCATAGTGAGGCTGTCCACTCGTGGGCCTCCCCCTCCCCTTGCCGACCCCACTCCGCTGCACATATCGCTTTTGCTGCTCGTTGCAGACACCCAAGCCGTTGGCTGCAAAGCCGTTCTGGTGGCTGTGACTTTTGCGATGAGGACTGATGAGCCCGTTCTTGAGCTGCAGAAGAGTGGGCGGGGCACCGCTGCAGAGTGTCATGCTGTGGGCCGGGGAGTGCTGCAGCCGGCGGAATGGTTGATAGCCACACGACCGCATCTACTGGCGACAATTACGACATCAAAACAGGCAACAGAAGTATCAGGAGCGTCACGTCCAGTGCATGAATGAGTCAAGAGGAGCAGAAAGGAGCCGTCCCAAGGTGCGGTTAGAGCGTATATCGCGTGAAACTTGGCCCGCCGTTTCTCCAACGTCTTCGGATTTCGCGCGGTTTGGTGTGGTGGTACAGCGAATGTTCTCGAATGCGTCGTAAGCGGAAGAGGCGGTCGTGCTGCAGTGCCTGGCGGATGGGCTGCCTTGCCGTGTTCGTGGCCGTCGTGTCAGGTGGGAGGACACTGAAGCAGGAAAGGCTTGGGATGGGTGTTTGTTTGTCTGTCTGTCTGCAGGTGTGTTCCGGGGTGGCGTGGCTGCTGAGCCCGTGGGTCACTCTCCATATGTGCCGGCGGGATATGAGAACCTCTCTTGGTCGGACGAGTTTGACTCGTCCCGAGTCAACGAGACCACGTCAAGCCAAGCACCAAAACACGCACACACACAGACACAGACAGACAGACAGACAGACAGACATACGTACAGGCACAGATGAAAGAGCAATCTTTACTGCAGATGGATGTATCGCGACGAGTGTTCTCCTGACTTCGCGCCCAGCTGCCAGATGGCCTCACAAGTCAGTCGGCTTCCGAGGGACGCCGGTTGCGGATACACAAGGCATTTGTTCCCTTTGCGTGGTGTTTGTGTCGTCAGGTTGAGGTCAGGGATGGTGCGCTTCAGGTGCACATGGACAGGCTGCAGTACCCACGGTACATGAAGGACAAGCTCGTCCGATACGCAGGGGTGAGCGGACCAACGAGACCAATTGGTCCTGGGCAGGTGCAACAGTGTGCGTGTGTTGGTTTCCGGCACTCAGGGCGGCTTGATCACCCGTGAGCCTCTTCCTTTCGGCTATTTCGAGGCGCGGATCAAGTCGTGGGCGTATCCGGGCTTCTGGCAAGTGAGTGTGTGCACACCCAGTGGGCAAACATTGCCGTCGGGTCGGCATCACCGTGTGAACATCCTGACCACACACACGCAGGAACTGACCAACGTGCCATTCATTTATGTGTGTCTGCCTGCGATGACTTGTCTCTCGACTGGCAGTCTTTCTGGGCGGCCACTGCCAACTCCATCGACAAGACCAAGTGTGCAGTGTGCAACAACACCGACCATCCACGACAGGAAATCGACGTCTTCGAGATCAACAGCGGCGTTAACAGCTACCAGTACAACCACATCAAGTGGTGGCCACCCCCACGCATGTACGTGGCCGGACGGCGGCTGCATCCAGGCTGGCGATTGACGGACGACTGGCACGTCTGGGGGCTGGAGCACACCCCCATCCAATCGAGAGTGTTCTTGGACGGCGAGGTCGTCGGCACTGGGGACTGGTCTGCTCTGAAGATTCAGGAGTTGATGCCGATGCACTACTGGCTCTCTGCCATCATCACCGAGCACATCACTCACTGCATGAGCGAGAGCAACCTGCCCGGCACCCTGAAAGTCGACTACTTCCGAGTCTACCGACCAAACGATGGTAATGACAGACAGGCGGCAGCGCAGTGTGTTCATGTATCTCTGGCGTGATAGGCGTGAGGTTCTCCTTTGGGCCGCTGGGAGAGCGAGATGCGTGGGCTCAGGAGGGCAGCACGCCCGTGAGAGATCCCATGTACTATCCCATGACAGACAACAATGCCCCACCCCCACCACCCTCGTTCAGCCATCCCTTCTCCCCCAGAAGCTGTCCCCTCCCCCTCTCCGCAGTCAATCCGTCCTTCTCCCGCCTCCACGAGATGACAATCGCCTTGTGGGTACGCCACGACCCCACACCCGATCGACTCGAGTACCTCAGCTACACACGGGCAGACGAGCCGGCACTGGTGTCGATCGGCATTGCGGCCACGGGACCTCACCTCATGGTGACGCTTGACGGCAATGACGTCCAGTTCGCCCGCTTCTGGGAGGCCAAGACATCCCGAGAGAGGGAAGACTCATGCTGTCCAGCGAACGATTTCCTCTCGCCCTTTGGCTCCTCGGATGAGGGGGGCGGGCGGCACAGTGGGTGGGTGCATCTCGCATTGTCGTGGCGGGCGATCGACGGGCGGCTGGTGGCATACCGGGATGCGGAACAAGTGCAAGAAATAAACTTCATGGTATGGTCGTCTTGGTGCCACACGTGCCTCTGAAAGGCCGGCTGTTTGTGTTTCTCTTCAGGCCGGCGGGTCGCTTCCGCGTGATGCCAAGCTCCACCTGGGCCGGCGCCATAGCGATCTTTCCGCCCTCGAGCTGGCCAATGTCAAGTTGTTCTCCAGTGAGCTGCCGCCGCGAGACATATCCGCCACCTTCTTCTGCCTCGCGAACTACGGCGATTTGGCGGACAGCCAGCTGGACTCGTCAGAGAAATCATTCCATGTAAGCAATAAGCAAGCGAGTCGGGCCATCGCATCAGAGAGAGGGAAGAGAAGTTCATATGCCTTGCCTCTGCTGCTGCTTGTACGGACAGGTGTCTGGCAGCCGTCGCGTCGGTCGATTTGATGACGCACAGTGCCCCAAGGCGAGCGACACACACGTGCCTCAGTATTTCGACGAAACCATCAACATCATTGTCACTGAGGGAGAGAGCGACATCGACGCGGGCAGCAGCAAGGTGCCGTCAGGAGGCGACGAGGCGGTGGGTGGCCGCAACTCGAGCGAAGGACCGCTACCAATCTTGAATTGCTTGGGCCAGCCGCCCGACTGGTGACGTGTGATGCGATGCATATGTGATACGTATGATGCGTATGCATCCTATTTGTGATGTTATGTGTACGTATGTTGATATCGATCGATCGTAGGGCATCCATCATGTGCGTACGTAAGGCAGCCTGGATAGATAGACAGACAGCGAGTGAGGACAGTCTGTCAGACTGTACGTAGTATATTATGTGGTAATTGTAAGTAGATGCTCAGAGCAAGTGATCACGTGTGTATTCCATACCTACTATCTAATTGTGGACAAATCGGGTGGCAATTGCAAGCGTGTGATTTCTGGCGGTTGTTCTGGCCTGGCCGACTGTTCTGGCCGCATGCGCAACGGCCCCCACAACCCGTCTCCAGTCTGCAACGCTCAATTTCATAATGAAGCCTTCCGGGTTGTGGGCGGTTCTTCTCTTATTCCAAGCAACCCGAGGCCTCTTCGCGTCTGTGGAAGGAGCTGTGCTGGCAAATCAATCCCTCAACCATCATGGTCAGCCCGGTGCGCAAATGCAGCTCCCAAGTTTCTTTCTCTTTATGAGTCTACAGGTTTCATCGACGCGGGGCTCACCTTGGGCGATTGCAATGCGCCCCAGTGGCTAAAGACCGTCTGCAACGACGAGAAGCCTGGAGCCTGCCACATCAGTCCCTCGACACCCAATCAAGGCTCCTCCGAGCGAGCATGCAAGTAGGAAAACACGCGCCGCGTGAATGAATGCACTGTGCCTTCATTCCCTCATCTTACCACGAACCTCTCTGATGTTTGGGTGATAAATATGCAGCGGCTGGATGCCGAGCAGAAGAAGGCAAAGCGTGTAATGCTTCGGATCCAGAAACGGACATCCAAGGCAGCATTCAAGATCCAGGAACTCAAACACGAACTGTCCCACCATGAAAAAGAGAACCTCAAGGTCAGAAAATACACTGGAATCAGCATTTTGTCACTGGTGGATGGCCTGGCAGCGAGCCGCTGATCTGCGGGACAAACAATGGCTGCTCGAGAACGCCATCCCGCACCAAAAACGACTGCGAAACATCGAGGTCTATCCGGCGTCTCCCCTTCCCTTCGAGCATGTAATCAAGGAACAAACAGCTAAGGTGCATTTGCACATGACTGGTCAATCAATCATTGAATGCAGGTCGATCCTGCGCTTGTCGAGAGCCACGTGAACCAGATGCAGAAGCAAGCGCAGGACAGCGTGGCTCAAGCAGCGATGGCACTGGCCCTCCACAACGACGAGACCTCTGCGTCTGAGCAACGCGTCAAGGCAGAGCAGGATACACTCAAGAAAGAACTTGACGACATGGAGGCCTACGTAAGTGACCGTGGATGCATTGCAACGCCTTCCCCCTTCTCTTACCGGTACTGTTTTTGTGTGTCTCTGCAGAAAGCGAGGCTGGAAGCGGCAAAGAAGCACATTGAAGATGAATACCTCGCAGGCCTCACGGAGCAATTGGAGGCACAAAACGAGGAGCACGAGGAAGTGTTGAACAGCAAGGAGGCCGCCGACATTATCGCGACGAGCAAGGGCTTTAGTGGCCTTTTTAATGTGCGTGTGAGCGAGGATCTTGAGCTGCCCGACTGCTACACCTTCATTGAAAAACTGGACGAGATTGACCTGGACGAGATCGAAGGCGACAAGGCGCGGAGGAAGGCCGAAGAGAAGAAGAAGAAGAGGCTCAAGCGAATTACAGACAACCTGGGCAAAGGTGAGAGACACGGCTGCGGTGGTCATATGTGCATCTATGCGCGGGTGTTGCATGGCTGCAGAGTGCAACATCGACAAAGGTGACTGCGGCAGTTCGGCCCTCGAGTGCGTGGAGACCCCCGTGGTGAGTACAGTACGTGCAGTGCACCCTGAAATCACGGCGTCACCTTATCCTCGTTTTGTCTCTTGTGCCTGTCTGCCTGCCTGCCTGCTTCGTCTGCTGCCTGTGCTCATGGCAGACGAGACTCGAGTGGGAGTTTGACCAGGAAAAGCGACTTGCATCATTCCGGAAGGCGGTGAAGCAACTCAGACACAAGGGCAAGTGTTGCCTGCCCTCCCTGCCCTCGACACAGCTGTGACAACGTTGCTGCGTGCACACACGCACAAGTCGACGTCGGGATGGAGTGCCTGCTTCCGATTTGTTTGTTTCGTCTGGCAGCTGCATGGCCAAGTGGCACATCCCTTTGCTTTTCCGTATGCGTCAATCCCTTCTGTGTGCCGGTGCGAGTTGCTTTTCTGAATGATGCGACAGCGGTATTGCTGATACATGGCCACGGATAAACGCTAGTGGATGTGCGCAAAAGACGGCGACAAGCGTACAATTGATGATAGTCATGAGAGCGATAAGTCTCATGCACACTTACATTTGTAGACAGCACATGAACAAAATTGTCTGCGACCCCATCCCTCCCTCCGCGCATTGGGGTGCTGGCAGGCTGCCCTACGAAAAACTCGCCTTCAGCATCTTCAGCTGCTCATAGAAGACGAAAATGAGGATGTTGTATGGCCCCATCCTCAGAGCATTGGCCAGTCCGCCCTTGTAGAGGCTGAGGATGCCCTCGTTCCGCACCGATTTGGCCTGAGCACATCCGCACGGACACACATACATGCGCTCACGCGTGCGCATCTGGGGGGCTCTTACGAAGCAGTCTGGGAGGCTCTTGTAGAACATGGGTCGCCCGTCGGGATTCGACGGCTGGTTCATCATCCTGGCGGCCACAAAATCGAAGGGGGTCATCAGCATACACGCCACAACACTCGTGGCAGCCGAGGCGATCAGGTGAGTGGGCGTCGAGTCGGCAAAGCCAGCAGAGAGGAGGGAGTGCTTGAACGCATCGTAGGTCGACAGCTGACCCGCCGACCACATGCCCACTCTGCAAGCAATAGCATGGCCAGCACACACGACACAGACATGAAACTGATGAAAGGGTGTGGTGTGGTGTGGCCCTTCCCTTTGCTTCCTGCCTGACCATCCACCGACCGACCTCAAGACGAACGCATCCACTCCCCGGAAGTATCCCCTCAGGCCGCCGGACTCACGATAGATGCTGACGAAGGCCGACCGAAGGCTCGTATAGCCATGCTGAAAACCCGCTTGCAATGCCGCCACGTCTGACTGCGCCTGCATGCTCGTCTTGAGTGCGAAGAAAGGGCACCCACATATCGCGCCACAGACCCCCGCGACCAGCCCCAGTGCAGTGTTGCGAAGATAACTCGACGATGCCGACGGCCGAGATGCGTCTGAGCCGCCGCCGTCCGAGCTGTCAGCCAATAGCTGCTTCCCCATGCCATAGGTGGCAAACCTCGTGCCAGTGACACTGACCTGCAGCAGGCATGCGGCCGCGAGTCCTCTGTAGAGCCCTCTTGCCCCTTCGTAGCGCGCTATCGACACCAGCTGACCCACCACCCCTCTTGGCCGGCCGACAGCTGACGCTGCCGCTGCTGCTGGTGTTCGTAGAGCGGCCACAGATGAGAGTGCAGCCTCGCCTTTGAATTGCAATCGGGTTTTGACGACATCCACGGGGTGCATGATGCATATCGCCGCTATCGCTGACGTACCAGCCGTGGCAAACTCCTCCATAACGAGAGCCGACTGAGGACTGAGAAGGCAATTGGTATGACCGAAACACCTGTACACAACACAAAGTGATTTATCCAACGCATGCCCTCACAGTGGTGTTGTGCGCTATCGCTCTCATTACCTTCCTTTTCTTCCCTTTTTCAGCACCCGCGAGCTTGGCTCGACCTCGGATTTCCCTCCAGAGCCATTTCTGAGCCTTTCTCGCTTCCCTCTATACCCTCTCCTTTGTGAGTAGATCAGTGCTGTTCCAGATCTGTACTCTCGTCTTCAATCTGGCTGCTCAGAAGGCTGCTGGCCTCTCACAGACGATGTTGCAGGGGCATCCTTATCCAACGGTGATGCGCAATGATCAAGGCGGCTCTCGACGGCCAGGTCGAAGGAGATCCTTCACTCGCGCGGCTGTGCTGGTCGTGGTGCATTCATTGCTATCGGTGCCAACAGCCCTGTCCGCCGGTGCGGCTGCATTTGCCCCTCACCCAGCCGCCCCTCTGCATCGCATACGGGAGCGCTTACCGAGACCAGCCGCTGCATTGGCCTGCACCCAACCAAGGCGGACGGCATCCTTCACGCTTCGCAGCTTGCGCGACGGTGAAAGCGATGAGTCAAAGGGTCCTGCCGAGGGGTGGGAGGGGCGGCTGGAGTCCCTCAGGCGGGCCGCCATGAGCGCCCTGCTGCTGCTGGCGTTTTCCCTCTTCCCAACGTTCCCATCCATCGCATCAGTCGACCAGCCCTCATTGTCCCTCCCCTCCACCTCCACCTCCGCCCCCTCCTTCCTGATCTCCTCTGCCCCCCCAGCCGCCACTGAGCCGCAGAGCGACGTGATAGACGAGGCGTGGGAGCTGCTGCGCAAGTACTACCTGGACCGGACGTACAACGGGCTGGACTGGCAGGGTGTCAAGGACAGGTACCGGGGCATCAGCAGCAAGTACCGGGTTGCGTGGAAGGACCGGGGGCAGCTCGTCAATGACATGGTCAAGGAGCTCGACGACCCATACACGCGCTGGATCGACCAAAAAAAGTACCTCGAGATACAGAAATTCGACATACTTGGCGTCGGGGCGCCGCTCACCAAAAGTGAGGGCGGGGAGGGAGGGAGGGGACAGACAGCACACACAAGGGGGCGAGGGAAAGCAGATGGGATGATGATCTCTCTCTCTCTCTCTGTGTGTGTGTGTGTGTGTGTGTAGCTGAGGGCAAGAACGGCGATGTGATCTTCTACTCGGCCCCCGTCCCCAACTCGGCCGCAGAGAAGGCCGGCATACAGAAAAACGACGTCGTCATTGCCATCAACGGTACACACAAACAGAAGACACACACATTCGCACACACCGACATGGACGAACTCCATGTCTGTCTGTGTGTCAGATGTGCCGCTGAAGGGTCGGTCACCGTTTGACATCTTGAAGATCCTGGACGACGCGGAGGGCGACAAGCTGGTCCTCAAAGTGCAGCCGGCACAGGGAGACCCCCAACAGCCACCAATAGTGCTGGTACGATGCGTGTGGTGCAACACGACACACAAACGAAGCGTAGAGATTCATGTGTGTGTTTGTGTGTGCAGGAGCTGCCCCGGGTGCGTAACGATCTGAGCAATCCGGTGATCGCCGCTTTGCGCACCGTCAAGGACCCAGACACCAAACAAGACAAAAAGGTCCCTATCTACCGGATCCCCCCTGTGGATGCTCTTCGACATGCTGCTCCCTCCTGTGTGTCACACAGATTGGGTATCTGAAGCTTCAGCAGTTTGACGCAGTGGCCAAGGAGCGCATGAAGGAGGCGCTCGTCCAGATGGAGAAAGAGGGCGCCGACGCCTATGTACTCGACCTAAGGAGCAACCAGGTAGGTACGGTACACCGACCGCACATGCGGCCTGTCTGTCTGAATGAATGAGTGTCTGTGTGTTCTGTGTGTTGTGTGTGTTGATGGCCGCTCGTTCGTACGTCGGTCACTGCCAGGGCGGCAACTTCCAGAGTGCGGTGAGCATGAGCAGCCTCTTCATGGCCGACAAGACCATCTGCTGGCTCGCCGATGGGGAGGGAGAGGTCCTCGAATTCAAGTAACACACACAGACAGGCAGACTAGCCACACTATCCCACGCACAAGCCCATCTGTTCCTGAACGCCCAGTGTGTGTCTGTCTGTCTGTCTGTCTGAATGCTTTCATGTCATGCAGGAGTGAGCGTGGCAAGGTCATAACCCGCGACCCTCTGGTCTTGTGGACGGACGAGCTCACCGCTAGTGCATCGGAAGTGCTCACGGGCGCACTCAGGGACAACTGCAGGTGAGGTTCGTGGGTGCGCCCATGCGTCGATCCAGAGACACCGTATAGGAATGCATTGTGTACGTCATTGCCGCCGTGTGTGTCATGTGATGTGTGCGTCAGGGCGGTCACAATGGGTCGCAAGACCTACGGAAAAGGGCTTGTGCAGGTAGGTAAACACACCTTCATTCGATTCGATGCTCATGCTTTGTTGAACTGCCGTCCATCCACTGCACTCACTGGTCCCTTGTTCGCTCGGTGGTGTAGGCGGTGTACGGTCTACAGGACGGCAGCGGGCTGGTCATGACGATAGCTCGGTACATCCGGCCGTCTGGCGAGGACCTCAACGGCAGGGGCATCACACCTGACATTCAAGCCACTTACCCTGCCGGCATCTGGTGGGTACCAGGCAGGCACCAACGCATGCTCAGCCCACACTGTCTGCCTGTACGCTGCATCCTTGCGTCGATGATCAGGTCTCTGGGTGGTTTGGCGCCGCCCGACTTCCAGGATGTGTCCAAGGTCGACTTCAGCCAAGCCATCAGTTTCGCCGAGAAGGCCGACAACGGCATGTGCCCCACGGCGGACACTCAGGACGTCAAGACCTACCTCAAGGAACACCCATTCAAGAGCAGCAAAAGGCTGCAGCAGCAGCAGCAGCAGCAGGAGGACGGTAGCAAGGCCCCGGCAAAAGGGCAGCAGATCGCTGTGGCTATCAAGTAGCCAGACAGACAGACAAAGGGAGGGTGGCCATGGGGGGAGAGAGGCGGTGGGGTGGTCTGTTGAATGAAGGTGATGTTATCGCATGGACGGATTGACGTGCAGACGAGTGCACCGCAACGGACAGGCAGACAGGATGGATGAGTGTACAGTTTTCCTTTGCGCGATCGTGTTGTGTTGCCTTGGCAGAGCATTGATAGATACAAACATCGATGAGACGGTCAGTCGGTCAGTCTGGACACTCACTGCTCGTCACATCACGTCGCACGCATCGAATCGACGGGTGTCCATCTACCTGGGGGGCCTGTTGGCAGGCCATCCATCCATCCATCCATTGCAGCATGACCACATGACAGTACATCCACGCCTCAACAAAAATCATCTCATTCATTCTACTGCACAGGAAGATAAATATATTGATAGATAGGTTGGTTGATGGTACACGGGGCCGATCGAGCGAAGCACAGCCAGCGATACACCGGATATATACAATAAAAGTGACCGACGACGCTCTTTACACACTCACTCGCTCCTCCTGCACCCCTCACTCCACTCCCTGGTGTGGTGCATCGATGCATTGTCTAACAATTCGCACTCAACTCAGTTGCACTACACGCAGCGTTGCCCCCCTGACATACACACGGCATCCATCGGTCTCCCTCAGTGTGGTGTGCCGAACAGGTGTGTGATGAGGATCACAGTGAGGCATGTGGGCAGGATCAGCAGACCCAAACCCAACAGCCCCATGGCAGCCACACTGCACGACACCACACGACACAGGAAGGAAGTGCCTTCGGATGCGTCTGTCTGTCTGTCTGTCTGTGGCTGTGGTTGTGTGTGTGTGTGGTTGTGTACCGTTTGATAGTGAGTCCGTCGTCTTGGAAGAGTTTGATGTACAGCAGGGCAGGCACGATGTAACAGATCGTATTCGAACCTATCGTACCAACCTGCACACAACACACACACAGACAGACAGACATACAGACAGACAGAGAGACAGGCGGACCTCCCAATTGCTGGACACGGGTCTCTCTCTCTCTCCGTCCCCCCCTCTGTCTGACTTGAGCTGACCAGTTCGAAGACGACACCCAGGTCAGTGAGTGTGACGGCTATGATGGTGCTGAGCAGCAGGATGGACGCTGTCAGCATACGCAGGATGCGCTTCTCACGCACACGATCCACAACCAACCCCCGGAAGAAGAGCGTCCACAGCGACCTGCACACAACACACACACCCAGAACCACACAGCACATGGTGAGTGAGAAAATGACACGACGGCCGGACACTTTGGGTGCGTGTTGTGTTTCCCTCACTGCAGTGCACTGACCTCCTGCAAGGGTGGCACTGCAGCGGATATGTGAATACCATTGACACAAATATTCCCAACTTGGCTGTCGAATGAATGACGAACCACACATGACACACACACGTTGCGAAGGAGACATCCATGTCTCTCTCCACCCACCCAGCACTGCCTGCCGAAGCCCGTGCGTACCGATCCAAGTTGCCCAGAGCCACCATGAGGCATCTGACGCGTCTTTGAGGTTGTTGAGGATGTCCGAGTCGACGGCCGATCCGAAGAGCAGATAGCCGTCCACCGCCGACAGGTAGTAAATGGTCATCGATATGGCCACAGCTGACACGATGCACACGTCCATCCTCCCTCGCTTCGCCTCCAATGTGTCCGCCTGCAGCCAATGGGAAGCGCACACACACAACATACCATGGTGTGCTGTGCTGTGCTGTGCTGGGTGTGTTGTGTGGGGGTCAGAGCTGACTCTGAGCTCAGATGCGACGGTGAAGAGGTTCTGGTGGCAGGTGAAGGCAAAGATGAAGACGGGGAGCGTCTTGATGAGGCTGAAGAGGCTGCCCTGCCGCGGCCACCAGTTGACGCCCCTGGCCTGGTGGTGCGCCCACCAGGACCCGCCGCCGCCCTCCATCTCGTGTGCGGTGTGTATCTGCTCCCCCAGCACCAGCAGCAGCGTCAGGTACAGCATGAACGACAGCGCCACCCACGCCGTGTGCCGCAAAGACCGTATGCGCTTTGGAAACGATGCTGGGCCCACACCCAACTGAATGAGCAAGAGGGACCGACAGACAGATGCAATCAATCGTCATGGGCAGACATCACGGCTGTTGGGTGGGTGGGCTCGCTGACTGACCACAACGGCTCCGATGATGCAGAGTGCCCTCACGCTCCTCTCGTTGAGTCCGTGTGTGCCGCCGATGAGCGGCGGGAGGACGTGGCCGATGACTATGAGGTAGGAGGTGGCCACGCCGAAGCACTTGAGGGCGATGACGCCGTCTAGCATGTGGCGCAGCTGCGGGAAGGTGCGAATGCTCACCGCATAAAACGTCACATCCTCACCTGGCCACACACACACACACACACACACACCCCCTTCACCCATCGCACGCACCCATTGCGAGTTGGTGAGTGCCTCACGTAAGTACCTCCGAGTTTGACGGCGACGCAGTTGAGGAGGTGCAGTGCGAATGCCGACAGACAGCCCGACGCGAACACAAACACCAGACCCAGAACAAGACCATTGGCGTTGAACGCCCTGCACACAGACAGACATCACGACAGACAGACACATCACACATCCAAGTGATCTCGACCGACCAACACATGCACACACTGACTGGATCATCCAATCCATGCATCTCACTCACTCACTGACTGACCAAGGTAGGCCGAGCACAGCGACGCCGAGTATGGTGTTGAGCAGTACCGCCGTCGCCGCCACAGAAGAGGAGCCTCGCTTCGACGGTCCCAGTATCGGAGATGACTCCTGAATGCACAGACAGACAGAACAACATGCATACATATGTACACTGTGGCTGGGCGAGCATAGCATCTGTGGATTGGATTCATGGCATGGCTGTGTGAGTGTCTGTCTGCGTTGCGTACATACCATGCCGGGTGCGCTGTTTGGCCTCAGCAGCGGGGAGGTCATCCCAGCATCTGGGTTGGGCGAGAAGGGAGGGGACGTCTGAGTGCTCTCCGTCCTCATGATGATATCAGTGGATGACCGCCTGGAAGTGGAAAAGTAATGACTCTCGTCTGCAAGCTTAGCCAACAGGTGCGAGCTGATCTCTGGAAGCCTGAACTGATCGCTGAGATGATATTTCAATGTGGAAGATCCCATCTTTCAGCCTCCCCCACCACGCCTAAGCTGTGGGACACTTGCAGGAGTCCCACCAACACACATGCAATGGGGCACTCATGTAATACGCACGGCATGTAGTACGAGGGAACAAACATCCAGGCAACCAATTGCAGACACCGCACCCACGCCACGACAGGGAAAGGAGAAACGCACAAACGCACGCAGCGCTGTCAAAACAAGCAAGGCAGGCAAGCACATACTCATCAATCGCTGCACTGCACCCACACATCCGCCCCGCACACACACACACGCACATGCGAAACCCGTCCATCCTTCATCGCTTCAAAACGCCTCACTCTGCGCATCAACGTGTGTATGTGGTTCAATTGAAAGCGATGCATGCCATGCAATACACGAACTCATGCATCAATTCTGCCTCTCTCTCTCCCTCTCTCTCTGTGCGTGGCGTGTGTGTGTGTGTTGACCCACGTCATCGATCGATCGTTCATCATACTTTAAAAATGACAGAGCAGATACCACGACAGCCGGCCAGCGATACGTGTGGGACGGCGGGCAGGTTTGGTGTGTGTCACGTCACCTCCGCATGGGCACGAACGTGTACATGGGCTTGCGGCTCTTGGGGATGTTGGCCTGGTGGCACCAACCACACACACACAACACACACAAACAGTGAGTGCCCTTCTCCCTCTCTCTCTCTGTTCTGTCTCTCCAATGAGGCTGACCGACCTCAATGTCGTCGTCAGAGTCGTCTTCCCCGTTGATTTGGTCCTCGTCGTCCTCATCCTCGTTGTTGTCATTGCGGCCGTTGATCTCGGCAGCACGTGGGTCGCCCTCACACGGGGCCGTCTTGAGCCAGTCCAACCAATTCAACACCTGATAGTAGTGGTGGATGGATGCACAGATGGACGGACGAATGGACGGCGCAGACGTGTGTGTGTATGTGTGTGTTTGTGCCTGTGTGTACCTGGAAGAGTGTCTTTTGTTTGCCTGGTGTCTTGTCCTGCTCGTCCTCACGCCACTGCAGACACGCCATGCAGCACACGGAAGCAGAGCGATGCGTCACACACAGGGGCCCGTGCAGTGCAGTCAGTGTATGTATCCTTTGTATCCCTGTGTGTCAGTCAGTCATGTGTGTGTTAGGTTAGTTACCCATATGAAGTACTGTTCCTCGATGATGTCCTGCATGTAGAGGGCGTCGAAGACGGCCTCGACCAAAGCCCACGACGGCGATATGCGGATGTGACGCAACTCTATGTCACGATGGACACAATGGACAGACAGACACATTACAGTGTAGGCCATGCCGTGTGCAGTGCATGGCTGCTGGTTACGTTAGTTACCGAGTGTGCCCTTCTGAATGGCGAAGAGGAACCGCAGCTTGTGGCGGTGGATGCAAGACGTCTGAGGTAACACAAAAGTGAGTGCCATCCATACATGGTATGCCACACACGCTTGCGCGTGCATATCCATGTGTGTCTGTCCCTCCCTCCCTCCCTAACTGCCTCCCTGGCTGACCTGGAACATTTTCTCGAGTGTGGGCTTGAGTTTGGCCACGAGGGCACTCACCGCCTCGGTGCTCTCCAGACTCTCATCAGCCACACCAGCTGCATTGCAACCCACCACACATCAGCATATAGAAGGAGAGTCGAGTCGCCGTCGATGTCTCATGTCCCCTCCCCCTGTTGTCAGTCAGAGATGCGTAGAGACAGTACCATCGATAGCTTTGAGCAGCTCTTCGGCGATGGTGGCCGACGGCAACACATGATGCCAATCAGACTTACACACGAAACAAAAACAAATGTGTGTGTGGAGAGTCGATTTGCGTGTACGTACCTCTTGTAGCAGCTGGTCGGCTTCGTTGACCAGCTTGTCGGCTGTGATCTCGTCGACGAGGCACCGGCTGACCATGCCCGCCAGCTTGGACATCCGCTCATCTGACGGGCGCGTCCGCTCCTGACCACACGCACACACGCATATTAATTGTAGCTGCTCGTGTGTGTCTCTGTCGCACATCACATGTGTGGTTGAGTGCGTACCTCCTCCTCGAGTCGCTTTCGTTCCTCCTCCTCCTTTTTCTTCTTCTTCTCCTCCTCCTCGCGGTGCTTACGGTCACGCTCCTCACTGCACACACACACACACACACACAGACAGACAGACGAGTACAGTAGATGCATCGTGTACTGCACATGTGTGCGCATTTGGCCACCATAGATATCTATGGTGTACACGTACCGTTGTTTCTCCTTGATGCGTCTCCTCTCCTCTTCCTCCTCGGTGAGCGGACGGTGGCCACCCGCGGCCTGATAGATAGCCACCACACACACGCACAGACACACAAGAGGTTGGTATGCCTGCTCCCAGTGCTGCTGGTCTTCAGTCAGTAAGTCTCTGACTCACCTTGGCTTTGGCTGCAGCCGCCCGTGCAACCTGAAGCACGCATGAATCACGCCGCCGCATGGAGAGAGAGACGTGTGCGTGTGTGTGTGTGTGTGTGGTCAATTGCAGCAGGGCGTGGCGTACGTACCTCTTCTTGTCTCTTCTGTTCCTCCTCCATCTTCTTGCGCTGCGACGGGGGGATGTAACGACCGCCGCCACCAGCACCACCACCTTCACACACAACACAACACAACACAACACACGCTTCATGCGCACCTGTCTGTGCTGTGATTGACTTCCCCTCGTTTGCTTCTCACCGGGTGTTTTGTCTTTGTCGTCGTCGTCTTTGTGGTGCTGTGGGTCGGGGCGGAGTGCCCGGGGAGGGGGCGACTCGCGCACTGGAGGGTCGTGCTCGGCCGCCTCTGATGCACGCTTCCAGGGAGGCACGTACTTGGCTGATCAGTCGGCCAATGACGGAGAGGGACAAACAAGGAGAGAAGAGAGTGCATGGCATGGTGAATGGATGACATGTGCGTGGGGCACACGTGGTCTGACTGACCTTTCGGTTTGTCGTCATCCTCATCTTTGTGCTCCTCCTTGTGTCCCTCTCTGTGCTCCTCTTCGTGTTGTTCCTTGTCGGCTGCTGCTGTGGGTGTCTCCTCGTCTTTGGTCTCCTCCCTCGTGTCGTCATCCCGCCGATCCTCAGACACGTCAACGACCGGCTGGACGGCAGCCTCTTTCTGCTCCTCTTTCTCGCCGTCCTTCTGCTCTTCCGCTTCTTCCTGCTTCTCTGTCTCCTTCTGGTCCTCCTTGTCTTGCTCCTTGTCGGCCTCGGGAGAGACTGCTTGTGGCGGTTGGGGGGAGACGTCCTTGTCGGCGTCGCTGACTGATGGTGGTGGCTCCGTTTTGGTGTCGTGGGGCTCCTTGGCGTCCTCTGGGACTGGTGCCTCGTCCTCCTTCTCGGCAGCAGGCTTCTCGACGGCTCGTGGCATCTCCTAAACAACAAGAGGCCGACACCGCGGACGTCCAAACAAACATGACAGTAGGAGAGATGATGTGTTGCGATGCTGTCTCACCTCCTCTCGGTCGTCGTGTCGTTTCCTGTCGAGGTCGTCCCTGTCCCTCTCGTCCCTGTCGCCGTCCCTCGAGTCGCGATCGTCATGCCTGTGGCGGTCAGGCCGCCTGTCGTTGAAGCGGTCGTCATCTCTCAGTCGGTCCCTGTCTCTGTCTCTGTCTCTGTCACGATCCCTGCTGCCGTCCCTGTCGCGCCTGTCCCTGCCCCGGTCGTCGAACCTGTCGTCATCACGCCGCCTGTCGTCCCGGTCCCGATCCCTCCTGTCCCTGTCCCTGTCGCCGCCGCCCCGCCAGTCGTCCCTTCTGTCGGGGTCGTAGCGGGGAGCACGGGAGCGGCCAGAGTCGCCGGAACGCCAACTGATGGATATGAGACCCGCACACACCGTGACAGCACAACACCCACAGGCGGATGGGGTGGTTGGGGGATGACGTATTCGCTGTCTGTGTTTGGTGTATCTTTCCTTACGTGTCTCTATCCCTGTCTCGGTCCCTGTCGGGTGAGTCGTCTCTCCTCCGCTCTCGTGAGTCGTCCCGCCTCCTGTCACGCCCGCCGCCGCCGCCGCGCCAGTCATCTCGACCACGGTCACGATCCCTACTCACACATCGAAAGGGGGATGGATGGATGGACGCCTTGACGTGTTTGTGGCGCACCTGTCTCTGTCTCGATCTCTGTCCCTCTCTCTGTCGTGGTGCCGCCAGTCTCTGTCGCGATCGGGGGAGTCGTCACGGCCGCGCATACGATCGGACCGGTGACGCTGAAGGAATCAACCAACAAGCGACCGACCGACATTTTCGATACACAGACAGACAGACCGTGGGTAGTGTAGTGTAGATGTCCGTCTGTCTGTTTGTGCCCGTCGACCCGACCCCACCTGCGATGGTGGGATGTACTTGCCGCCACCTCTGTCCCTGTCCCTCTCCCTCGAGTCGTCCCTGTCACGGTCCCTGTCGCGGGCCCTGTCAGGGCTCCGGTCACGACGGTCACGGTCGCTGCATTACATACATGCACGACACGTGTGGAGTGAGTGACACACAGATCCTCGCATGTCTGTCTGTATGAGGGAAGGACATGCCATGCCATGCCATGCCATGCTCACTCACCGGTCTCTATGGCTATCTCTGTCTCTGTCCCTGTCTCTGTCGCGGCCTCTCTCCTCCCTGGCCGTGCCGCGCCAGTCGTCATCGTCGTCGGCAAAGCGGTCACTGAGTGAACAATAAATGGACACAAACCACATCAATCAATCGAAATGCTCATACATACGTGATGTATCTATCGACCAGCTGTGATTGGATTGGACGTACCGCTCTCTCTCTCGCGGTCGATCTCTGTCTCTGTCCCGATCACGGTCGCGGTCCCGGTCGTCCCTCCTGTCCCTGTCCCTTGAGCCACCCCTGTCCCTTGAGCCACCCCTGGTCGGGAGATCCACACACACACATAGACAGACAGACACAAGGACGTACCGACGATGAATCCAACACACAAGGCGCGCATGTATGTGTATGTGTGTGTGGACGTGCGTGTGGGCAGGGCAAGAAGGGATGTACCTCCAGTCGCCAGTGTCGGCTCGGCTGAACCCGTCGTCTGCCTCACGAAACACACACACAAGGCCAGTTAACACTTACTGCGTCGTGTGTCGTGCTGTGCGTCCACCCCACACACCAGACCCGCCCGATGGGTATCTATCTGTTTGGTTGTGTTTGATCAATTACCATCGTCCATTCTGGACGGTCGGTCTCGGTCCCTCCTGTCCCTGTCGCGGTCACGGTCCCTATCACCACCACCACCACCGCCACGCCAGTCGCCAGTGTCCGCACGACCCGCATCATCTGGGCAACCAGATATCACCCACCCACACAGGTGCATACAGTAAGCACATGTAGATGTCTGTCTTCTGTCTGCCCGTGTTGTGTTGGTCGATGGATCGATTGAGAGTGAGTGAATATTTATGTGCGGTGCGTACCATCGTCCCATCCCCTGTATCTGTCGCCCCCGCCCCTGCGGCGATCACCGCCCTCAGGACTGCACCATGCCATGTAGTGTACCACACACCAAGATGGGTGCGGTGCAGCAGAGAGAGATGTGTCTGTCGGTGTGTGGTGTGTGCAGGGCAGGTGTGTCCTTACGCATTGCCGGACTCGGTGGGCAGGCTTGACTGTCCCGGAACAGGACCGCCGAACTCCTGCGCCAAGTCGGCCTGCCAGGTACACACACAACACAACGCGACACACACGAGGCAAACGCAGACAGACGGAATATGACGTCAACAGCGTCACGCCAAGCACACATACATCACTCTGTTCGTTCCAGCGCTCCTCCTGCCTCGTGTGTGTTCGCCTCTTCCTGTCTGTCTGTCGGCTCACCATGCTCATCTTGACTCCCTTGCCCTTCTTCGCCATGGTTGCGCAGATTCACGGCACCAATCACGCCACGTCACACACCCAAACAGATCCTGCCTCACCGCTTCGCTCAAAAGTGTGAGCCTCGTAGATCGACCAGCGACCGCCACCTCTCCTGCCCTTTGACTTGAAGAATGGAGTTCAGGACCATGTTGAGCACTCTTGCAGTCGTGCTTCTGCTACTGGCGCACGAGGCGGCTCATGTGGTGGGTTTCTCGCCGTCGTTGCTTCCCGCCTCATCGTTTCTGCGCCGTGTCAATCGGGGTAGCGGCGGCAGAGGGTCATCATCATCCGGCATGCGAATGCAGCTGGTTGTCGAAGACCCAAACAGACTGCTCTTTCCTGTGAGTAGTGCATCAGACAACATATGTAGATCTCCACTACAAGCAAAGCAAAGCATCTCCTCCATGCTGCTGTATGTGTATGTGTGGGTGCAGGAGGCCATCGTCGAAGACGAGGACGAGCATCTGACCACACTCACGCGCGACCAGCCAACCTTCGCATCATTCAGCCAGATCAGCGGCAAGACGTCCGACGTGCTGGCACGCAAGAACATCGTCAACATGACGCCTATCCAGGCGCAGACCTTCACGCCCATCTACGACGGCAGCGACATGATCGGCCGCTCCCGCACCGGCACCGGCAAGACCGTCGCGTTCGGCCTGCCGCTGCTCGAGAGACTCAGAACCGACAAGGAATCCATCCCCGAAGTGCAGCGCGACAGAGACCCCAAGATCCTGGTTCTGGAGCCGACGCGAGAGCTGGCCAAGCAGGTGGAGGTGGAGATAGGCGACGTGGCGCGCGTGCACAGGATGGGCATCACCTGCATCCACGGCGGGGTGCCGTTCGGCCCGCAGGAGAACGCTCTGCGCAAGGGCGTGGACATTGTGGTGGGGACGCCCGGTCGGCTGCTGGATCTGATACAGTCGGGCCACTTGCGGCTCGACAGTCTGCGTCACGTGGTGCTGGACGAGGCGGACGAGATGCTCAACATGGGCTTTGCTGAGGATATTGAGCGGATTTTCGGCTCCTTTGACGTCAGGAGCTGCCAGGTGCTCATGTTCAGCGCCACCACACCCAGGTGGGCAGGGCAGCACACCATTAATGGACGACACAGACATGACATGCAGTCAGTCATCGGTGCTGTTTGGCATATATCGTCAGGTGGGTCAAGGACATGAGTCGGCAGTACCTCAAGAATCCACTGGATGTCGACGTCGTTGGCAAGTCCACCCAGCGCACGGCCACATCGGTGCGTCACATCGCCGTGCAAGTGCCGGAGCGCATCGAGGACAAGGCGGCCGTGCTCGAGGACATCGTCGCTGTCGAGTCGCGTGGCGGTCAGACGATCGTCTTCACACAGACCAAGAGGGAGGCCGACGAGCTGGCCAGCGAGGGGGCCTTCAAGGCATTCAGCGCAGCTGTGCTACACGGCGACATCGGACAGCAGACACGAGACCACACCATGCAGAGATTCAGAAAAGGTCTGTGGGAAGAGCCCCGCACCAGATCGCGCTCTCTCTCTCTCTCTCTCTGTGCACCACATCGTGTGTGTATGTGTCTGTCTTCAGGTCTGTTCAAGGTGCTGGTGGCTACGGACGTGGCTGCCCGCGGCATCGATGTGGGCAATGTGGATCTGGTGGTGCAGTGTTCGCCCCCCAAGGACCCCGACGCCTACGTCCACCGATCAGGCAGGACAGGCCGCGCCGGCAGGGAGGGCACTTGCGTCCTCCTCTACTCGGACCGGGAGAAATGGGAGCTCTCCAAACTCGAGAGCTCATGCGGCGTCAAGTTCGACATCAAACCGCCACCCTCCACACAGCTCGTCATGGAGTCGTCTGCCAGCGCGGTGGCCCGGCAGCTGGACACCGTCGAGGGGCCGGTGATCCCCTTCTTCCTGGAGACGGCCCGGGACGTGTTGAAGCGGTCTGATGGTGTGGGAATGGGTCAGGAGGAGTTGCTTGCGCGGTGTCTGGCGGTGATGGCCAAGAAGCAGGAGCTGGTGGAGCGGTCGCTGCTCAATGGCATGCCCGACCACACCACTATGCAGTTCACCAACCAAAAGAGGGGATGGAGAGACGCAAGGTCAGTCAGTCACAGACAGACGGACGGTTGGTGTGTGTGTGTCAAACCGGCTGGTGGTGTGTGTGTGTGTTCTGTTGCTGGCTTCTCAGGGATGTGTTGTACTGGATCCATCGTGTGTCTGAGGACCTTCGCGTCACGCTGGGCCGCCTCGGCAAGATCCGAATCTCACAAGACATGAAACACGCCGTGGTGAGTGAGGCACATCACATTCACACGTAAATAGCGAAACACCGCCAGACCTTCGTGGGCAGCGCAGGGCCTCTCTCTCATCGCCTCTCTGAACTTACCGTGTGTTGTGTGTCAGTTTGACGTGCACAGCGACACGGCCAAGATGCTGGTGAGCCTGATGACCAAGTACCAGGAGCAGGGCGTCCCCGAGGACATCACCGACCCCAACATCTTCGACGACTTCTCTCTCGCCGCCATCCACTCACTGCCACCATTGCAAGAAGAGACCGTCAATGACTTCACACGCGGCAGCAGGTACGGCGACAGGCGCGGGGGGCCAGGTGGCGAGGGCCGCTTCGGACCACGACGCGGGGGCCGAGCTGGCGGCTATGGCAGCCAAGGCGGCAGCGGCAGCAGGTTCCGCAGTGGCGGCTTCGATCGGGATAATGAGTTTGGAGGAGCCGGTCGGCGAGAGAGGACGTTTTCGCGCGGACCGCGCAGCCGGGGGGGAGGGGGGTTTGAGGGCGGTCGGGGCGGCGGCAGGAGGTTCTCTTCGAATTCTTATTCTGGCGGCTCATACTCTGGCGGCTCATCGTCTTCATTCGACGACCGGCCGTCGAAAAGCAATGGATTCGATCAGGGCAGCGAGAGCTTTGCAGAGCTCTACCGCCAGTTCCAGACGTCCGGTGCGAGATAGATGAGAAAGGGTCGGGGATCCAGGGACGCAAGGATATAGGCCCTGCGAAACAGTGTGTGTGTCCTTTTTCCCTCTGTCTGTCTGTCTGTCTGTCTGTCCGCTCGTCGGAACTGTCTGCGTGGGGTGACGTCATGGTTTTGTTGCAATGATTGCAATGCTCCATGTGTCCGTCGTGTGAGATCTGCCGTCTGGCGTGGTGTGAGATCTGTCGTCTGGCGTGGTTCGGTTGCTGTGGGAAGACAGACAGAGAGAGTGTTTTGAATGTGTCCATATGCATGACGTGCATCGATCGCATCAGCAGACAGACGATGGAATGAATGAATGAATGAAGCTTTTCAAACAAGGGCGGCGCACTGTGTATCCTAGGGTTTTAGGGTAAGGCGCCGCTCGGGTTCAAACCCTAAACCCTAGACCTCCGTCGAAGCATCGCAACAGAAGTTATTTAATTGAGCTGCTCTGTCTTCTAGCTGGTTGGTTGCTGAGGGACCCAGCCTCAGTCACTGTCAAGGAGGGCGATTTTAGTCATTCTCAACGATGATGCGTCAGCCTGCTATGCAGACGGGCCGCTCCCTGGCTCTCATTCGCACTGTCGCCGCCTCACGACTCCCGGCAGCGCGGTGCGTGGCGACCTCATCACAGGCCTTCGCAGAGGACAACGACAAGAGATACCGACTCTGGGTAACTAACAGGGGGTGGGTGCAAGCCAACACACGATGGGGTCTCTCTCTCGAGGGACGTGTGGTGTGCCTGTGCTGTCTGTCGTGTTGTGTGTGCAGGGCTCTGCGGGTGGTGTGGCTGCTGCCTTCACGGCTGCCGGACTCGGCTACTACTACTACGCCAACGGGAAGAAGGTAATGAAGGGCATCGCACACACACACACAGACGGAACGAACATATGAGTCCACCTGGGTGGGTGCTCATCCACTCCACTCAATATTGGCTCAGGTGGCAGTGTGCGAGACGGACAAGTCGAAGGAGATCACGGCCATCGCTCTGGGCACCGGCCCCGTAGAGCGGGTCGACCTGGGCAGCGAAGCCGAGTTCGACGAGGCCGAACTCTATGATGTCAAGGTGTTCGGAGGTACGCACGCACAACGACCACACCGCAACCAACACCTACTTGCAGAGAGGGACGTGACGTTCGGGTGGCCTGGCTGTGTTTCTATCTGTGGGCCGATCGATTCATTGTCTGTCTGTCTGGTGCGGCGCAGGCAAGAGCAGTGTGTTGGTGACCAAGGCGGGCGGTCAGTTCTACTGCACCGGGGCATCCTGCACACACTACTCCGCCCCCCTTGTCAAGGGTACAGTACCTACACACGCACTCACGGGCACATCACTTGCATGAATCGCTCCCACACACGACCGACCGACCGACCGCTCGTCATCCGTTGATGGCTGTGCTGTGCTGTGCTGTGATGTGCTGGTGTGTGTGTGTGTGTGTGTGTATAGGTGTGTTGGCCCCCGACCACTACGGCAGTGGTCCGAGCTACCACGTGTCATGCCCATGGCACGATGCCGAGTTTGACCTCAAGACGGGCGCATGTGTCAACGGCCCCTCGCTCACGGCCATCCCCACATACCCCGTCGAGGTCAAGAACGGCCGCGTTGTCGCCACGCTCCCCAAGGACATGAAGGTGGGTGCGAAAGACGTGCAGTGCAGGGCAGACACACGACAAACTCGCCTTTGACGCGACGCACGACAGACATGACCATATTCGTGTGTGTGTGTTGTGCAGGAGACGGTTGAGCCGCCGGTAGCGAAGCGTGACCCCAACAACAAGGCCGTGTATGCGGTGATTGGCGGCGGCCCGGCATCCATGGCCGCCATGGAGACACTCAGGCAGGAGGGATTCACGGTGAGAGAGGATGACACCCACAGCCACACGCAATGGAGCACGAGGGCTGCACTGCACGTCCGTGTGTTGTCTTGTGTCGTGTTGTCTTGTCTTGTCTTGTGTACGTATGTGTGATCGATGTGATATGAATGAAAGGGCCGCATCGTGTTCATCACCAAGGAGGAGTTCCCGCCATATGACCGCCCTGTGCTGTCCAAGAACCTCTACGCCGACATCGACCACATCCAACTCAGAAAGGCCGACTTCATGGGTCGGTATAGATAGATACGCACACACAATCACACACCCAATGACACACACAATGACACACACGTTACGTTAGTTATGTGGCCGCTGCGATGCGTTGTTTGCAACCTTCCTTCTGGTGCCTGCCTTTGTGTGTGTAGATAAGTTGGAGATCGAGAGCAAGTTCAAGACGACGGTGACCAAGCTGGACGCCAAGAACAGCACACTCCACTTCGACGACGGATCTACCATGAAATACGATAAGGCAAGGCTACCCAACCAGCCCACACACACGGATCCGCAGACAGACCTACACACGGACACACACCACACCCATATGATAGCTATGGTTGACTGACGTAGACTACCTGCTCATCCAGTCCAATCCCTGGTGTCTGTCTGTGTGCAGATGTTGTGCTGTGCGGGCGCTGAGCCCCGTCGCATCCCGGTTCCAGGTCACGAGGCCAAGAACATCTTCATCCTCAGACGACCCGACCATGCCACCGGCATCCAGGAGTACGCCATGCCCGGAAAGAAAGTGGTCAGTATAGTACACTGACGACACGACACGACCTGGCTGACACACAACACAACACAGCTGAGATGATCCGTTCGTCCACGCGTCGCTTCTGTGTGTCTGTGTGTCTGGTGACCACTGGTTGTGTGCAGTGTGTGGTTGGCACATCGTTTATCGGGATGGAGGTGGCGTGCACCCTCGCCAAGAAGGGGGCCAAGGTCGCCCTTGTCGGAATGGTCAGCCAGCCAGAGAGAACCAAGATATATGGCGTCCATGACATGACAGCTGTCAGCTCACTCACTCCGTTTGTTTCTTTGTCTGTTCTGCCCCTCACTGTCATCCATCCTTCACCTCACCAGGAGTACGTGCCGTTTGAGCGTGTGTTGGGCAAGCAGGTGGGTCAGGTCTTCAAGAACGTCCTCGACAAGAACAAACTCGACTTCTACGGACCGGCCATCGTCAACAAATACGAGTGGGGACACACACAGACACACAGACAGACAGAAAGCACCACACACATACACACACACGCACCGAGACACTCGTCCGTCCGTTGTCCCCTGTGTGTGTCGCTATTATCAGTTTGGATGAGAATGGCATGGTGAAGGGTGTTGAGCTGAAGGACGGCAAGGGGTACATCGAGTGCGATGCCGTTGTTCTCGGAGCCGGTCAGTCACACGCCCACCACCTACACACCTACCTATCTGGTATGGCTTGCATCTGTCTGTCTGCCTGCCTGCAGGTGTTGCGCCGACGTGCCACAAGTTTGTCGAGGGTGTGCAGGTCCACAGCAGAGACGGATCCATCATCTGCGACCCTTTCATGAAGTGAGTGAGAAATCACCAAACACACAACCAAACAAACAAACAACCAAACAGACCAGCACGCCCCCTCTCACCGATACCCCTCTTGCGTCAGGGCTCGTGACGGCCCCGACAACTTCTGGGCTGCTGGTGACTGTGTCACGTTCCCATGGTACGTTGGTCGCCTGGCGGGGGGGCACGCGAGACCACACAGACTAGATCCAGCAAATGGCCGGCCGGGGACCTCTCTCTCTCTGTTCAGGTACAAGAGCGGCCACGACACCCGCATTGAGCACTGGGACGTCGCATACCAGCAGGGACGTGTCGCGGCACAGAACATGTGTGGCAAGGTACGGACGGACGCAATCGCCCACACACACACACACACGCACACACACAGACAGACACAGAGTGATCGGTTCGTTCCTTGTGACATGTTCGTGATTCATCAGCACGTGCCTTTTGCGAACATTCCGTTCTTCTGGACGATGATCTTCGGCAAGTCGCTGAGGTACGCCGGGCACTGCCGCGGCTTCGACGAGCTGCACGTGGAGGGCGACCTCGACAAGGGAGAGTTCGTCGCTTACTACATCAAGGGAGACAACGTAAGCCAGCCACCCACATGCACTCAATGCATTGCACACACAGACAGATCCACACAGGCAGATATGGTGTGGATGTTTGTGTGTGTGTGTGTGTGTGTGCAGATTGAGGCCGTCGCAACTTGCAACCGCGACCCGATAGCTGTGGCGACGGCCGAGTTGATGAAGCTCAACCACATGCCCACAGGCACTGAGGTCAAGACCGGCAAAATCGACGCTGACGGACTCGTCAAGAAACTCAAGGCAAGCTTGCCAGCCAGCCAGCCAGCCAGCCAGCACGAACACGACAGCACACAAGGCCTCACGCCTGCCTTTCTGCCCCTATGCGTGTTGCGTGTTTAGGAGTACAACAAGAAGCGGCTGCCCGCCCAGAAGGACTCGGCCGTCAAGAACTGACTGACACACACACATACGCGTTCATGCGGTTGTCCTGAGGTAGGTAGGTAGGAACGACTGACTGACTGGCACGACGAAGGACACCCACCTCACTGTCCTGCCACCTGTCCAGCCAGCCGCCCACCCAGGTTTCCTTTGCTGTCTGTCTGTGCAGTGACTGAGTGAGTGGATGCTGGCTTGGCTTGGGGTTTTTGAAATGGATGGCTCCAGTGGGGTGGGTGCCTGCCTGGATTGATGAGCGTGATGGGGGTGGGTGACGGACGGATGAGTCGAGTCGAGTCGGGTGGATGTGGGAAGGTCATTTTTGCCGTCCCACACACACACATACGCACGCGCGTCGCGTAGAGAGGGCACAGCACGGCTAGTGACTGAGTGACTTGGAGAGATTGGCTGGCGTGGTTGGTAGAGAGATCCGTAGCTGGCTGGCCCAGACAGACATACACACACACCCACGCCCCCAACACAACACCCCTACACTGCATAGTATACACATCCCCATCATACATTCACACACACGTGTTTGGTTGTTTGTTTGCTTGTTTGTTTTCCCTTCGGCTGCCTGCCTGCCTGCCTGCCTGGATGGATAAGCAAGTGGTGTGTGTGTACGTGTGGTGTTCGCATGTCAAAGCGCCAAGCGCTATCATGAAACTGTCTGTATGTCTGTATGTCTTTTGTCCATCTGTGCAAGTACCCACCGTTTTCCTTGCCATGGTGTGGCCGTCGGTATGTGTGTGGTGGGGTGTGGGGTGACTGATCCAACGCACAGGACTGGCATCGAGCCATGGATGAATACACACATGCTGCTGCTCACAGCATTCTTTTCCAACAGCAGCCTGAGGGGGGTCATGGTGTGAGTGTCGTGTGGATGTGGTGAAGCCCTCCCATGGCCTCACATCACACCATGGCCGACCCGACCCCACGCCATGCACTGCAACACAGCACAAGCCAACCTGTTTGTTCCTTGGTGGAGTGGCTGACTGATTGATGAATGTTTGGTAGGTAGGGGCGGGGAGGACCCTCCCTGGTAATGGTAAGCAAAGTGTGTGTGTGTGTGTGTGTACAGACAGACCGACAGACAAACAGACCGACATGCACGATTCGATTGACCCGACTGACTGACTTGAATGTTTGTGCCACCTGTGTGTGAATGTTTGACAGTGAGAGAGTGCTGCCTGCCTGCCTGCCTGCCTGGATGGATGGATGGGTGTGTGTGTGTGGATGGATGGATGGCTAGGGACAGAGGGAGAAGGGTTGGTGGTCTACTGGTAGCCAGCTACTACCCAGGGGTGTTTTCGTGTCGAGCCCGGCATCCTCCATACGTGCAGCCAGCGGTCACCACCCTACCGACCCAATGCATGGATTGACTACTCGGTGTGTGCGAGAGTGCCGACCGACATGATGATGAGTTTCCTTCCCAACGAACGATTACTGACACCGGACAGTTTTGACTCTGTGTGTGTCTGCCTGCCTGCATGAGCTCTATTTGTGAGCGGACCACACATCCATTGAAGCATGCAGTGCAGTCGTCTTTCATTGTCAGAGCCCCCTCCCTCTATAGCTACTCCTGTAGACTGCTACCTCACTCACTACAGTGGGCTGGTGCCCCGTTCCCACACACATGTACACCCCAATGTCATCCAACCATGTATCCATTTTGCGTACGTATGCAAAGTGCAGTCACCCAGGGGTACTCACGTTGTGTCTGCTGCGGCAGCAAATGAGCACGTCAGTTGCTCGGTCAGAAGGAGTCGTCAACAGCTCTGACCTGATGCAGTGGCTCGGCCAATGTCTGACCTCCAATACCACCACCGACATGCATATTGCTGATGTCCTCCTCCTGCCGCCCCTCCTCCAGACGAACATCTGCATCGTCTGCAGGGGACAGCGGCCCTCCTCCTTTGCTGTCATGCTCTTCCTGCTGCTGCTGCTGCTGATGTTGTTGTCGACCAGGGCCGTCGTGTGGTGATTGGTAGAGGCTCACATGCATCCCCTCCGCCACTTTCGTGTCTCCCGCCTCCTCCTCGTCCTCTTCCTCTTCGATGTGCTCCTCTTGCTTGTTGCCGTCCATCCATGTGATGCCGCGCCGCATGCCACTGATCGATATTCATCATGATTGATGTGTACTGTACGTGCATGGTGCACGATGCATCTAGTGCTGCCAGGAGTCACCTGGTGACGTCGTGTTTGCACGAGCCGTCAACGAATGCTAGGTTCATGGTCTTGCCCGTGTGGAAGGTCGTCACCCGCAGCAGCTCTACCTGACCCGGCGGGACGGCGTGCAACAGCAGAGCCAACGAGGATGCACTGATGGCAGCCAGAGTGACGTACACCCCCTCAACAGTGAAGTACCACCAGTACAGGAAACCTGCGTGAGCACAGGCAGGCACAAACACGAAGTTGCGTGTCTCGCGCCTCATGTGGATGTGGAGGGTACATGGGACGATGCAAGTGAGGGCGCACACGTAGGAAAACAGGCCAGTCCTATATTTCTTGTACAGACCGTCCTTCGACCACCACACAGACGTCAGAAAGCTGAAGCGGAAGGAACCACACACACATCAATCAATCAATGATGCCAAGCCGAGAGAGCCTCTCTTTCCCTGTCCGGCCTACCTACCTATAAACGGCGCCTCTGATGAGGAAGCTAACACCCACACTGGCAAAGCAGGCAAGAAAAGTGCTCCCAAGAGCCACAGCGAACTCCTCGTCAGAGCACCCTGTATGCCATGCCACACACATAGCGACATTGGACACGCACGTCCAATGCACCTCCCACCGTGCTCACTCGTATCGCTGCTGCTCTCCGGTCCGATCACCGTCTGCAGCTCTCTGGCCCTCAGCCTGGTGCAGTCGCCACAGTCGCTCACTTCGAGCGTATACATCAGGGCAAACAGGCGAAAGGTGAAACACGGGGCCTCGGCCGGCACGGGCGTCTCCGCGCCGTGGAGGAGCTCCAGTGCAGCTATGGTCGTGTTGAATAAATTCTCGTCAGGCGCATCTGGCAGGGCAGTTCTCAGTGTCGTCATACAGGCTGGCAGTGCTGCTCCTCTTTCCCCTCTACCAAAACTTACAGAGCAGCCCATTCGGCGATGAGCTCATCTCTGTCCATGTGATGCAGGTCGATGCGTCCCCGTCCATCGTGTTGAACTCATTCTGGGCGTCCGTGCAGTCAGGCGCCAAGCACACGCTAGACGCAGGCCCTGGGGCTCCCGACGGAAAGGCAGAGGGGAAAACCGATGGGAAGGCGGGAATCACTGGAAAGGCTGATGGGCCGCCCAAAGGGATAGCCGATGGCACGACCGGCAAGAGGGGGCCTCCTGGAGCTGGCCCGGCGCCTCCCACAGACGCAGCAGGGCCTGAATGCCAGCATTAATTGAGCACATTGTGTCCTCTTCCTTCTCTCCTGTGCGCCAGACTTGTGAGTTACCTACCCGTCTCCTCGGGGTCCTCCTCCTGGAAGGCGAAATCGTATATTTGCGGCACGTCGTGGCTGGTCTTGCAGGTCAGCTTGTCGATGATGTTTGATGATGCAGTCGTGAAATCCATCACAACAACTGCACATGATCAAATTTTAACAAGCATCCTTGAAGCCCTGAGATCAAAGTGACGGTTTGCCCCCCTTTTTGACCATCTGCTGCACCTGTTATCATGGCACAGACGCCCAGCACAGCCAGGACACCGGCGGACAGATGCGACCATCGTATCTGCTGCGAGTCCTTTCGGCTCACGCGGGACTCCTTCCTGCTGATGCCACTGACGTTGCTCTGCTGCATAGACAGGGCCTTCGCTGGCCCAGCCTCCTCCTCCATGGCTTTCACCGTTTCCTTGCAAGATCGGTGGTCAGAGAAGACGCGGGGGCCCCCATCTCCTCCACAGATTCGTTTCACGCCCTCTTAACCCTCCGACCTCAAACGCACCGCGGCTGCACCGACCTCAAATGCATCTAAAGTGACTGTCCCTTCCCGCTGATAACCGTTCTATTGTGGCTCTCCCTCCCTGCCGATGCAGAGGCAGACGAAGAGACCCTCCTGCTGGCGCTGCTGCTGCTGGTACGCGATGCACGCGAATGCTGATATGTGCACCTTGTGTGTGTGTGTGTGTGTGTGTGTGCAGCAGCCGCTGTGGCGGATGATGATGTAATCGGGGAGGAAGAAAGAAAACACACACACACACAGAGAGAGAGAGAGAGAGAGAGCGAAGCAAGCACACACACAGGCATACATATGAGTGTGTGTGTGTCTATTCGAGGTTCAGGTGTCTGAAAAGGTCACCTTGACACCCAGCCATCTCATGTCAGTCGATAGACTCATCGACCCAACTGACCGTGACCCAGAGAATGTGCCGAGCGTCACTCTCAGAGCCGGCCAGCAATAGGCCTATATCGGCAAAGATGACCTGAAGGAGATCTTAACAACGCTTCGAGGACACTATGACGCGTCAGATACGTCCCGCCCTGCTCGCGTGCCGCCCATGGTCATCACCCGTTTCGCCCGAGGGGGGAAGACGCGGATGATGAAGGAGCTTGCCGCCTCGCTGCAGAAGGAGGGGACCCCCACGCTATTCATCACTTTCAACGACGGGACCAACGTCAACGCCTATGAGAAGAGGACCATGACCCCGCTTGAGTCGATTGGTGTGCGGATAGCTTGGGCAACCTCAACGGATGACACGCTGCAGGAGGTTGCCGAGGCGGCCAACAAGTCTGTGGACTGTCTCATGTTTCACGACTGGGTTAAGAGTGTTTCTATCTCCAAGAGGACACTCGCCGATTGGCTGGGCAATCACCCTCTCGTCATCTTCATTGATGAGCTCAACCAGCGTATCGCCCCAGACAGCACTTTTTTGCCCGACTCGGCGGACGAGGAGGTGGCTGATTTCCTGAAGGTCCACTTCCTCGCTCGCAAGCAGCGGTATTTTGCTTTTTCAAGCCACGTCGCCGCGCTGGGGTCTCATCTGAAGGACTACTACAACAATGCCAGCGCCCGCGAAGTGTATAGGCCACGGATTCCGCAGGTGACCAAGCTGTCTGACGTCGTAGAAACGGGCCTCTGCCCAGCCATCCACTCCGGCCTCGTCTGCTGGGCGGGACGATGCCCCGCATTATTGACGCTGGCCTACCCACGAGAGCCGCCATCGCCCGAGAGGGTAGAAAACATCGTCAAGCGCCAGCCGACCGATCGTTTCGACACAGTGCGTGCAGAAGCCATCGTTCTCACGGCCATTGAGGGTGATGGAGGCAAGGTCGATGATCTCGGGTCGTTTTCATGTCTGCTGGACGTCTATGGTGGATCTTCAGCATGTGTCTGGCCTCCCTGCTACCTGCCATTTGCTTCTCACGAGATCGGCAGCTCCAAAAACATCGCAGCAGCCCCCGAATTACGCGATGGATTTGGCGAGGGATTGAGGGCGGTCAAGGTGTTTCTTGATCAGCTCAAGGACGCGGAGGGGTCTGGGAAGGGATGGGAGGGCGTTGCTGCTGCAGGGCTGACACTGCGACTGCTGTACAGCCATTTGTCAGTCAGCGGCGTCCCTACGGAGAGCTCCCCTGTTAGCCCCGCAGCAGCCAATCTGGTCCCTGTGGAAGTTGCCGAAGGATGCAAGTTTGGCGGTTTCATCCAGGACCACCTGGTGACGGCCGCGGAGGGACTTATCAGATGTTTTCTGAGAAAGATGAACTCGCTATTTGCCGACGGAGAGCACTCGTATCTGGCCAACAATGTCTACTCGTGGGTCGTCAGATCGACACATTCAACGTATCGCGACCACGGTTTCTTCGTCTTCATAAAGAAAAAGGGCGTCTGACCGTGATCTATGGCTATCAAGCAAAGGAAGGACCGACTGGCCCGCGACGAGAGGCTCTCACAAGGCTGAGCAAGAATGTGTCTACAGCGCTCACTGCAGTGAGGGCGACGTCTTCGGAGTGGGTAGGAGAGTCGGTCACTGTGCGGACTATTTGGCTGCGTGGTGATGCTGGGCAGCAGGACGTGCAGGCGGAGCGGATGGACGAGCCACTCTATGCTGGACGTGAGGAGATTGGCATGATTCCTTCACGAGCTTCGATTCGAGATCTCATCGGCTGCTCGCTGAGATCGGCATGTCCATTCGAGTGGCTGGTGGAAGGGAAGGATGACGTGGGAGGGTGAGGGGAGGAAGCGAGCTAGCTAGCTTCTTGGACGGACTTTGTGAGGCGGGGGGAGGGGAGGGAGGATGCAATGGGGCTATCGTTCACTGCTATACATATTCGTGTGCAAGTCTTTTTGGTTGGTGACAGTGGTGGCGGAACGTATGTGCAGCGCAGTCTGTGTAGTGCAGCAGTCCGCTGTATGTATGGGTGAATGGCGTGTTGCTCTCTAGCTATCTCTGTTGCAGTGGGAGTATTAGTGTGTGTATCAATTGCCCTATCTCTCTCTCCTCTGGGCGTCATCAGTGTGCTGGCCGTGAGCTGCCTATTTTTTCCTTCTTTCGCTGCCCACATTGCGTGTGGATCGATGATGGTGTAGTAGAGATGGTGAGACTATCTGGCCCACGGATGGACAGACTTTCCCTCCCTTTGACATCCTCACTATCACACATACAGCATTGATGGCATTTCCCTTCCACACAGTTGACGTCACATGGATAAAGGACGTCATGCCGCACCACACAAAAGACACGTCAACACTCACAGGACACAGCACACATGGACAACGGACACACCGAAACCACTCATCGACCGACCCACACTTGCTGTCATCTGGTATTCTGCTGGCCCTTCCGTCTCTTCATCTTCTTTTTGATCTGTTTGAGGACTCTCTTCTGTGCGGCCAGCTGTGGCGCGACGACCGCCCTCTGCTTCTCCTGCACACGACGTGCTCGGCGCCGGGAACCAACAGCCTGCATGTACCCACACGCACAGACAGGTCCATCCATCCATCCATCCAATGTGCAACCAGCCTCTTATGCAGACATGCAGACAGATGCGCACCTGTCTGGCGGCAGTGAGGGCCTGTGTGTACTCAGCCGAGAGGCCTCCACCGGTCATGTGTCGCTCCAGCCTCTCCAGCGCCTGGCCAGCCATGTGCGCCAGCACGGCCACCTGCTGCCCAGCCGACAGCTCCCTCACCCCGCCCCACACCATGCCTCTGTCCTGGTCAGTCACCCGCGTCAGCAGATGCCCAATATCCTCCTCCAGTCTGTCCCGCGCCCTCACCGCGCTGGACGCTATCTGGTGCAGACTCCGCACACACGCGTCAAGCAAGCCGTGCTGCACCAGAAGGTCGGGTCGGAGAATGGTCGGCAGCTGGCGGTAGAACTGGATGAGCAGGGCGGTGCGGACGGGGTGGGTGGGTGTGGCCCCGAGGTATCTGCTGGTGCGGCCGGACAGCCGACGGACGCACCACAACACCTGGGAGCGCTGCAGCTGATGGGCTGGGGAGAGGGGGGAGGGGGATGGGGATGGGGATGGCGGTGGTGCTGGCTGGTCGCTGGAGCGGGGTAAGGGTGGAGGTTGCCGTCTGCTCTCGTGTGGGGACAAGTGTATCTGGTGGAGGAGGGAGCCCGTGACCAACTCGGGGGGAATGACGGCGGCGTCGGGCTCGCGGTCCTCTTTGGCCGCGTCGCCCTCGTCTGGTCCCTTGTTGTCTGCTGTCCGTGGCCGCTTGACAGCCTCTCCGTGTTCTCCTTCATCCTCCGCATGTCCATTCAGCTGATCAAAAGACCTCTTCCTCTCCCTGTCGGCCGCGGCATCCATGTCCATCATGCCTTCGCCCTCTGGAGGAGCATCTTCTGCGATCGCCTCCTCCTCCTCCTCTTGCTGCTGCTGCTCGTCATCAGCAGCGCCTCCCTCCTTGCCCATCATGTCGGGGCAGCTGAGAGCAAGCCCACACGCACCAGTGAGGGCGGCCAGCAGCGCGTCACACAGCTGTGGCTGGTCTTCTACTCGCGCAGACGCCATCAGCGACACCAATCGGTGCAGCAGGACAGAGGGAGGGGGATAGTCACCATCATCCGGAAGGGCGACATAAAGCAGAGGAGGTGCGGGCGATGAAGCCGCCTTCTTGCCTTTCCTGGACCCCTGCTGCTGCTGCTGCTGCTTGATGAGTGCCGCAGGGCTCTTCTTGCCGTAGTAGGTGGCCAGTATCCGGAGGGCGAGTGCGGCGATCCACGGGTGCGGGTGGCCGAGGCCACTGGTCATGGCGCAGCACCACAGGCCAGCAAGGGCCTGCGCGACACCCACACGCGCCGACCCACTCATAATGGCCGACACGGACGGCAGCTGCTGCCGCGTGTCGCCATCTGCACCATGGCTCCCCGGCCACAGCAGCGACCGACAGTGTGGGTGCAGGAGAGAGGGGGAGAGGTGCCGCTCCAGCTCCCCTAGAGAGACGGCAGACAGCAATCCCTCCATTGCCTTGAGAGCGCAGTAGACGATCCGCCAGTCCTCCAGAGGGACGGACGGCAGCCCGCTGTCAGCCGAGGCCGATAGGGCGGGTGAGGGTGTGTGTGAGAGTGCGAGTGCCGTCCAGACGGCTGGGAGGATGGAGGGGAGGAGGGCGGAGAAGCGCTCGCCGTAGTAGTCGATGAGGATGCCCGCTGACTCCACGAACGCCAGACGCAGCGCATACTTGCCCGTGGACCACCTGAGCAGAGCGATACACAGAGACAGATACATCCATCCACGTGTTCTCACACAACTGCTGCCTTCCCTTGCTCTCTTTGCTGCTGCCTGTCCTACTTTAGGAGCAGCTGGATGAGGTCGTTTCGCGCTCCCTCGTCCTTGACGGCCTGCAGAAGTGTCTTGAGCGCGGCGTGGAGCATCTGCCTGTGGTGTGCACACACAAACAGACACACACATGAACACATCTCCGTCTGGGATGCCTGTAATTGGTGGGTGCCCACCGTGCTGTGCTGTCATCCTCCTGCGCCAGCCTCGCGGCCACCGACACACCAATCAGGCCAGAATAGCGGGACACCAACACATCAGTAGGGATGTCCACCTGTGCGAACACACGAACACGATAACAGCATGGTGACGGGTGGTGCTGTATAGCCTTGTGTTGTCTGGTGTGCATCTGGCTGGCTGGATGACCAGGAGTGCGTGTAATGCGTTGAGGACATTCTGCCGCCCCTGTGGCTGCGGGTAGCTCAGGCTCTTGATCAGGTGGCTGACGCGGAACGACTGCACCTTGTTGGACATGGGGAAGGTCAGCACGAACTCCACGTAGATCTTGGAGCACACCGCCGCCACGCTCTTGTCGTGTGTCTGCACGAGCAGCTCGGCGACCCTGTCGACGCACTGGTACACCTGACTGGCCAGGCCGAACGACTTGAGCGTCTCGTCTTTGTGCTTGAGCAGCAACACCCGACGGAACAGCTGCAAGGCAGACGACTGCAGCCGGGCGTCGCTCAAGGACACCTGGATCTGCACACACACAGGCATCCACAGGTGCTTGTGTAAGCCAAATGGCGCCATGTATGTGACCTGAGAGAGCAGAGCGGAAAGCAGCGCGCGCCCCTCCATGACGCGCTCGCCCTCGCTCTCCTGCGGGGCCCGTTTCCGGCCCTTGGCCCCCTCGCCATTAGCCCGTTGTTGTTGTTGCTGTTGCTGTTGGTGTTGTGTGATGAGTGGGTCGAACCACTTGCTGGACTGCGGGTCGGCCAGGAGGGAGGCCAGTAGCCGAGTGGTGGTCGGGATGATGTCACCGGCCGACGACGACTGGCCCGCGCCGCTCATCGTCTCAAACAACCTGTGTGCAGGTGACACACACACACAGGGAGAGAGAGAGATGGAAAGGGACCGCTCTGTCTGTGTGTGGGTGGGGGGAGGGGTACCTGAGTATGGTGTTTGCCACTCGTCTGGCGTTGTTCTGCATGGCCTCCCTCAGAGCCTCATTCCTCCTGCCGACCAGCTGCATTCGCCAGAGCACCCTGGCGGCCTCGCCGTAGACGTCGTTCTCCTTGCTGCAGAAACACTCCATCACGTAAGGCACCAGACTCTCCATCCCTTCCATGGCCGTGTTGGAGGCCTGGAAGCGCTTCATGGCGAGGAGCAGCAGGCGCAGCCCCGCCTGCCCCAGCACCGCCCCCCGGACCTTCTTGTCAAACCCCCTTCCTCGCTTGACGCCGTCCAGCGGCCCCCGGCCCCTCGCCGCACCTGGCTGCAGAGAGACATATTCGTCGCGCATGGCCCTCACGCGCCTCTGCGCTTCGCCCTCCTGCCAGTCGTCTTCTTGTTGCTGCTGGGTGCTGGTGGTGGTGTCAGGGGCGCTGGTGGTATTGTTGTTTGTGGCCTTGCGTATGAAAGGTAGGTCGTCCGGGTGTGTGGGGTGGGATGGGTGTGTGAGCGAGAGGGAGAGGGCGATGAGGTGGCGGGAGAGCAGCAGGAGGGAGGCGGGAGGGAAGGAGGGGTTCGCCGAGAGGCCTTGGATCGACTGCGATTGACACCAACAGACACATAGGGGTGTGTGGTGTGGTGTGTGCAGGTGAGCATGGGTACCTACCCTCTGGAGCAGCTCTCGGCATCTGTGGAGGTACTTGTGTGAGAACGTGCGGCTGACCTCGCCGCCCTCCCTCTCGTACGCCGTGCCGCTCAACAAACCGCACAGGAAACTGACAGATGACAGACCACCCACCACAGCACAGAGAGATACGTATGTGTGTGGATTGATTGCTCCATGGGGTGGGTGGGTGGCATGATCAGGCGTTGCATTGCAAATGCACCCGATGAGTTCGTTTTCGCATTTGTCTTTAGTGAGGGTCTTGGCGAGCATCTCCAGCATCTCCGGCCCCCTCAGGTGCTTGGCCTCTACCACCTACACACACGAGTGCTTGACAGTCATGCTGCACGTGGCTTTGCGGGCAGTGCCCCTGCTTAATTACTTTGCTGAATGCCCCCTCAGCCATGGCGTCGACATCCGGGCGGTCGGGGTCGACCAGACGGTCCAGCTCCTGCACACAGACAGACAGGGATGTCACACACATGGGCGCAGCCGCGTAGATAGCGCAGGTCCCTCCCTCCCTCCCTCCCTCCCTCCCTCACCTGTGTGACGAGTGGCAGAATCCACTGCAGTGCGTCGTCGAGTGACCCAGTGAACTCACCCTCACTCTCTGCTGCTGCTGCTGCTGCTGCTGACGTGCGTGTGCCGTCCGTCTCCTGCTCTTGCTCCTTGTGATCGGGTTTGCCCTCGACCACAGCCCGGAGTGCGGCGTGCACTGTGAAGACCAACACGGGCACCTGATCACCAGCGACAAAAACAGTGATTGATGGCTGTGGTGTGGTGTTCAGCCTGGCAAGGCCCACACGTAGGGTAGGTAGCACCTGATAGCCTCTGGTCAGCTGTCCCGAGAGCTCCGACACCAGCCAGGCGAAGTACGAGGGGCCCAGTGCATGGGCAACCTATGTATGTCACCACACACCACACACATCGGGAAGCCTAAGGTAGATTGGCCCCCTCGCCCAGGTTTGTTCTTACCCACGTACCCACGTACGTACCTGGCAGATTGCAGCCCGTGCGGTGCGGCGCTCGGCAACGTCACGCGACCTGCACACCACACCACACAAGACTTTCGTGTGTGTTGGTCGGTACGTGTGTGCACCTACTACCTGAGGCATGTGCAGAGCATCCTAGTCAGCCGCGGCAGCTCTCCATGGAACTCATCGACAGGCAAGTAGCGCGACACCTGACACCAGACACCAGCCAACACACAGGCAGGCAGGCAGCACATTCATCCTTGACAGACACGACGACACACACACACGAGAGAGCTGACTGATCCGACTGACTGACCTGGAGCATGATGCCCGCCACGGCCACACGGACCACCCCACCACCACCTGCCCCCGTGTCGGCCTTGTCGTCGCGACGGTGTTTGGGGGCATAGTGGTGGACGGGAGTTTGTGCGGCCCTGCTCTTCTCCAGCAGCAGCGACCGCAGGAGGGGCAAGATGCGCTTCCGGATCGCCGACTGGATGGCCTCCTGCCTGTGGGTGTTTGTTGTGCAGGAAAGGCAGCAGAGGTGTGGATCTGGTCATGTGGGTGTGGGCCGTGCGGATGTACTCACTTTGTCTGCGCTTCGTCGGTTTGTGTGGCTGCGGCACCTTCTGTGTCTTCTTGGTGCTGCTCCTGCTCTTGTTCTTGTTCTTGTTGGTCCTGGTCCTCCGCCTCTTGCTGCTCGTCGGTGTCAGGCTGCTGGCCCTCCTGGCCGCTGCTGCTGCTGCTGGTGGTGGCGGCCTCTCTCCGAACAGCATCCAACACCTGCACCCCACACAGCACACCACACCCCGTCCACTGTCCGTCGCGTATGCAATGGCTGACTGACCCTGCTGCCGTGCTGCGCGTCCTTGCTGCCCTTGAAGGTCGCCAGTGCGTCAGGCAGGTGGTAGTCGAAACTCCCCAGCACCCTGACCACACACCACAACACACCACACCACATGACATCCACCCAACCATGGCCAGCCAAAGGTATCCCTCTCTGTGCCGCCACGTACTTGCAGATGGCCCTGACGATGGGTTTCTCCCGTTCTGACGTCTTCTTCAGTGCGTTGGCCAGCGTCCGCACAGTCGACAGTGCCGTTGTCCACGACACTCGCGCCGCCAGCTCGGACAGACAGGTGAGGCCCACCTCACACAGGGAAGAATCGTAGGTCTCCTTCCGGGCTGACCTCTGAACAACGTGTGTGTCAGTCAGATGGGGAGAAGAATGTGTGTGTGTATGTGTATGGGTGTGGGTGTGTGTGTGGAGGGGGTGCGTGCCCTGCCTGAAGGATGGCGTGCATGCAGAGCGGTAGGCAGAAGTGGGTGAGGGTGGACCGCTGCAGCTGCCCTGACTTGGCCGCCCTGATGGATAGATAGATGACACACACGTACCGTACAGCGAACGCACCGGTGCGGCCCGGTGCATGCGGTGTGTGCGACGGATGGATGGGGAGGGTGTCATGAAATGGAAATGTATGTGCCTACTTGGTTAGGAGTATGAGGGCTCTCGCCCTCCTGTGACGCTGCAGGTGCAGCAGCTCGCCAAACAGATCGCCGCCTTCTTCGCCTGTGCTGCTGCTGGTCTTGATGACGGCCATGAGGTTGGTGTGCAGCGCCGCCCTTCGCCCCTCCACCCTCCTGCTGTACAACTCCGCGTCCCCATACATGTGACTCACAAGCTCACCATCTCCTGCGGAGGCTCTCTCCACACCTACAAAACATCGGTCCATCAGCACACATGGTCCACACACGGGGGGCTAGAGCTCTATCTCTCTCTCTCTCTTTCCTCACCACCTCTGTCGATGAGTGCGTGCTTTGATGATGACGGCAAAGGCAGGGGCAGCGTCGCGAGATGTGGCCCGATCGTCCGGATGTAGTGTGACAGCACCTGGAAGGCCGACCGCTGAACGCCCTCGTCAGAGTGTCGGAACAGCCGCCTCATGGTGGGCAGCACCACCCCAAAGACGTGCTCACACACAGAGGAGCACTGGACGGCCTCGGTGAGCAGATCGGTGCCGGGAGACGTGAGAGCGGCGTGGAGATCCTGGTGGCCGTGTGTGTCGGTGCCCATGGCCTGGCGGAGAGCGGACGCAAAGGCGGCGATTCTGTCGGCCAGCCGGTGCAAAACCCGCACACACATCTGACAGATACATAGATGCACAAAGAGGACACATACAGAGAGAGAGAGAGAGAGAAGGGTGTGTGGCGGGCTTCGGAGGGTACTACCTGTCTGACGCCAATATCCACCTCTGCCCCACTGATAAGGAACAGCACATGACGCACAACGCACTCCCACACACGGGGAGGCATCGGCTGTGGGCCGTCAGCCGCTGCTGCTGCCGCTGCTGCTGTGGTGGTGGTGGTGGGCATGACGTGTTTGTCACAGAACTCTCCCAGCAGCTGCACGTGCAAGTCGAAGTCAGGCTCCGAAGTCAGCTGCCCACGCCGCAAGGCATTGAGGGCCACCAGCAGATGGGCAGCACAGATCTCCCACACACCACCACCACCACCACCTTGACCCACGCCGAATAGCTCTCGTGTGACGGCGGCGGGGTCGTTCCACAGCCTGGCGTGTGCCTGTGCGTCTGTGGCACTGACGTAGCTGACCAGGTGGTTGGTCGGTGAGGCGGTGGTCGGGGCGTGTGTGGCGAGGAGGATGTCTGTGGTCAGCCACAGCTGGGCGAGAGACGCCCGGCACGGCAGATCTTGCACCGTCTGCACGAACAACCAGCACACCACACACCACACCACACACCACATACAAGTGGGTGGATGGATGGATGGATGGATCCGCTCGGTTCTCACTCACCTGCAAGTATCTCTTCATGTGTGTCTGCACCCCCCTCAGCACCTCCCTGCCACCATCCACCCCCTCCACACCTCCACCAGCCACCACCAGCGGCCCCACCATGAGGTGCCGCATCGACTGCAGGACGAGCATCATCCGCTGGGCCGCCGCAGCCACCGCACGAGAGGCAAACCTCTGTGACGCCTGTGTGGATGTGGGAGGGGGGAGGGACGACTGGAGGAGGGGCAGCAGGTGCAGAGCCGTCACTGGGGACTGACCACACAATCACACACAGAGAGGGAGAGAGGGAGAGGGGGTGGTGGGGGGCTGGTGTGTGTGGCTGGCGTGGCGTACAGAGCAGTCGTTGGCGACGAGCGACATGAGCTCCAGCTCCCCGACGGACACCACACTGCCACTGCTGCTAGCACTGCCCCCCCCGGCGGCTGTCCTGCGGACTGACGAGGCCGAGCACCCATACTTGCGCCGATTCGATATCAACACCTGACACACAAACACACACACGTATGGGTGGTGTGTGATGTGATTGATGTGCAAATTTATGTGTGGACAGACAGGGTGGTCATCTGTCTCACTCACCTGCATGGGCTGCAGGAGTGCGTCCACATGAGGCGCGAGGACCCTCCTGCCCGCCGCAATGGCCGCACGCAGCGCCGCCACCTCTGTCATCCGCCCCTGGTCGGTTTCGGTTTCTTCGACCGCCATGGGGGCTGGGGCGTCGTCTGCCTCCTGGATCTCCAAGACGGCCTCACCTTCATCCTGCTCATCTTCTTCAGATGAAGAATCGCCGCCCTCCTGAGGGATGAAAGACGGTGTGGGTGGTGGTGGTGAGGTCTCTCTGTCTCTGTCGCTCGCTTACTTTCCATTTCTTCCTGCGTCGTTTGTTCCGCTTTGCCTCGACCATGCGGTGCGCCTCCCTCCTGGCCTTGCGCGAGTCCAGCACACCACCCTTGCACAGCCGAAGGGCCACCTGCAGGCACACGCACACACACACATACACACACACACATAATCACACGCACACGGAGGATTTATGTCACGTAGCTGGCTACAGACACCCACGGCCACATTCACACCTAAACCTTTCCTTAAGTACCTTGATAATTTGGTCCACCACTTGCGGCGTGATTTTGTCCTTCCGCATTCTCGCCTCCACGCTGCCCGCCGCCAGGGTGCTAAAGAGCAGCGGCAGGGCGTCCGGCAGCACGGCCTCGTACAGACAGAACAGGGGCTCCTGGTGCGACCAGCTGCACACCAAGTCCACAATCGCAGAGGACTTCAACGAACCTGATGGATGCACACAGCACAGAGAAGAAGGGGATGGGTGAGGTGAGTGGGGGCTATATGTGGCACTCACTGGTGGTCTCTGAGACCACTGACCTGCAGCAGGGACCACGGCCTTGAGCAGTGCCCTGAAGGCCCCCTGGCCCTCCTTCAGACATCTAGGCCACGCCGAGTGCCCCGGCAGCCGCCGCACCAGCTCGTGCATCCGACACAGACACTGCCGCACCACCTGACGCACCGCTGACGACCTCCTTCCCACTCGATGCTCTGCATCATCCTCATCGCGGGTCTCTTCACGCTCTCCGTCGTCGGCCATGGCGTCTCCCTCACCCTCACCGTCACCCCCTTGCTGCTGATCTTGATGGACGTATGAGCGAAGAATGGCCACGAGCAGATGCATGAGGAACTCCACATACGGGACGAGCCGCATCTCCAGCTGGCCGATGACATCGCTGAGGGTGTGCAGGAAGCCCAGGATGCGCGCGGTGGGCTTCAACCGGTGCTGGCCGTCGACGAGCAGCTCCGCGCGGTGCTGTGTGGGTGTTAGGGGGAACGAGGGCGGGAGGGGGAAGGGCGCGAGAGCACTGGTGGGAGAGGAGGGGTCAGCCGAGGCCAGCTGAGTGAAGAACGAGTGCAGCAGACGCTCCTTCGTGAATTCGGTGTCGCTTTCGGAACTGACACGTACGAGCACACCACACCACAGACACATCGAGCTGTCTGTCTCTCTGTAGGTAGGTACTTACTTGTGCTGCGCTGATGTTTTGATGGTGAAGATAGGCAGCATCAGGACCGTCAGCAGGGAAGCTATCTCCTCTGTGGGCAGGTGGGAGAAGAAACTGAAGACCGACGCACGGCGGGCTGCTAAGGACGGCTGGCCGCCACCACTGAAACACAGACAACACACGCCCCATACCATACACCACGTGTCGACACACTCATTCTTGGATGGCTGTTCCCACGTACCCTCTCTTAGGCAGCTTGGCCAACAAGATGCGAATCATGATCGGGATCACCGCCGGCCGGTCCGCAGCCAACACACGCACCTTTCCATCATCGCTCTCGCCCTCGTCTCGGTCGCCGTCGTCTGTGTGTTGGTGTTGTTGTTGCTGCTCGAGCGACACCTTCAGCAGAGCGTCCCTGAATGCCTTGTCGTCGCTTAGCTGGGTCAGCGAGGTGTAGTACTTCCCAACCACTGCCCCAAGTCGCTGGGAGCCCTTCAGCAGCTGCAGTGCCAGCTTCTGCATCTCAGCGTCCCTCACACCCACCAGCCGATGGGCACACAGACCCACCAGCCGCTCAGCCGACTCACTCCCCCCTCCCACAGCCGGCTTGCCCATCGCACACACGGCCTTCAGACACTCACACACGCGGCCCTTCAGCCCCACACGCGACGACAGACCACCAGCAGCCACGGCTGTGTCGTCCGGATCGGTTTCTGTGAGGAGGGCGGAGAGATGGACGGCCCACTGGACAGCCCACTGCACGACTGCGTCGGCTTGGGGGGTGTTGGATGATGCCAGGCGGGGTGCGAGTGTCTCGATTGTCTTCCACAGCCATCTGTGTCGGAGGGAGGGGGCGGTCTCGCTGAAGGCAAACCGATCCAGCTCAGAACTGCAAAGGGGAAAACACACACACAGGATTTTGCTTGTGTGTTGTGTGTCCTCATCTCCTTCATCTTTGTTGTGTCTGTGTACGCACCTCCACATTCGTTCCACCACTCCCTCCACGCCATTGGCCTCAAAGTCAGGCGCGCCAGTGACGTCCCTCCAGCTGCTGCTCGCCACCTGCCCCCCATCAGCTTCATCCTTCCCTCCAGCCCCACCCCCGCCAGCACCGCCAGCAGCCATCCTGCCCGCGGCCATCATCCGCGCACTCTGCGCGGTGATGGCGCGTTTTTTCCTCCCCGACACAAACACTCTGTCGGCCGTCTCACCCTCCCCCATGTGCATGTGATTGGTGGCCCTGAGGATTTCTGAAGCCACAGCGCGCCAGAAGTAGTCTTTGTGGATCATCGGATGGATGGCCCGGAGCGCCTCAAGTGTTGGGGGGAAGAGTGTGGTGAACTTGACGGTGTACTGCGAGAGGATGGCGTGGAAGGCGGCTGTGTGTATGAGAGTGGTCGTGGATGGGGCGGCTGGGGAGGGGGAGGGGGAGGGGGGCAGCCTCAGGAGGGCGTCTGCTGTCTTGGTGATGAGGGAGGTCTTGGTGCGCTCGTGGCCGATAGTGTTGGGCGTGCTCTCGAGAGATACCAAATGCCCTGTCACGCACGCAATCCCCATTCAATGTCCCATCCAGTGAGTATCTCTGCCCATGCCATCCTTCTCGCACTCACAGCTCACCCAGAATCGCCTCCGCAACAGCCACCGTTGTCTCATTTGCCTCACCGCCACCGCCGTGCCTCACGCGCACATCCACACAGCCCATCGGATCCCGCTCCACACTGGGCGGCCCCTCGTCCGGTGCTGTCGTCACCATCACGTCGACTTGCCAGACAAGTACTGCGGATGGAAGGCACTTGAGCAGCTGCAGGGACAGCAGCCGGACGTGGCTGCTGGGGCTTTTGGTCTGTCGGATGATGGGCGCGGCGATGAGGGACAGCACAGCCGGGTCGGCGAGGAGCGGGGAGTGGGGTCGATGCTGCTGCACCTGAATGGGAAATAAGGAACACGCCATTCTGCTGGCTGCCACCTGACCGTGTCGGCATCTTTTCCTTTAATTTACCATTTGGAAGCACTCGACCATCAGCTGCAGCAACATTGGCTCGTCTTGTCGCCTCAGCCACGTTGCCACGACGACGGCCGTCCACCACTCCACTGCGCCTCTCTTATCGTCACCCACATACGCCTTCAGCTCGTCTGGCAAGTCATGAACCTTCACGGCCCTCAATGCGTCAGCCACCGATGGGTGGATCGACGGCAGGGTGAGCAGGTGGGCCAGGAGGGAGGGCACCGCTGTCAGGAGCAGGTGTAGGGTGGATGGGGGGGCGTCACTGGTAGCGGAGGACTGGTAGATGCCCGCCACGTGTCTGCATGCATCATGTCCACATGCACATATGCCGTATCCTGACGTGGGTTGACGAAATGTGCCCTTGCTCCTCTCACCTTGCGAACTGCGCGAGTGCACAGTCACCGTCGTCTGTGTGGGCAGCCAGCAGGTACTCGGCCTGTCCCTGCTGCCTGACCGCCCCCATCGTCACCTCCCTCACCAGCCGCAGACACGCCCACCTCTCCCGATCGTCATTTCCCTCTACCTCTCCCCCGCCAAGCAGACCGATGACAGAAAGAGAGAGGTCTCTCCACGCCGCAGCAGACAGGTGCACGAGGGCATTCTGTCCGTATGCGGCCACCAGAGACGACAGCAGCAGCGACGAGCATGCTGACGGCGCGTGCAGCAGCAACAAGGGGATGGCGTGCGGCAGGCCAGTCACGGGGAAAGAGTCGACGGGCGATGGCGTGATCAGCCTGTCCACCGCCAGAGGACCGCAATCCATCAGCTGTCGGTGCCGTGGCGTCTTGACAGCATCCCGGAAGATGGCCAGCAGCTGGCACAGGATCTCTCGCTGCGGTACGTGCTGGTACTGCGCCACACTGGTCGGCAGGGCCATCCACAGGCAGCAGGCCGCCTTGTGGGCCGCGTACCAGACGTGTTGGTCGCATGGCGTTGGGAGCGAGGGGGCGATGGACGCGCTCGTGAAGAGCAGGGGGAGGGTGTCGCTGACGTATGCGTCAAAGGTCCCCTTGAGCCGTGGTTTCCACCACACCCAGCCGACGGTGCACTCGATGAGGAAGGTGAGCAGGGAGGCGCGGCCCAGCGGGCTGGTGTCTTGCTTGTTGTCTTGTTGGTCGTCGTGCATGGCCTCATCATCTTCTTGGTTCATCAGGAGGGCCTCAAACGACTCACCACCCATCTCATGGTGATCATGCTCCGGCCCATTCCCATTGCACATCGTGGCGGCCTTGTTGTCGGCCTGCAGCTCACTCTGAGAAATGAGACGAGAGAGAGACGCGTAAGCGAGCCACAGCACACAGATGTATGGTATGCCTGCGTTCCTTGCCTCTCACCTGCAGCCGCTGGATCGTCTTCCGAACCACCGCGAGTATCTCCGCCGAGCCCTCACCATCGACAGTCTCCGTGTGCAGCCTCATGCGGACCAGCGCGCCCCTCACAGCCATCTCAAGCCACCTCTGCCCGCCATGGCTCTCATCCCCGACCTGCCCGCCATTGGTAGCATAGTGGGTCTCCAGCATGCGCAGGAGTGCGTCGATGACAGCCGGCAGCTTGGAGGTGAATGTGTGCTGGATGCCCTTGAGCGACTCGAACAGGATCACGCTGATGGCGTCAGCCTGGTAGGACAGCTCCGCAGCTGACAGGCTGACACACACACACACACAGACAAACCGAGACCCACACACACAACCATTAAGTGGAAGATACCCGTGTTGTCGGCCAGCCTTTGTGCTTTGCGGTCCACCTGTGGCCATTGTCGAGTGTCTCCAGCAGCGCCCTCAGCGCTTTCGGCCATTTAGGCGGCGTCAGCTTGCGAAAGACGAAGGCGAGGCTCTCTGCGGCGAAGTAGCGGACAAATGGGTAGGGCTGCCGCAGGAGGCGGCCGTAGGACGACAGATAGCCACAGAGGTCAGCCAAGATGGATTTGGACAGAAACCTGAGTGGGCCACGGAAACAAGGGTACACGGTGCGCACGGATGCCTTGTGTGTATGTGTATGTGTGTGTGTGTACCTGAAGACGTAGGCGAGGCAGGTGAATGCGGGTTCGATGACGGCCGGCTCGCGGGGCTGCCTCTCGACCCTCTCCACCACACCCGACAGCACAACCGGCACGTACGCCTCAAAATCCGCACGCACATCCTGACACACAACACACACACACACACACAGAGAGAGAGGGAGAGAGAGATGGATGGGTGTCTGCCATGCCTGGCTGGCATGGCTGACACGTAGAGCTGCATCTTGTTTACCCTGACGAGTATGCCCAGCAGACTCATGATTGGCTCCAGCGCCGCAATGGCGCTCGTCCGCACCCCCTCGAGCAGCACATCGACGATCTTGCCCAGGTGGAATACCACCAAAGGCATCGACTGCGCGTAGGGCCACAGCGCCACGGCCACCTCCGAAAAGTCAAGCGACCGGTTGATTGAGCGGAAGTGCTGCAGCGCCGCGCTGAAGTGGGTCGACCGCATGGCGGCGTCCATCGTGAGGCCGCTCTCGCCCTCGCCATCTTGCTGTTGTGTGTCGGCCACTGGAGGACGATAGATGGCCTCTCCCTCCGATCTGTGGATGACGTTGACGTCGATGCGGGCGATGCGCTCAGCGAAGGAGAGGAAGCGGAAGCGGTCGGATGAGTCGTCGCCCGCCAGACATTTCACCTGGGCGTCTGACTCCATCGATTGGCCGACAACCGGGATCAGAGATGACTACAGGTCACGGATTCGTCAATAACCTGCGGCGTGATCGTCGCCAGACGCTTCTATTCAAATCGGAGGGACATGACCAGATCTGCAAAAAGCTCGCAGTTGTGAGCTCGCAAGATTTCAGGCTTCGAGCAGATCTTCCAGAGTCCCGCTGGCGGCTCTTGTCTTCTGAGGCCTGCGTGCCAATTCATCCCTCGTCAAATTCTGCTTTGATTATCTCTTCCCCTCATCTCCCGTTGACCCCATCCCTTGACGATGGCGTGCATGGGCCAATGCGTCCAAAGCACCCTTCGTTGGCTGTATTCGCGCCCGTCCCCCCGGTTCCGTCATTGCTGCTCTCGCGTGCCGCCTCCATCAAGGAGCCCGGACGCCATCGACCAGTATGACCTCTCCTGGTTCAACGACGACATCGGTGACTTCCCAGACGATCATTTGGAGTTCCTCAGCGTCATCAACAATGGCGCCAACGCGTTGTGCAGCAAGGCCCGCAACAAGGACACGGGAGAGATCGTGGCCGTCCGGACGAGGGCCAATTGCGACTGGGAGGAGTTTGGCGGCGACGGCAGCGACTGGATGCCGTACGTCCAGCGCGAGATTCGGGCCCTCGAGGCCGCAAGCGACATCAAGGGCGTGGTCAAGCTCAAGAGGGTACGTGCCGTGGGTGAGAGCATGAGTGAAAAGAAAGGCAATGCATACGGGACGGTATGGTGCGTGTCCATGTCATGTGGATGGTTATGTGCATTTCAGGCCTACCACATGGACAAAAACAGCCACTTGGAGTTTGAGTTGCTGCCCGGTGGCAGCTTGATGGAGCGCCTGAGGACCGGCGAGTACCTGGACGAGTTCGGCAGGTCGGCGGTGTACGAGTGGGAGGCGCGCCAATGGATGCGGCCCGTTGTTGAGACCTACGCCCAACTACTCGCCAAGGGACTGTACCAAGGGTAGGGATTTGAATCAATCAACGAGAGACCAGCCCACGCCAGGCAGCAGACAGACAGACAGACAGATGTGTGTGCGGGTGGACGGAGGAAGCATGGGTTAGATAAATATGATGTGTGTGCGTGTACTTGATTCCTTCAGAGACCAGCACCTCGACAACATAGTCTTTGATGCGGACGGCTGCCCAAAGCTGGTCGACTTTGAATTGGTGCAGTTCTTCACGCCGGCCACAAATGGTCTCTCTCTGCGTGATCCGTCCCAGCGGCTGGTCGGAAGCGGGCTGGATCCACACGGAGTTGAGTTCTACATGTCACCGGAAGTACGTATGTATGCCTACCTGCGTACATAGTATGTCACAGGCGCACACGGACATGAAGGACTGGACAGACGTCATTCATCTGTCTGTATCTCTCCCTATCCACTTGTATTGCAATGCAGGCAGCCAGTCCGCATACGTTCTTCGATCCACACAAGGCCACCGTGTACTCACTGGGCCAGATGTTGCGCATGCTGCTGGAGTTCGGGCATGACCCCGCCACCCGTGACGTCATGCGACCGTACGTGCGGACGCCCTTCTGGCGGATGAACTTGTCGGCCGATGTGATGGAGCTGATCGACAGCATGACGGCTGATGACCCCGCGATGCGCCCTTCGATCGTGCAAGTGCTCGCACACCCATTTTGGTGAGTGCTATACGCACATACATGAACAGACAACAATACAGACAGACAGACAGACAGACAGACACACAGACAGACGATGGATGGGCTGGGCGGACAATGCGTTCTCTCTCTCTCTCTCTCTCTCTCTCTCAGGTTTGGCCAAGGCGGCGTGACATCCCCTGTGACATCCCCTGAAGTGCAGCCACACGTCAATCAGCGCAGTCAGCCGGCAGCGACGGCCGTCGGTTCTGTAAGGAACCCGACTTGGCCCACCGCACCAGCTGCCCCGCCAATGACGGCCTTCCCCCCGGTCCCCAGCCCGGTCCTTCCTCCAAACATGACTCTCAGGCAGCCCTACACACACAACCATACCTACGGCCACTGGGTCAGCGGACCACCACCCTCAGCACACCACCCACACCACCTGCAATACCCGACAGCCGTCACGGTGTGGGGGTAGCGGGCGTGGGACTTCTCATGTATGTATGCATCGCCCGCCTTGTCGCTGCGTGTCTCGCTACCCTTGGGTGGTGTCTCGGGCTGTGTGTGCATCTTGTGTACTGGCTGGCTGGTGCATGCATGGATATATCGTTCGATAGAGAGCGAAAGACAGGCGGATATCCGTCAGTCAGACGCCTCGCCCAGGAAGGAAGCAAGCAAGGGGGAAGGAAGGATGGAAGGATGACCAACCCGACCCGGCCCATTTTACATACAGTTTGGCTGTGTCTTTTCGTTTGGTTTCCGCTCGAATAGGCTGTTTGGCATTTGTGCATTTTTTACGTAGTTTGCTGCTGAACCATGATTCACCTGCAGGGGATGTGATGTGATAGGACCGCTTGGACGGACATGGTACGAGATTCGCGCTTCAAATCGCTTCAAGCAATCAGTACAGGGCTGATTGCTTCAGACGTTTGATTGGTTTATACATACGCACAAGCGAGTTTTCTGCGGGGTCTCTCGCCGTAAACGACTCGCCAGAGCCACCCTCCATCACATTGACTCTTTTTTCCCTGCTCAAAACGACCCTGAACGACGAAAAAACATCCGTCCATTCACTCACTCATTCGATCCGTCTGCGGACGTGGCTGCGAGGCCCTTCGCAGTGAGTCTGAGTGTCTCCTGTAGTGTCTGATTCACCATCCACCGTCAAAAAGGCAGTGCCATGACGACACGAAAGCTCGCAATTGTGCTCCAGATCTCGGGCTTCAGATTCGCAGATTTGGCCGTGTCTGAAGCTCTTTCGGTATGAGGGCTGCGTGCCAATTCATCCCTTTGTCGCATTCCGCTCTCTTTCTCTCATCCCCTCATATCCCTGACCCCATCCCCTGAAGATGCCGTGCATCCCCCAGTGCGTCCATCGTACCCTCCGTTGGCTGTATTCGCGCCCCTCTGCCTGGTTCCGTCATTGTTGCTCTCGCGTGCCGCTGCCATCAGACCGCCCCGCGGACGCCATTGACCAATATGACCTCTCCTGGCTCAGCAACGACATCGGTGCCTTCCCAGACGACCATTTGGAGTTCCTCAGCATCATCAAGCCGGGCAGCGCCTTCACCTCGGTGTGCAGCAAGGCCCGCCTCAAGGACACGGGAGAGATCGTGGCCGTCCACACGAGGGCCAATCGCAACCGGGTCGAGGTGGGCGGCGACGGCAGCGACTGGATGCCGTACGTCCAGCGCGAGATTCGGGCCCTCGAGGCCGCAAGCGACATCAAGGGCGTGGCCAAGCTCAAAAGGGTACGTCCCGTGGGTGTGAGCATGAGTGAAAAGAAAGGCAATGCATACGGGACGGTATGGTGCGTGTCCATGTCATGTGGATGGTTATGTCCATTTCAGGCATACCACATGGGTCAAACAAGCCATTTGGAGTTCGAGTTGCTGCCCGGTGGCAGCTTGACGGAGCGCATGTGTCTGGACGAGTTCGGCAGGTCGGCGGTGTACGAGTGGGAGGCGCGCCAATGGATGCGGCCCGTTGTTGAGACCTACGCCCAACTACTCGCCAAGGGACTGTACCACGGGTAGGGATTTGAATCAACCAGACCAGGGCACGCCAGGCAGCAGACAGACAGACGAACGCGTTTGTGTGTGGATGGAGGGAGGGGTCATGTGTAAAGTGTGTGTTTGTGTATGTGTGTCTGATTGGTTCCTTCAGAGACCAGCAGCCCGCCAACATAGTGTTTGATGCGCACGGCTGCCCAAAGCTGGTCGACTTCGAACTGGTGCAGTTCTTCACCCCACAAAAGGTAAGTTGATGGAGTGTCTGTCTGTCTGTCCAAATATGCTCTCTCCGAGCAAAGCACCGCACCCACTCATGCAGATGCATGACGAGGGTTGAGACCATTGTCTCTGTGTGCTCTGTCCCATCAGCGTCTGGTCAGAAGCGGGCCGAATCCGACCGGAGTGCCATTCTACATGTCACGAGAGGTATTTGGCACACATGCAGAGGGCCCTGGGGAGACGTCCTTCATCTGTATGCGTGTGTGTGTGTGTTGCATTGCATGCACTGTAGGCGAACACGCCCAATACGGTGTTCGATCCAGAGAAGGCCACCGTGTACTCACTGGGCCAGATGTTGCGGATGCTACTGGAGCTCGGGCATGACCCCGCCACCCGTCGCCTCATGCAAACGTACGTGCGGCCGCTCTTCTCGGGGCCGTGGCGGCGGGATCTGTCGGCTGATGTGATGGAGCTGATCGACAGCATGACGGCTGGTGACCCCGCGATGCGCCCTTCGACCGCGGATGTGCTCGCACACCCATTTTGGTGCGTGCCACACACACACACACACATACATATTTGCAGACATCACACAGCAGAGACAGACAATTGCTGGGCTGGGCAGACAGTTCATTCACATGCGTGGTTGTCCATGTCTGTGTGTGTGTGTGTGTGCAGGCATGGTCAAGACGACGCGACGCCCCCCGCACCTGACATAGTTGTCCGTCCGGTGGGAAGAAGGCCCAGAACAAGAACATCATACTCAAAGGTCAGAGACCAACGGTGTGACCGTCGATTTCGCACGGTTTGACCGCCGCCCGCGCGAGAGCTCAGTGCAGATAGGCCATTTGTCTTTTCGTTTGAGGTGCGTTTCAATAGGCTGTTTCGCATTTGTGCACTGTTTACGTACGTCGTTTGCTGCTGAACAGTGAATGATTCACTCCAGTGCATGCCATGGGACGGCGTGTGTGTCTGCTGTGCTGGCTGGTGCAAGCAGTGGGTGCGCGAGGGAATGCAAAGACAGAGAGGCAGTCGATAGAGAGAGAAAGGCAGCCAGATTACCGTCAGGGAAACGTGCGAGAAGGGAGGGGGCACCCATTTCTGAGTTTCGCCCGGCTTGTGTGTATGTGGGCGTCAGCCTGGTCGAGGGACGCACATTCCGGCATCCTTTTCTTATTGATTCATGCACGCACACACAGCACAGGGTTGGGTTGCAGGTATCAGACAAGACGGACAGACATACACGCAGAGAGGGAAGCAAGCCGACGCATATATGTGCGGAAGCTCAGCGCAGATAGGCTGTAGGTCTTTTCGTTTGAGGTGACTTCGAATATGCTGCGTCACGTAAGAGGGTCATGTGGCATTTGTGCAATGATTCACCTTGCACATGGCTTGCCTGCCTGCCTGCCTGCCTCGGCTTCCTTCCCTGTCTGCTTACTTGTCTGTCTGTCTGTCTGTCTGTCTGTCTGATGCCTGCGCCCCTGTGCTGTGTGTGCACACCATCGCTAGGTCACTCGACGGACCTCACTCACTGTCTGTGCTGTGCTGGGGTGGGATGGAAGGGAAGGGATTTGTCACTCATTGGGTGACTGACTGACTGCCGGCGGGCTGGGCTCCTAGGTAGCCCATGTCAGGGCGTGGGCATCTTTTTCTCATATACACACTGAGTGGTGACTGATTGGGGGACCTGGTTTGCTACGAAGTGGCTAATCGATCGGGAAAAGTAAGTCTGAGTGGATGAGGGCTCACGCTGTTGTTTCTGTCCTCTGGGCTAGTATACAGCCAGCCAGCCAGCCAGCCAGCCAGAAACGGGATTTCTTGGTCGTTGGGCCCCTCTTTGTGTGAGAGGATGGAAGAAAACAGAAAGACAGAATCTCTGTATAATTAATTTTTGGGTGGAAAGAACCCGTTGCCTTTTGTTAGGTGAAGACATTGAATGGAGTGGTGGTGGTCCTCATCCACACACACACACGCACAGCCATCCTGCGTCCATCGTCCACAATATGCACACAGGCAGTCAGGCAGGCCATCAGCTGCTGTACGCCATACAGTCCACCACACACACACGTTTGTCCATCAATTGACAGCGATACACACGCAAGTGACTAAGTGAGAGCCACACGGGGACGGCACGGCAGATACCACGCCGTCGAGCAATGCATACCTACACAGACAGACAGACAGTCAAGAGGCGAGAGAGAGAATTACGGAAGCAGCAAAGGAGCAATTCATAAGAGAGAGAGAGAGAGAGAGACGAAGTGCGAGCACAGCCACACCATCCCTATAAGCTTGCAGCCCGCCTAAGCATCCCATCTTCTATCCATCCATCCATCATGTCTGAAACAACAGGCAGTAATACAGCCAGGGAGCCCGGCGGTTGGATGGATCGATCTCCCCTCTCGCCCATCCATCCACCCATTCAGCCAGCCAGCCAGCCAGCCAGATCGCACCCGAACCTCACCTCTCTCTCTCCCTCTCTATCCATCCACCACATACACCTCTGTCTGTCTGCTGTCTGTCTGTCTGCTGTCTATCGCGATAGACCAACTCTCTCTCTGTCTGCGATGCAATCATCATGCTCACGGTATCTACACCTACCCCACCGCACCGCACCCCACTGCACCGCCGGCTCTTGACGTCTTGGTCGCCGGTTGGTGGAGCTATCGCTGCCCCGTGCGCTGCTGCCGGAGCGACAGAAGTATCGACCCCCGTGAGGAGCCTGGTGGGGGTGGGGGTGGGGCTGGGTCGGCCGGTGCGGGCTGGTAGGGCATGGCTGGTGGGGGTGAATATGGGTATGTCGGGGGCGGGCCAGCAGCGGCAGCAGCAGTAGCAGCAGCAGCAGCGGGAACGGCTGGGGGGATGTTGCCCGCAGCCGCCATGGGATGGTGGGATGGAAGGCCGAGCACATCGGCCGTCGCTGTGCGTGGGCGATGCATCCTTCTGACACACACAGCACACCAAACCAAACCAAGAGAGGGCAATGACAGACCCACACGCACCCAAGATACGTCGTACACACTCACAGACACAGACACAGACAGACAGACACACGAATCGCTTACGATCTGGTGTGCACCATCGCAGGTGCGGGGTCGGTCATGATCAAACGACCGAAATCCTGCCTGAACCAACACATATGCACCGGCTCACATACCCACCTCCACACAAGTACCTGCCTGCCCCCTGCAGTTAGCCTACTTACTGCTGGGGCACGAAGGGCACGAGGGCCGGAGCCGTTGCCGGCGCCACAGGAGGCCTGAGTGAGCCACAGACACAAAGAGTGACACCGGAGCTGCCCTTCTTGTCGGCGAATGACCGCTTGGCCTTACACCGGCTCGTATGGGTAATGGTATGTGTACTGCGATGGCTGTCCACTGGAGAAGTTGCCATCGCCTAGTATCCCGTAGTGGCCAACCAGACTGTCAAAAGACACAGCAATGCATGTAATAATCTACTAACACGCATACACACGTGGACGCCTGCTCATCTGTTGGTTCGCTTACGGTGCCTCCTCCGGCCATCTGTAGTTGTTTATGCGGTCCAGGCTGAGCATCCCGTGCTCGTCATACCATTCACGCGGGAACGCGTCCGCTCTCTGGACGTCGGACGTCACGATGGAACAGCCCCGCCCGTGCTCGATTCTGCCCGTCTCCACTTCCCCGTCCGGGCTCAAATCCACGCGCAGTTGGCCACCTCCGTCGTACAGCAGGTCTGTGAGCGAATGAAACTGTCTGTCTGTGTGGCAGGATTCTCTCGTGTTACCAGGTGGTGCGTTCGCAGGACGGAAAGCACGCAATCTGGGCGGGTGAAAAGGAAGAACACGCGCACAAGATGAGGGAAGGAACGAAGGCATCCTTTCCTTTGGTCGTGCGCTTACGCCGAAGGCCCCATCAGTCTCCTCCTGCAGACGTCCCATTCGAATTCATTGCTCATCTTGACCTCGGGACCCGTCACTATCTGCTGGCGATCGCACGATGCCGCAGCAGCCGTTTCAGGCAGCACCCTATGGCGGATCGCACGATGCCAAGCTTCCAATGAAGCAGATCTGCCATTTAGAGATGCTCATGATGCACCGTTACTCATCATTCCAGCGATTTCAGCTGCCGCCGTCCTCCCTGACCCATCAGCAGCGTGCCTTCCTGTCAGCCAGCAGGCGGCTGCTCGCCTCCCCCTCCCCGCCGTCATCCTCCAAGTGGCAGCAGCCCGACAGCAGGTCCCTCCAGTCGTTCGATGAGTACCTCTTCGCACACTCACCAGCCGCAGTCTTCCGCAAGATCTGGGACGCCCTCAGCCTTGCGAAGATCCGCCAAAGGGGCCTCTGGTGGCAGACTGTCGACAAGGCCGCCTTCCTCAGCGACCCGCAGAGGCAGTGGATGGTTGAGAACGGGTACATGGCCTTTCCAGACGGAGTGGATTTTGTGCTCAGGAGGTGGCGTGGGCGGCTCTACAAGGTGCCGGTGGTCGGCAGCACCAAGCAGCTGCTCGAGGTGGTGCGGTGGTGGCTGACGCACCGCAGCGACCGGCGGCGGCAGAGAAAAGAGTGGGCGACGGAGCGGGCCAGGCAGCAGGCCCACCGGCAGCGCAGCAGACAGTTCATACCCATCGTCAGATCATCAGCAACGTCATCTGCCGCAAAGGGGCCCGCTGTCGCTGCTTCATCCGCTCTGCCTGAGGTCTTCACCCCCGACCACCCCAACTACTCACCCAAGTCGCCGACGGGCACGAGATTCTTCGGCCCGCAAGACGTCCTGCGCGCTGTGATGAAGGCCTTGGAGCCCATTGAGAAGGCCACGCGGCCATCCGCTGCCTTGTCAGCAGATGCCTCACTGACGAAATGGCTGAGGGACCAGCAGCGAAGGACGGGCATCGAGTGGCCGGCTGGCAGCGGGTACGTGTGGTGCGGGTTGGTGGGCCTGATAGCCCTCTGTACTGGGCTTGGGTGGGCGAGTGAGAGGGCGGTGAGCCGCTGCCGGTCTGTGGATGAGCTGGAGAGGAGTGTAGACGCCTGTGTGGCGTGGGCGAGGGGGATGGCTTTGCACCCACAGCTGCTGGGGATCGGGGGAGAGGGAAGGGGCATTATGGACGCCCGTCAGCTGTATCGCCTGCTGAGCTGCTCACTCACTCTCGGTGGCCCTTCTGTTCCCGACGACCGGGCGCACTTTGGTGGCGTGACTGCGGTGACGGCCACCAGGTTGCTCATTGGAGGACTGGCTGCCGCCCTGTGGGAAAGAACTGTCGGCACCGCTGCGCTTCTCGCCACGTTTGCCGGTCGGTGTGTCGAGCCAGACAGCCACGTGTTATGCGCTTCATTTGAGCTCATGATCGTGCGTGTGTGTGTACGTGTTCAGGGTCCACTGTGCTGTGCAATGGCGTGGCTGTGTCACTGCAGCATATGCGTGGCGACTCTCCGCCTTTGATGGGCAGCCAGCCGGCCCTATACGCACTCGCCATCGGGGCCACAGTGCTCGGCCGCTATGCTGCAGCTCCCTTGGTCCCCCTACCCTTTGTGTACAGCGCGGCGGTGCTAGTGGTCGGTGGGGCAAACACATCACACGCGCCGCCATGATGTAGAAGTGCGTGCGTGTGTGTGTGTGTGTGTGTGACCTACATATAGGGTCTGTACTCGTGGGACCTGCAGCCCTCTTACTCGACAAACTACTGGCCTTCCGCTGATGCCTTCTTCGCCGCCCTGCGCGCACAGCTCAAGGTCGGCCAGCCATGTGTGAACAACAGGACTCGGCGCATGGATGTCTGCAGCAGCTAGCTGTTTGGTGGCCTTTGTTGGTGTGTGCAGCTGGCCGGGTGTGAGTCGATGATAGGCAACGGCCACGTGGGTATGGGCGGTGTGCGGGAGCTGCAGAGGCTGCGGGATCAGATCAAGGTCAGCAACCACAGAGCGACATTCTGGGCTATAGACTGCGTACTTAGATGAATGAATGGATCCTCTGCGGATTGATGTCTGTGTGTGTGAGTGTGTGTCAGGGCGAGGTGCAAAAGGGTTCCTCATCGTGCGGGTCTGCCTTCTGGCTGCCTGGTGACCCGCGGGTGTTGAGTGATGGTGTGGGTGTGGTGGCCGGTGTGGCCATCGCGGTGGCACTCAAACTGCTGAGGACACGACGGACAATGCTGTGACAGACCGTGGCGCATGTGTGTATCTGTATAGGTAGACAGACCGACAGACGTGAGAAGGGCGGATGACTGACTGCATCGAATGTAGCTGTTGGTTGAGACACCGACGTACATACATACATGTATGTTTGCTGGTCGGGAGCACACATGAATCTGTTTGTCCGTCCAGTCCATGACTTGACTCCACGCCGCGACACGCACGCAGGCAGGCACGGAGGCAGGCCAACGCCGAGATGAGATGGATGTGGTAACGGCATACACAGACAGACAGACAGACAGAGACGAGAGAGATGGCCAGTCAGTCAGCTGCATACATCCGCCCCGCCCAACCCCACGGGCCACGCCCATGCATCAGATTCATCTGGACAACGTCTGTCTGTCTGCTCACTCACTGTCCTTCCACGGCCCCGCCGCCCTTGGTCTGTTGAATCAGCACTGAAAACCTCTGCACCACCTCACCCCTAAAGGTGGCGTGTTGGCTGGCCGTCCACACCTCACCCACCACCTTGCAGATGTCCTCGGCGTCTCGCGGCATCTTGGTGCTCTCCTTGGGCTTCTTGGCGAACCACAGTGACGCAGCCGTCTTGGCAAGGGTGTCCAGCCACTCGCCCACCTCGCGGTCCGCCCTCTCCCTCCTCTCGTCGGGCGTGCTGCCTTGCCGTGGCGATGAGCTCGTAGGGGCCGCATCGCTATCGGCTCCGACCTCTGCAGTGGGCGAGCGGCGCTGCTGCTGTGGGGGTGGCTGTGGGGGTGCGGGTGTGGGTTGAAGGGCCCGCTGCTTGGCGGTGAACAGGACACGGACCATTGCCTGATATATGGAGGGGGGTTAGGTAAAGGCACACGCACGGTAGAGGCGCCGGGTCTCTGCTGTTGCATTGCATTGCACCCGTCCGCCTACCCACTCACTGACTGACCTTGCTCATATGTCTGATGGTCCTGAAGGATCGCCACTGTGCGGCGAGGGGCAGCATGAGCTTGTCGTGCAGCAGCGTCCACAGCGAAGTCGACAGTCGCAGCCCCAAACCGGAGCGGCCACTCGGGGGTGCCGACACCTAAATGAACGCAACAACCAACAGAGTGCACCCACCCGGGTCATTTGTCGCACCCTTGGGTATCGGGTCGGGCGTACCCTACCTGGATCATTTGTGTGACGGCGAATTGGATGCACTCCATGACGAACAGGCTCGTCCACCCCTCGGGGAGCCCCTCCTGGGTGAGTGCCTCGTGTTGGAAGCTCTGGATGAGGACCTCCCCCACCTCCCGCAGCCACCTTGCCTGCTGCACGCCCCGCACCAGCACCAGGGACGACAGCAGCCGGTGAAGCACCCGACGGCTGTACACCAAAGCCACACACGACTCGTCGTCGTCTAGCTCGTCCTCGGCCGTCGCCATCATGCTCGCCTCACGGCTGCCCTGACGGATCGCCTCGACGAACTCGTTGAGAGCCGCAGACAGAGACGGCCGCACAGCCGATGATGTGGCTGTGGCGGCCTTAAGCTGGCCTCCTGCGTGCTGTGTGTCCTGCCTCTCGGTGTCTTTGTCGGCTGCCGGAGGGGCGGCTGCCGGCGCTAGTGGCGGTAGAAGGGGAGGAGGGAAGGACGGCCGCACACGAGCCGGCATTGCCGACATCGGGCTCGTCACTTTCGTGAATGGCGAGTGGACGTCAGTCGGATGGGACAACGACGTGCTGCTCGCCGATGGCGGGTGCTGCTGCTGCTGTGCTGCAGCTGCTGCTGCTGCTGCTGTCTTCCTGCGGCTCTGCGCCAGCAGCTGCATGAAGCGGCGGTACTTGGAAAGCGGCTTGACGATCGCCGTGCGGTCCAACAGCGGCAGCCACTCCTCTAGGGTCGCCTCGTCGTCCTCATCCATGTACAGGGGCGGGGGTGGTGCAGGCGAGGAGGGCGACCCAGTGCCGGCCCCCAAGCCCCTCCTCCCCGCCCGGCCCATGCCGACGTCGGTATCTGCCCCAAGGACGACGTCGGTATCAGTGCGCGTGTCGCCCCTGGCCCGCCTGGTGGTGGTGGCGGGAGGCGGGGCGACGTACATGGGTATGTCCTCCATGGGGTAGCTCACGCACTGCAGCAGACTCACAGCGTGCCGTCTTTCTCGCTTCCGGGGTGACGTGGGGTGGCTGCCGTGGCTGGTGTGGCTGGCGTGGCTGTGGTTGCCGGCCCAGACGTCTTTGGCCGACCGGACGACGGGCTTGGGCCGGTGCTGGTGGGGGCGAAGGGAAGAGGTGATCTCAGACTGATTCTTGTGGTAGATCGGCACGCACATCAAACCTGTGTGTACACAGAGAGACAGAGAGACAGACAGACAGACAGGCAGCAGACGGACATGACGTCACATGACCATACATACAATACAGATGTGGTGTCTGTGTGTGTGGGGTCGTCGATGCCTGCCCTGCCTACCAAGCGCGAACAGCTGTAGGATAACGGACTTGGAGTGCGCCCCTTCCTTGGAAGATGAATCCTGCACACCCCATCAGACGAGACACCACCCATTGGCTTTGCGGGGTCATGCTGTATTCTCTGCCTTTCTCCTCTCACCGCGAGTGATTGCATCTCCCATGCTCCGTCCCTCTCGAGTTCGTTGATGAGGCTGATAAGCTGGTGCGGGTCAGCAAGGATGAAACTCACGTCAAACACCACCGTCGGATCCTGAACACATGACAGACATGTACGGGCGGGCGATTGGATTGGATTGCACTCACTCACACACAAGTAAGTGTCTTCCATTCCATGCTGCAGTGCAGGTCAGCTCCCACCTCTGTTTTGGTGTTTGCCAGGCAGTGTTGCAGCCCTCCCTCTCCCTTGGCCGTCAAGGTGCGATTCCTGAGCCAAAGCCAGCCAACGAAAAATTGGGCAGGTGAGGCACGCTCGGCTGCGTGCCAGTCTTCACGCCTACCTAATTGCTTCAAGCTGCCATATGAGGTCGAACAGAGGCTCGGCAGCTGGATGGACGGATGGATAGATGGATGGACATTGCAGCAGAAAGACAAGATGCCTCAAGTACAAGTGTGTGGTGTGGTGTGGTGTGGTGTGGTGTGGTGCATCCTCACCCTGCAGATCGAGTGACGCCGTTCCCCTCTTGTGAGCGTGGGCATCGTGGAGAGCCAACACCAGAAGATTCCTAACAGTGCTGCACATTGAAATAAATGCCACACACCGACAGACACCACACAGACAGACATCCCTCCCCCGCTTTACCATACCATCCTCCATCATCCGCCAACCTGAGGTATGGCTCCGGCCTCGAGAACGCGCTCGACACAAAGGGCTGGTGCGATGACGGCGCCTTCCGCTTGCGGGACCTCGGCGACCGCCCGTCCATCATGACGACGTCATCATTGTCGCCGCTCGACTTGAGCTGGGGGAATGGCGGCAGTGGCGGGGAGAGGTGCTTGCCGCTGTGCCGCTCTTTCCTCTTGTGCGATGATGATGATGCGTGGTGGTGGTGGTGGTGATGGTGGCCGTGGTGGTGACGATGGTGGTGGTGCTTGTGCGGCTCAGAGGCGCTGGTTGGCTGGCGCGTGGCTGAGTGGCAGAAGCTGCGGAGCAGCATCGCGACACACATGTCATACAACTCAACCCGGCTGACCAGACACACACACACCACGGACCACAGCAGTGCGTGCAAAAAACGGTATGTGTGTGTGGTCTTACTCGCCGATCATCTCAACAATCTCTTTCAGCTCCGGAAGTGACTTGCGCCTGAACCAACCACACCACCACAGGGAGCATGACAACAGCAAGCCTTTCCTTCCCTTCCCTTCTCTCCCGTCCCCTATGTGTGTGATCTGTCTGATTCGGCTGACCATACCATGCGGTGCGGTCTTGCGATCGGTCGATTGGCGAGGAGGCGGCGTCCTCGTGGAGGTGTTTGATGAGCTTCTCCACCCGTGGCCCCAGAGCACTCTCAAACAGCTCAGGACACGACGCCCACACCTGGCGCGTCACCGACGTCGGAAACACAGCCTGACGAAAGAATCGCGATTGGACACACACAGCAGGTAGGTCGATTGCAAGCAGGTGTGTCCGCTTACAACCACTTGTTTACCTTGTTGTTGGCTTCCCTAAGTCTGTCTGCACATCCCTCCAAGACGTCAGGGGGCAGCACCGGTAGGGCCTCTAACAGCTTGAGCGGCACGCTCTTCAGGTGATGGTCGCCGATGAACGGCAGTGACTCACGAAGCACCGCCAACATCCTGTGTGACATAACACACTACTCATGCGTGGGGGGGAGAGACCACACACAACACACCCGACCCCTCGCTCCCACTTGGCGTCATTCTCTTCGCTTTGTCGCGCCGGCCAGGCCGCCGTTAGCGCCACGCCATCCTTTTGCCCCCTGTCCATCGCGAAGCGGTCCACTGGTGCAGACGTGGAGATCTCCCGGCTGCTGCTGGATGACGGGAAGGGCTGCCTGAGGAACCGCTCGGACTGCTGGGTTCGGTCTCTGGATGTGGTCATGCGGTGCGACCGCTGGGCAAACTCCTGCTGCAGCCGCTGGAAAACGTCCTTGTACTGCTCGTGGCGGTCGATGCCCAGCTCGTCGAGCAGCAACGCTGCTGGCTGAAGACTCTGATACAGACACAGACAGACAGACACACACACAGAGAGAGAGAGAGAGAGACGCATCTTGTGGGTGATCTGCCTGCACTGGTGTGTCAGTCATCTCTTGGTCCGTTGTGTGCGCGAGGGGCGTCTGCCGTACCTCATCTATCGCTTGCTGAGGGCCCCAGGACTGCAAGGCCCTCAGCAGGTCATCCACACTCGATGCTGACAACAACACACAGAGATGGTGCGGAGGAATACAAGCAGCCGTCCGTGGCTCCTCTTGTCCCCTTGTTGGCACCCTCACCGTTTTGGATGTCCTCCTTGAGTGACTCCTTGCCTTCATCCATGGTCGAGGCTGTCAACTGATGGTAGACTCACGCCAACACGGTGAGAATGGAGCAGATAATGAAGCTGATAGCCAATCTCAAACATCTTCGACGGATTTCTCGTTCGTGCGTTTCGTTTCCCCGGAAGGGCGATCGCCGAGAATTGGCGCGGGGAGCGGAGCTTTGTGTTGCGGAGCTTTGTGGCGGGTCCTTGTGAGCGTCAGAAGGACCGCCTCTGCTGTAAGCCGGGGAGAACGCGGGATGAGACTCATCGCATCACATCGTGAGTTGGCCAGGTGTTGGCAGGCAGAGGAACAAACAAGTTGTGTGTCACACGCCACGCATCCATCCATCCAGAGAGCTCACTCACGTCAGTACAGGCCGCTTATCATCCGTAACCGCTCTCACGAGCGTCAAGGGCCGTGCTGTGTCTGTGTAGTGCGGCAGAGAAGCCTGTTGTCGTATCCGCTGACAGGCCCATGTGACGATGAGCAATTGCTTCATGGCACAGAGAGGAGTGAGAGGGGATGGCCCTAGTTCACCGTCCTGTACACGCCCACACCCATCCATCCATCGACGGGCATCGCATCACGCGCTCACTGCACCTCCAGCCTTGTGTTTGTGTGTGGGGTTGTGTTCAGTGCTAATGTAATGTGGCTGACCGAAGAACATATCGAAGTCATCGTGTTTGCCGGGGGTGGGTTTGGGCTGGGGAGACGGCTGGGGAGAGGGAGTCCGCGGCACACCGCCAGACGCTGAACGCACACACACGCACACACATCACACATGGTTTCCTCCCATTGGTCGGTCATTGTGAAAGCCCTCCCTGTGTTGCCCGCCCATCTACCTACCTTTGTTTGCGCCACTTGCGGGTGCCGTGTCAAAAATCAGCATGTCCGCCTGGTTTCCCCCGCTGCCTGCACCCGCACCGCCACCGCCACCCATGTCAAGACCAATCAGGTTCTCGTTGGACATTGCCGGCCCCAGGTTAGCCGGCCGCGACGGCCCGCCCGCGTCGCTCCGCTCGTCTCTGTGTCCGCCAGTGGTGCCTGTGGACGTGTCTGCCTGTTGCGGTGCGTGGCTGCCGATGGTTGTGGTGTTTGCTGTGGCGTGGGAGGTGGGGGGTGGGGAGGGGTGAGGGGCGGCGAACGATGAGGCCTTGGGGGCGATGATGCTGTCGGGGCGCTTCTTGCCGGGGTGGTCCTTGTCGGAGTGCCATGATATCCGCAGCACCTGGTCGGACAGAAAGGACCATGCGATGGAGAGCAACACACGTGTCGTGTCGGCGGGGTGTGTCAGGTGCGTCTGGTCCGTCTGTACCTTTGCGACGACTTTCTGGTTGAACATGGGCACTCTCGAGTCATCATTTGTCACATCAATCCACACAAACGATGACTCCTGACGATATTTGAACCTATCACACACAACCACCACGCAGAGACGGACACACAACCAGCCACACCAGCCGCACAGTCACCGTGAGCAAACAAACCATCTCTTTGCTGCCTCAGTCGCCACGCATCAGTGCGTACCTACCTGAAGTGGTACACTCCAGGAAGCGGGAACTTCTGCTTGACGTCCTTGAGTTTGATCTCCTCCGGGCTCTTGAGGATGGGGAAGGCATTGGGATGGTCGGGGTCGTCCTTGTCGCCAGGCAAGTGGTAGTGAATCAGTGTTGGCAGCTGACCCTGACTCCTCGGCTCGGACGCACGCGACATCTCTGTCCTTATCTCCAGTGCGAGATGGCCTCCTCCAGAGAGGCCAATCGAGAGAGGCGGGCCGGCACGCACAGCCTCCTCTTCCCACGACACCGCAGTCGAGTGGACGCAGATCTGGGGATGGTTAGGCGCTGTCCGTCGCCCACAACAAAAGCGGAAAATGCGATCTCAAGTTGCGTCTGCGAGCTTGGCGCGCAAGAGGAGAAAAAGGATCTACGGAGGACCGCCATGTTCCACCGTGTACCACAAGAACAGCGCCGCTGGTTCTGTGTACATGCGAACCAGCACCCCGAGCTATGGCTTGAGTAAACATCTGTGGCGGACATGCTCCGATAAATTGTGCCAGTTGATCTTGCCACGGGCCTGCTGGCAGTGTCGAAAGGAGGATTCTGAGCCTGGCGTGAAGCTGGGCAGATGTCGGGGCTGCTTAGAGATCTTCTTCTGCTCACCTGTGAGACGGCAACAAGACAAAAATTGCAGACGTGCACATTCTGACGGGTCTGGCCGTCTCCTGATGTGGCTTGTATGCAGGAGTGCCAGAGGGCCGCCTGGAAGCGGCACAAGAAATATTGCAAGGCTGCGGCAGCCAATCGAGAGGAGCTGATTGAGTCACTCGATGAGCTGTCCAGGTCCTGTTCGGGGGGCGAGATCAAGGCGGCCGTTGTCAACTACTTTCCTGACCTTATGAACGTCGACGAATGGGGCAAGGAGAGCGGCATCAACCCTGACAAGGTACGTATACGTGTTCCATTCGGCTGCATGCACTTTTCCACTGGTGTCCTGAGCTCAGCTCGTATGTGTTCATGGCATGAGTGAACGCAGTTGGTGAGCCGCCATCCTTCCATTGTGGTGCACCGAACCCGCCTGTGCTATTGTTATGCCGCATACGACTTGACCAAAGACGGAATGGAGCCCGTTGAGGCCTTCCTTAATGTACGCAGCAAAAACTACGAGCTTGCCTTGAGCCCGGACTCGCCGGTAAGCAGCGGGGCCATAGACAGGTGGGAACGGGTGGGTGTTTGATGGAATGGAAGGGCCTCTGTTTCTTCTACACATCAGCACAAGAGGGTGACATGGGAGACACTTGCTGCGGACCCAAGCACGAGCGTCTTCATCAAGGCGACGCACGCCAGAAGAGGCGTGACGTGGCGGGACCTTTTCAGCCAGCTGCTGGCGCACAAGAACGGCGCGGCGTTCGAGTGCAACCACCACATGCTCACAAACGTCATGCGTGTGAGGCCGCGGCTGTTCTTTGTCGGCTTTGCCAATGCTGGTCCGATGGGCGAAGCCGATGACGCAGCGGAGAAGATGAAGCGAGACATGATGAAGGCCTTCACACGTGAGGGCAGACAGCAGCTGGTCCACGTGTATTGTTCTCAGTGCATCTCGTTTTCTCTCTCTCTCGTGCGTGCGTGCGTGCGTGTGTGTGTGTTCAGAGAACAACCCACACGAGGTGATACGTGGGTGACCGATCAGTAGCAGCTTTAGATCCTTATGTTCTGTCCCAGACAGACGGATGGGCGTGAACGCAGGCAGAGACACACTGTACACCACACCAGACCACACCACCCACACACGGCTATACAAGTCGGTGTCGTAGGTAGGTAGGTAGGTACATGCACACACATTGATTCCAGGCATAGCCACCACCCCAAAGGCATCCATCGATGGCACGGATCATTCATTCATTCCACAAGAGACACCTTCCCCTTCATGTACACTTGCAGCGCCTCAGGGATGTCGACGACTAACTTCCCAGTCGACTCGTCGATGCGCTGGAAGTTCTCAAGCACGGCAATCAAACACCTTCCCACCGCCACCCCTGCAGGCAGGCAGGCAGGCAGTCACAAATCACAACAGATGCCCACGGACGGGATGGATACACCAGGGGGGTCTTTGTTGTGCTCACTGACTGACCTGATCCGTTGATGGTGTGGCAGAGTGTCGGTTTGGTCTTCTTCTTCTTGCCGCCCTCTGGTGCCTTTGGCCGATACCGAAGAGCCATCCTTCGCGCCTGGAAATCCCAGCTGATGGATGGATTGACACACACACACACACACACGCACACACTCACGAGTGCTTTCATGGCGGCGCATGTCATGTGAGTGCCCACCGACCAGTTTGATATCGAGCTGATCTCACGATAGCGTTGCTGACTTGGGAGCCACACCTGTTTGTTTGTACGGACGCAAGGCAAGCAGGGAGAGGGAGGGAAGGAGGAATTGAAGCTCAAAGGTATGTGTCTCACAAGCGTGAATGCTGGCCCTTCTCTCTTTAAGCGACTGACTTACCTCCAAGTCATAGCAGTGGGCGGCGCTGAAACCGATGTCGCCACCACACAACCTCACCTTTCGGTATGGCAGACCCAGCAGCCTGCACACACGCAGGGCAGAGCAGACACACACACATGCGCGTGGCGTCGTAGAATGAATGCTGCTGTGAGTGTGAGTGTATACTATACCTCAGTATGTGTTCTGCGTGTCGGGTCATGGCTTCGTGCTGCTGCCGTGACGTGTCGGGTGTGCATATCTTGACGAGCTCCACTTTGTGGAAGACGTGTTGCCTGAAGAGACCCTTGGTGTCCTTGCCGTACGAACCAGCCTCGGCCCTGCACACCACACAGCCAGACAGACAGACGGGCAGACACGTGTGTGCGTGTGTGTGTGCGTGTGGGTGAGTACCTACCTGAAGCAAGGTGTGAGTGCCACATAGCTCTTGGGCAGATCGCTCTCATCCAGTATGCTCTCCCTGCACACATGGAGATGCACAAAAAGACTTACTTGTGCGTCACGTCATGCATCCGTGTGTGTGCATCTGTGCATATATCCTTCCCACCCACCTGTGTACGTTTGTGAGCGGCACTTCTGCTGTGGGAATCAGATACCCGCGTTGGCCATTGAGAGAATGCCTCTCGTCTAGAGTAAACAGGTCTGCATCGCATCGCATCGGCAGCACAGCACAGCATACCCCTCGCCACGACACACAGGCAGGCAGCCACCCCTCCAAGCCACCCATCCCTTCCGCACCTTCGGTGAATTTCGGCAGCTGCCCCTGCATCCAATCCATGTGTGGTGCACACACACACGTACAGATGTAGGTATCTATGCGTGTGTGCACTGCACGCCTCCCACTGACCCACCGCACCGTGCCGACGAGACATTCCTCGGACACCAAATAGGGCACCACGTGCTCCTGCAGACAGACAGACAGACACACCAACAACATGTGTACTGTACGTATGTGTGTCCAATCCATCGGTCGTCGATATGCATTCGATCATCCATGTATGTATGTATCTATGTTTCGTTTTCCTTGCGCACCGCACGCATCTCACCTCATAGCCATGCTCCTGTGTGTGGACGTCCATCATTAACTGACCTGCACGGATGGCATCGGATGCATAGAAGCGTCCATGACACACATAACATACACACACCTACACCTATGAGGTGTCCGCATACGCACGCACCTAGTGCCCTCTCCATCCGCGCGATGCCGCCACTGTACACAGCAAAGCGACTCCCTGCACACAGACAGACAGACAGCACATACACACATATATATGAAGTAGACATGTGTGGCAGCGGACGTATGTATCGACATGACATACCGCTGAGTTGTGCGGCCTGGTCGGCCTTCCAGCAGCCCAGCCTGGCGGCGATCTCATCGTGCCACATGTACTCGCCGTCACCAACCATCTGCGTGGGCGCATGGATGCCCGAGCACATTCGGATGGATCGAATGTGGAGCGGCGTCTCACCTTGTCCTTCACTCTCGGATCGTCCGGTGTCCATTCGGTCACCACTTCGTTGTCACTCTCGTCAGCGCCCTCGGGCACCTACACAACACACATACACAGGGAACGGAACACGTGCCTCTGTGTGACAAGAGAGGTGTATATGCCTGCCTACCAGTTCATCGAGTGCGTTGGGCAGACTGAGGAGCATGGTCTGGATCTCAGCATCAACTCGTGACAGTTCTGCATCGGCCGCTGCCGCCCTCTCCGTTGCTGACTCGACCTGGGCTTTTATGCTTTCGGCCTCATCGGCCTTGCCTGCACACACAACACGGCACGGCACGGTACGGCATGTACTCCCATGGATGCGCACATGTGGGTGGAGGTGCGGTATGGATGGCACGTGCAGTACCTTGTCTGTAGAGGCTGCCGATCTCTTGGCTGAGTGTGTTCCTCTCGCTGCGGGCAGCGTCACCCTCGCTGATCAGGCGCGAACGATCAACGGACAAGGCTGCACACACCACACGCAGAGGCAAGCGACCCCATCTGTAGGGCCCCAATCCCTCTCTCACCCCCCTACTCGTTCACTCACCGCCTATCTCGTCGACGCTTTGCATGGCATCGCTGTCATCGCTCTCGCCGCGCCTGCAGATGTGCACACGTGTGCTGAATGCTCCATCGTGTTCGTGCACTGGCACTGACCGTCTTAGGAGTTCTCTCACAGTGTCAGGCTGTAAAGCCACCAGTCGGAGATCTACCGACAGAAACCCACCCTCAGGCAAGCCCACGAGCGGTGCCTCCACCTGACACACACACGCATTCGCAGGGCAACGGGTGGAATTTGTGCTCAGATCCTCCTGTGTTTTGCCTCACCCACCTCTTCCGTCGGCTTTGTGGCTTGTTCCTGCATCCGCACGGCACTGCATCGCGACTGACTGCCCCTCACAGGCAGCAACGGCCTCCTGAGGGCATGCTGGAAGCCGAAACATGAATCAATCAGCACGCACCAAGCTATCAGACCGACGATCGGCATGGCTATGGACATTGCTGCCTCATTTGCAGACATTCGGCGCGCGATTTCGGTAGGTCCTCATTGCGAGCTTAGCTCGCAGATCTGAGCGGCTGTGAGAGAGGAAGACGAACAACGGTAAGCAGAGTGCATGGAGGAACCGTGAGCGACACACTGCTGTGTCTGCATTATTTTTTTTGCGGCGGCCCTTCAGGTCATGAAGTGGTGTCTGCTGGTTGTCTCGTGCGTCATGGTGTGCTCACGTGGCGATGCCCTGCTGGCGCCCACACGGAGACCACACGCAGGCATGATTCTGGAATTGCCATCAGTCACATTTGTGCCTGCAACACAGGTAGGGGTGTGTGTGTGTGGTGCAGCAGCTTTCGTGCAGTCATCGGTCCCTCTCTTGCGCAGCAGGCTGAGGCCATCCTCGGCCATGCGAATGGCGCCAGCCAAGGAAGAGGACGTCAATGCACAGGTATGAATGAGTGCGCGTGTCTGCCTGCTCGGTGGTGTGTGGATGGCTAGTCAGTCACTCACTCAGATCTGTGTGAATTAATGTGTCCTTGCTGCTGCTTGTCTGTGTGTGCAGGAGATCAGCCGCAAGAATCTTGAGGCGATTCGCAAGTTCTCAGAACAGTATGCGCGGGTCAGCGACACCCGGTTTTGCTCTGGTAGGCACGTCAGTCAGAGCCTGAGGCGTGCACACAGACATAGAGGGATGGCTGGATTGGCATCCATGCGTTGCAGATCTGTCCATCACGGCGACGGTGCTGAAGGGATTGGCCGACCACAAGACGCACTACGGCGCCCCGCTGTGCCCATGCAGACACTATGAAGACAAGTCAGTCAGTGATGCCCAAGGATGATGGGTGGCTTGTATGAATGCATGAGTGTGGGTGCATACATCTGTGTCTGCTGTCTGTCTGTCTGTCTGTCTGTCTGTGTGTGTGCAGGGCGCTGGAGGTCAAGACGGCCTACTGGAACTGCCCGTGTGTACCCATGCAAGAACGGAAAGAGTGCCACTGTGAGCTGACTGACTACACAAACGCACTCACATGCACACACAGTGCAAATGGGTGTGTGCGACCGTGTGTGTTGTGTTGTGTTGTGTTGTGCTGTATGTGTGTTGTGTATTGTCTGTGCTGTGCAGGCATGTTGTTCTTGACTCCCGACAACCCCTTTGCGGGTCAGGAGAGGCAGATCGCGCCCGAAGAGCTCGAGAGACTCATCAACGAGCAGATTGCAGCCGGCGCGTAGGAGACAGGTGCATCTTCATGTGCAGAGAGTAAGTAGTGGGGCATCCCGAGTCTGTGTGTGTATGTAGCGCTAGCACTCACTTCTGTTTTGTGGATGGATCGATGGATGGTGGGAGTGAGCGACTCAGAGTGGGCGGGTGGGAGTGAGTGAGTTTCTTTGGACGCAGTCGAGAGATGAGCGGTTTTTCTGTGTCAGTCACTTCACTGCATGTCTCTATCGAGCGATCGAGCAGTCAATCATCTAACTCTGTGTACGAATGAATGAAAACCGTTGGTTGACTCAGTGATTGATCGCCACCACACCTTCTGCGCCCTCACACGACTCACCGACCATGTGTGTGCGTCTGATGGGTGTGCTGCTGGTGGCGCTGTCGGCGTGTCTGTGGTGTGCGTCGGCCTATGATGGCAAGAATGAGCCGCCTCACTACATGCGCCACAGGCCTGTGTATGCTGCCCACTCGCTGCTGCCTGGCGTGCCTCTGCCTGGTGAAGACATCTCTGTGCCGGTGCCGCGACCTCTGACACTCATCAACTACCCCAATCCCATCGACAGCCCGGTGATTTGGTGAGTGAGTGAGGAACACACACACACACACACACACACACAGAGAGAGAGAGAGAGAGAGTGAAACATTTGTGAAATTCGTTCACTCACCGTCGTGTGTCTCTCTCTTTGTGCGTGTCTCTTTCTCTGTGCGTGTGTGTGCAGCAATCGCCGCCACATTCCACACAGCTGGCTGTGCGACCCTGACGGCATCATCAGCCGTCGAGAGGCCGACGAGGTAGAGGACATGCTGCTCTTCATCCGGCAGGACAGCAGACACAAATGCGGCAAGTACGGCCAAGCAAACTACCACCTCGGCGTCGCACTCATCAAGTCAGCTCTCCCTGCATTCTTTTGCTAACGTCTCTTTCTGGCCACATCGATCATGTGCGTCTCTGTGTGCGTGTCATGCAGCGAGTTGCCGTCAGGTGTTGATGTGGACGACTTGGCGTCGGCGCTGCTCAGCCGATGGGGACTCGGACACAAAGAGTGCCACGATGGAGCCATACTCGTAAGAAGACTCACGCAAAAGCAGCTGATAAACAGCTTCATCTGTGCTAATGTGAATGTACATGTAGGTCTACGCCAAGAAAGGTCGCATGCACAAGAACCACCCACACATCGACGCATCCACCAGACTCTCTCTCTCTCTCTCTCTGCGTGTGTCTCTCTCACTCACTCAGACAATCTGGTGGCGCTGAAGTGGAGGTCGGGCGTCGAACCGGCTCTGCATTACGGGATGGCACACACAGAGCTCATGCGGCAGATATCAGTTGGGTTCAGCAACTTGCCGACCGGCGAGGGCCTCAAGAACGCCGTCAACCTCATCGGACAGCGCCTCACAACGCCGTCAGTACACACGCTCAGACAGACAAGACAGCACAGCACACAGGAAATGTCCATGTCTCTGTTGTTGCCATGGATGTGCAGGTACGCGCCTCCTCGGTCGCTGATGCAGCTGGTGGTCATCGTGGTGCTGCTGCTGGTGGCCGTGCTCCTCATCGTCGGCACTCTCGTCACGACAACTCCGCTCGGCGTGCCCAAAACAAGGTACAAGTACAAGAGCAAGAAGTTGGCCCTACATCACACAAACAAACCCTCTCGTGTGTGTGTGTGTGTGTCACAGGAGCGAACCTGATGATATCGCTGCTCAAGTGCCACCCACCCACACAAAGAGATACACACATCCCAGCCGTGTGTGTGTGTGTGTGTGTGTGTGTGGTCAGGACATGCTGACCAAGATACAGAACATGGCCAGGGCTGGGCAATACGATCCGACCCTGTGTCCCCTGACCCTCAAGGACTTGTACGTGACACGCCGACACACCCATCCTCTGTGTATGCGTCATGTAATCCATCCGTTCATCCATCAGGACTGTGGGTGGCTCCCAAGTCGCCGGCCCCCTCTTCCCGGGCGTCAACTACTTCCCCGATGCCCTCTTCGAGTGGCAGCTCGACTATCCAAATGACCCAGACCCCATGGAGTTCGCCATCCGCACCAACCCTGCATCCGTCATCAACGTGAGTCACTTTTGCAGAGACACACAGCATTGAGATGTGTGCTGTGTGTCTCCAGAACGTGTGTGTCGACTTGTACCTCCGCAAGCTCCAGAACGAGTACCCGCAGTCGATCTCCGTACGTCTGTCTCACGCACGCACTCGTGGATGGATGGACGGCAAATTGGCCGTCGGTTGGTTGGTATGTGTGTGTGTTGTCAGGATGAGGACGTCAGAGGCTGGCTGGCTGTCGGCCTGACCGCCAACTGGACCATCAGACCGCAAGAGCTCGGTCAGTCAGCGCACGAGACACATTCAACGAGTCTTTCTTCCTGGTCATGACCTGTGTGCACTGCAGACGCCTGATCACGTGTCCATCTCATCATCGTCGATCCATCGACGAGTGTGCATCGGACAGAGAGAGAGAGAGAGACACCAATGTCACACCATCATGTCTGAGAGTCTGTGACTGACCGATTCAGCCGACTGACTGACTGACTGCATCCATCCACGCATGAAAGGGACACAATCGAAATGATCTCCACAATTCAAACCCTCGCTATTTGAATTGTCCTCGGATCAGCCTATGGATTGCTCTCTGAACACACGCGTACACACACACACACAGAGGAGATGATCACAGGCGAAGCGCCGCTGTGGCGCATTTGGCCAGTGCTGGGCCGAGTATCTCCCCTCCTCTGTCATGGTCCCTTTGCAGACCGTGAACGGTGATGGGGAATGGGCTGTGCAGAAACAACAGAGACGGACGGGGAGAGACACACATACAGCGGCGAGGGGACGCATGTACATGTATATGTGAAGTGCATGTGGCCTACGTGACATCCCAGCCAAAGATGAAGAGGGCGATGCATCCTTCGAATCGCATCCTTGAACGGGGCGAGAACGATTCGGTGGTCCAGGAACGGTTGTGTGGGAAAAGCAACGAAAGAACAAAAAATAGCGAAGGAAGTCACGACAAACTGCGTGGCACTGCGGCCCCGTCTCCCGGGGGCGCGCTCTCCCCTCTGTTCCTTTGAGGCTTCTGAGTGTTTGTTCGCCTCCCCATCGACTCATCTAGCTGCTGCTGCGTCCCGCACTTCCTCCCTCCCGCCCTCCCTCCCTC